TCGAATACTCGGTCTACATTTCTCTAGCAACATGGCATTTCACTATCATTTCAAAAAATTAAAACAAAAAATCCTAAAGAAACTCTCTGTGTTTCATTCCATCTCATCTCCAGCTCACGTTGGGGTGCTCAGTAGATCACCTGCTCAGAGTTGTTAACTCTTGAATCAAGAGTGTCCTTGACTTTCACATCTTTTTCTTCTCCAGCCATTCCGGTCTACGAACCTTAGACGTATTGTACAATACTGCATGTCATGTGACATCTTGGTTGCCTCGAGGGACACCCCTTACACTCCATCTCAAAGAAGCGGGAGTGAGTACATTAGCTTCACGACATAAATGGCCATCGGCAAAATTCCATTTCGGACACATTTGCCTCCAATCATCTTCTCCTGCTAATCATCACCTACATCTTCCTCCATTCAGCTTTCCACAAGGTGAAATTACTCCACTTATACCATTTATGCATAAATGGATCACATGCAAGAATGTCTCTCAACGTAAAGTTATTAAATATCACTCTCCAATTCTAATACCTTCAAAAGTCTCAATTTAGGCTGAAAACTAGCAGCTTTTTCGTTCCTCAATGAAATAGATATCCCACAAAAACAAATTGAATTGAATGTTTTGTTTAAATGTTTGAATAAATGTTAATTGGAAATAAATGATTACTAGAACAAATTGTTAAGATAAGGCTTTCTGCATTATAATTCTTCATAAATCTATCAGTCCTTATCTCCCCCTCTGATGACCCTACGAGTGGTCCTCTCAATGTCCAAGCCCTCCTCTTGTAATGTCCACCATGTAAAAGGGGGCAACCACAAACGATTTGTAGCTTACTAATTTTGTGATGGAGTTAATTTCCTTGAGAAACGAAAAAGCTGTTTGCGTTTTGCCTTATCTTTACAGCTTACCACTCCAAACCAAAAATTTACTCCCGCTACAAATTCGAACTCTGTTTGAAAACTTTCGACATCAGAATCTCTCAAACTGTATTGTTCTTGCAATCGATGGATCCTAACAATCTGAAAAAATTGGCTTGGGAATTTATACCTCCAAAGGGCTTACAATCTCAGGTCGCCTTGCTTCTCATACATCGGTCTTTACAGCCCAGAGGAATTGGCCATTTTCCTAGCCCTCAAATATTGCGTTTAGCAACTACCACTGTATCTGTCTAACGGACTGCCGTTCGATTCTTCTGTCTCTCACAAAAGGCATCCGAAAATCTAAGAAAATCTCTTTCCTTCCGTATATACCAATATCGTGAACTTGTCTCTTAATCCTCGAGCCAAACTCCAATCCATCTACAAATTCTTCCAAGCCACGAATCGCTTCTGACTTTTCAGTCCCGCAGTGGACTGATCGTTAAGACACTGTTCCCAGCAGATTACCGAAGTCAAGCATCACTGGCTGAGGTCAGTGTGAGGGTGGGTGACCACTTGGATCAGTCTGAGTAGAGACCAAGGGTGTGCGGTATTGGTCCTCGTTAAACTGTTCTACCGTAAAGTGCTCGACTTCGCGTGCTGGTCGTCGGGCTACCGAAGCGGGGGTGCCATCCCCTCTGCAGAGGATCAAAATTGTGATGGCACGTCTTCGTATCATCCTCAGGGATGCTTCCCAGATCGTCGCCAATAGCCCATTGTGCAGCTCTAGAGCGACGTAAATGAATCACAACAACGACTACAAGCTCCTGCTATCTGTTAAGCCTCAACCCTAAACTTCATTAATAGAAAATAAAGCTATAAGCTAATGCAAGGAGCTCGTCGTACTATTCAACAATCACAGTATATAGCCAACAAATAAGAAGCGTTGAGCTCATCATTGTTTCAAATACAGAGATTAGAATACCTTCTTTTCTTAATTATAAGAAATGCGAGCATTAATTCAGAGGTGTATGAATGCTAGCGTTTCAGGTGAAACAGAAAAACTGCTTCCAATCTATATACATTTGTTATCTGGGAATATTTTGATATCGTGATCTGTCTCCAGGGACCGATCAAGACTAATTCAGGCTCAAGGCCCACAAAATTTAGGGGCCCCTAGCAAACTATTCTGAAACTAAATTTCTGAAGAGTAGTCCTAACTATAAAAGGAATCTATTGAACTGCATGATTCAAGAGAAGCATTCTAAAAAATTTTGAAAGTAGACAATTGAAGATTATTTTTCTAAGATAAAGTTTACGCATCTAAATATTAAAACATAATATAAACAACAAAACAATGTTGTATGAAAATAAAAATAAGTTTGGTGACCACAAACAATTGAAATCAATGATTTTTGCTAAAAGTCTCTGATTAGCTGAATTATTTTAAAGTTTGCAGCCTTCCATCTACAGCTTTACATATTTGTTAAGAATGAGCTTTTAGTTCTTGTTGGCACTAATCATTTATAAGCGAATATGCATTCTCGTTGTATTTGTTTCAGCCGTTGGAGTAAAAATTGCACCCATTAAAATTCAGCTGTACTTTCGAAATTGATTCCTGCAATGTTTACAGGAGTTTGGTTTATCACACTATAAATAATATTTCAAATGAAAAATGCCTTTTTTGAAATAAACTGTTTCTTTCAGTATATAAATATATTTTTTAATGTAATAATGTGGACTTTTTGCTAATTTTTGAGGCCCCCCAGAAAGTATGGGCCTAGGCGGTAATCTGGCCCTGTCTGTCTCACCAACTGCAATCTCGTAAATACTAGTAAAAAAAAATTTAAACTAGACAATTTTTTTTGACGAAAAGAAAAACATGAGGTTTTTTCGGGGGTGGCTGCATGCTATACAATACGAGGTAGTCCCTCTTTGATGTTCTTTTAAGTTTCTCGCTGGCTGCCAGGAATTGGTGATTTTTCAGCCGTAAATCACGATACGAAAGTTTGGCCTTACTGTTTAATTCAGAATGAGAATAAGTATTGAAAATTGTAAAAAAATGGTTATATCAAAAACTTAACAAACCAAGTGTAAAAACCTTAATGCAAAATTTTAATAGCTATCGCGATTGGTCTTGAAAAATAATTGACTTTTTAAAGGTACAAATAATTTTTAAATGAATTAAATTTCAAAAAAATTTAAGCTATAAATCTATTTGGAGCCTTGGTGTGACGGATCACGATAGGGAAATATTCCCTTTTGNCGGTCAGTGTGAGGGTGGGTAACCACTTGGATCAGTCTGAGTAGAGACCAAGGGTGTGCGGTATTGGTCCTCGTTAAACTGTTCTACCGTAAAGTGCTCGACTTCGCGTGCAGGTCGTCGGGCTACCGAAGCGGGGCTGCATCCCCTCTGCAGAGGATCAAAATTGTGAGGTCACGTCTTCGGATCATCCTCAGGGATGCTTCCCAGATCGTCGCCAATAACCCATTGCGCAGCTCTAGAGCGACGTAAATGAATCACAACAACAACTAAAAGCTCCTGCTATCTATTAAGCCTCAACCCTAAACTACATTAATAGAAAATAAAGCTATAAGCTAATGCAAAGAGCTCGTCGTACTCTTCAACAATCGAAGTGTATAGCCAACAAATAAGAAGCGTTTAGCTTGTTTCAAATACTGAAATTAGAATACCTTCTTTTCTTAATTATAAGAAATGCGAGCATTAATTCAGAGATGTATGAATGCTAGCGTTTCAGGTGAAACAGAAAAACTGCTTCCAATCTTCATACATTTGTTATCTGGGAATATTTTCATATCGTGATCTATCTCCAGGGACCGATCAAGACTAATTTAGGCTCAAGGCTCACAAAATTTTGGGGCCCCTAACAAACTATTTTGAAATTAAATTTCTGAAGAGTAGTCCTAATTATAAAAAGAATCTATTGAACTGCATGATTCAAGAGATACATTCTAAAAAATTTTGAAAGTAGACAATTGAAGATTATTTTTCTAAGATAAAGTTTACGCATCTAAATATTAAAGCATAATATAAACAACAAAACAATGTTGTATGAAAATAAAAATAGTTTGGTGACCACAAATAATTGAAATCAATGATTTTTGCTAAAAGTCACTGATTAGCTGAATTATTTTAAAGTTTGCAGCCTATTCCATCTACAGCTTCACATATTTGTTAATAATGAGCTTTTAGTTCTTGTTGACACTAATCATTTATAAGAGACTTTGTGAATATGCATTCTCGTTGCATTTGTTTAAGCCGTTGGAGTAAAAATTGCACCCATTAAAATTCAGATGTACTTTCAAAATTGATTCGTGCAATGTTTACAGGAGTTTGGTTTATCACACTATAAATAATATTTCAAATATAAACTGTTTCTTTCAGTATATATATTTATATTTTTTAATGTATTAATGTGGACTTTTTGCTAATTTTTGAGGCTCCCCAGAAAGTGTGGGCCCGTGCCTATTGGGCCTAGGCGATAATCAGGCCCTGTCTGTCTCGCCAACTACAATCTCCTAGACACTAGTAAAAAAAAATTTAATCTAGACAATTTTTTTTTGAAGGAAAAAAAAACATGAGGTTTTTTCGAGGGTGGCTAACATGCTATACAATATGAGGCAGTCCGTCTTTGTGATGTTTTTTGAAGTTTCTCACTGGCTGCCAAGAATTAGTGATTTTTCAGCCGTAAATCACGATAAGAAAGTTTGGCCTTACTGTTTAATTCAGAATGAGAATAAGTATTGAAACTTTAAAAAAAAGGTTATATCGAAAATTTTACAAACCAAGTGTAAAAACCTTAATGCAAAATTTTTATAGCTATTGCGATTGGTCTTGAAAAATAATTGACTTTTTAAAGGTACAAATAATTTTTAAGTGAATTAAATTTCAAAAAAATTTAAGTCATAAATCTATTTGGAACCTTGGCGTGACGGATCACAATAGGGAAGTATTCCCTTTTGATTTTCAAAACTGCATGTTTCAGGGAAAAAATTCATTTCAGTTGTAAAATGAAAGGTTGTAAGAAGTATTTTTTCATTCAGGTTATACCGAAATTTCAAAATCCTTATTTTCTTTGTGTTTCATTTTTATATTGACTAAGTATTCTTTCGTGTGTTTGATAATTTAATATGATATTACGAGGATGTATTCGATAATATGTGTTACCAGGAAATATTTTAATTTATGGTATAATTATTTCATTTGTTTCCTTGTTAGCAGTATTGGTTAAAACACTTCTTTATGTTATATTTATTTTTTATTTGCATAATTCATGCATATGGTATTAAGTTTTTTGTTAAACAAGGTTCACTACATTTACAAAAGTTACTCTTATGCAAGTGATTCAGGTAAATATAAAATTAAATTTAGTTTGTTAGTTTAAAAAGCTGGAAAAATAATTTATATTATGAATAAGTTTTATGTATTTTTACTGAATCAAGGCAAGAAATGCATGCACATCCCCATCCCTTGCTATGAATATTTTATAAGTCTTATGACAAAGGTATTGAAAAATTCTGTAGCATTGTATTAAAATCCCTGATTTGTGCCAATTGGTAAATTAAAGTGGAAGCACTGACATACATGGCAGCTTTATCAAAGTGGTATTACCATGCAGTCAGTGCAAGAGCTCTTTGTTTGGTTGGCAGTAAATTACTCCAAACAACCTAATAATCTCAAAACGAAGCACTCTTTTCATCATCGGTCTTTCTTTCCAGCAATTACTATTATGTATTTTATGATTTTTAATTGTTTTCTTATTGTGATGATTATTTGCGACATGGAAGGAAATAATTTCTGCTCCCCCTTTCCTCACAAAATGAGAGAATATCGCCTATAATATTAGAATTTAAAATTATCACATGTTCAATTAAAAAAAATTTATATATATATATATTTTAACATAGTGCTTTTGTATTTTAAATTAGAAATGTTTGTTATTATCAAAAGTATCTTGCACAACAATATTAATACTAGAGAGTTTTGCCGCAGATAGCTCCAAAAAAATTTGCCACAGGGTGTATTACAATATATTTTTGTTTCATGTACATATGGATGGATACTGGTGTGGTTAAAATTATAAAGTAGTGACATACTTTATCATAGTTAATTGTACTATTTACATGTCTCTTTATGCATTAAAATTGTATCTAGGTGCTAGGAAATATTAAATTCTGTGGGTTAAAATTATCCTATATCTACTTTTATTATATTTATTTCCTAAAAACAAACAAAATGTTCACTAAAATTTATCTTTAAAAATGGTGTACATTACATTATAATTTGCTTCTTGCTTGAACATGCAATTTACAACCTGTTTCAGCAAGAAATGCAATTATTGTTTTTCATTCAAATTTGTGAATTGCTGACATTTTGATGTTTTATTTATTACTCTTTATTTATTAGATATTTTCCTACAGTTGATGGAGAAACAATCAATAGTATAGGAAGAGGTCTCTGTATTTTTATTGGAATCTCCAGAGATGACACTAGAAAAGATATTGATTTTATGTTAGTGAACTTTTTTTTCTTCTTTCCCTTTACTGTTATAGCATTGTAAATAACACTTTTATAGATTAGTGGAAGTATGTTTTGTGGGTCGTATGTGCTGCATAGCATTTTTAAAAAGTGCTGAATAGTGCTTTGTTGCATGAAGTGTTTTTAAAAAGGACTTAATTTTCCCCTTACAAAAATAATATTTGTTTTCTTTACTATGTCGATTTTCGCTGCGTATTATACAAAACATTGGTTTTCACATTGTTCTATTCAACATTTTCACAATTCATTCAACCACAATGCATTTCTTTGTACTTTCGTATGAAAGAGCCAATCATGTTTGATGAAATACTTGGGAGTCCGTATGTCTGTCTACTGAGCTGGGTTCTGAGAGATTATTGCACTCTCATGTGCAACTCTGCTGCATTTTGAAAGATATTATCAATTTCGGGCATCATTTTCCATCCTCTGATATCGAACCGAAAAAATTTCTTGATCATTTTTTAATCAACAAAAGTGTTTTTTGTCAAAAACTAGTTATTTTATCATGATAATGTAATGTCTTTTGAAATTATTCTGCATTTTGTTAATGTATATAGTGCTTCAAAATATTTTTAGAGTGCTTAAAAAGTACTTTAAAGGTTCCTATTTTTTATTGAGAGATTTGGCTACGCACCCTGTTGCATATTAAAATAGAGAAGTAAGAAGGATTCTTTTAAAAGCATTCCTCTCATAAAATAACTTTTATCCGAAATCACATTTTTCAAAATCATAATCCAAGAGCATGTTTCTGTTATATCTACCTTTTCTTTTATAAAAGTTTGTGTATCATAATTTCAGTTCAGTATTAGTTCATCTTGATTCTGTCTGTCACAATTTTATCTAGGTATCTCTCTAAAAATTTAGGTTTTTAGAATTGACTTAAGTTGCAATTAATCATAGTTCTTTTTTAAATTTTAATCTCTTGTTACCCAGTTTGTGATCAATATTTGGTACAATTTTATCTGTTAAAGAATATTTTTAAATTATTTTTTCTGTTGTGCATAGATGATTGTGCTCTGGAAAAAATCTGGATTTCTGGATATTTCTCTAACCATGATCCAGAAATCCAAGGTCCAGAAATTTCAAAAAATCATTGATCACATTTATGTATAAAAATTTCTGTATATTTTATTTAAAAATATTAGAACTAGAATTTATACTTGGCATCTCTTTCATTTGTAAATATTTTTTTCTGGTGGAATAATAAATGTGATTAGAGATGAAAGTAAAATTTTACATAATTATTTATTTAAATTATGCTGTATGTAATTTATTTAGAATTTTATGTTTTGAATCAATGATTTAAATTTATAAAGACATTAATTGTTTGAAATGGGTCATTAATGATTTTACGCAAGAAATTTTCAGGGTTTTTGAGTTGGACTCACAATTACCCCTGGTTATGTAATAAAACAGTAAAAAATATAATCCGATTTACTCTCCTTAGTTACAGTGAAAAATTATAAGGAACTTCAGAAATTTGAGTCAAATAACAGTTTTATAGCATGCCTAATTAACAGAGGGCGTTGAAATGTAACACAATAATTATGTATAACTTTTGTGACAATCAAAGGATTTGAAAACCTTCCATATTTGTTTGTTTTTATTCTTTACATTCATTATTATTAAATATGGCCTTTTTTTTTATTCATTGCACCATTCTACATTAAACCATTCTGCCGTGCTTAGGGTTGGGTGAGGTGGGCCATTGCCCCTGGACCGCATTCATTCAGGACTGATTAATAGTTACATCACAAGTTTTTCTTAAAATCTTATTTTTACTATTCCTTGGTTATATAATTTATACAAGATATTTTAGTTTATATTTCCAAATATGTCTAATTTCAGTTAATGTTCCTTTATATCAGGACTGTAATTTTTAGAATAACAGTATGGAACTTTTTGTCGACTTCTAACATCATGGAAATAAGAACTGCTTCAGAAAATGTTTAGAAAAATTAAAAAGCATGATTTAAAAATCTTCATTCACGTGAATGTCCTTGTTAATGACATTAGATCCTCACCACTTCTCCACAGCACATGGTAATTCAATTTGCTCTGATTTGCTCGTCTTGACCACTGCTGTAATTTCATCTTTTTACTCTCTTAACTACTGTGATTTTTTTCTAGTTTTGTTTCTTACCTTTATTTTTCGTTGGCAGCGTTGTGTTTCATACTTCAAAGCACTTTTGTTTCATTTCATTCACAACTTTTAAAAAATGCTGACTGTTATTTCCAATTTGTTAATTTTTAAAAAGAATGAAGTTTTTAATCAAGTGACATCTTGAGTGATTCAGTTGTGCCTTAGGCATGCAAGGTCTTAATAGTATGCAGAGACCCTGAATCTGCATGCAGGCACACAAATGTTTCAGTCCCTTATAACACGTCATACTGTTTAAAATGGAACTAAAAAACTTCACATACATAAAATAAAGCATTTTTTAAGATATGCAATAATTTTAACAAATTTAAGTGCATTTTGACTATCAAAAGAAACACGATCCACCTAAAAACTTCATTGAAACGTAAAAAAAGGGATTTCGGTTGCCTTTTTAAGCTTTCCTGGTGATAAAACTATTCCAATTATTGTTCTTTGCATGATAATCAATCACTATTTATGAAAAGAAATGCCTGCATATATTTATTTAAAAAATATATAAATCAATTTTTTTTTAAATTCTTATAATGCAATTTACAAAGAGTAAGATTCTCAAGAGTGCCTGGGATCCCTGGCTGTGCCTATGCATAAAGACAGTAATGACCTTGGAATTTTTTAATTTAATTTTCTGGAATTATTTAATTTCAGTCATGGTTTGCTTTGTAATTCTTAATCCTTATCCCTTAGAAGCAGGTTTGGGGTTTTGGACGTCCTAAACCGGTTTTGAACTGAGCTTTTGGGTTTTACTTTCTTAAAACTGTCCTAAATTAACTAAAAATGTCTTAAAGTGTTCATAACCTTGAACATTGGTAAAAGGTAAAAATTTTATATGTGTAACCATTGTAAACATAATAATTACATATATTAATAAATATATATTATACTTTTTATACAACTTGCTTTAACTTATTAAAGGAAAATAATATAATAGGAAAAAATTTATAACTTTTGAAGCTCCGCAGTTCATTGAACAACAAAAGTGAATCCCTTAAATATGAATAAATATGCTCTTAATACAGATAAATTATGTTTTTGCAGACGGATAAATAAAGCAATGTTAAAGATAATAATAAAGTACTTGTCTTCATTTTGTTTCTACTTCAAAAATTAACATTTTATTTTTCGCTATATTATTTTTAAATATGTGACATAATTTGAGTGAATAAGTTTTGGACAGGATGGTTTAAACTGTGGATTAATCCTTTCTGTCCTAAATCTTGCCAACTCTGCTTAGAAGTTAATCACAACTTTAACAGGTCACCATGTATAAGTATTAATATTATATTATCACAAAAGATTCTTTGTAATAATTGGTGAATCTTTTTTTTTAAGGGTGAGAAAATTATTGAACCTAAGATTATTTGATAATGATGAAAATAAAAGGTGGAGTCTCAGTGTTTTGGATAAAAAGTATGAAGTTCTGCTTATTAGTCAAGTAAGTACTTATTCTTGTCTCACAGTTCTGAGTCTTTTAAATTTCTTATAGCACTTGCAAACAAAATAAAATGTGTTTTTCTAAGCAGTATTTAATTTAAAATTCTAATGTATAAGTCATTAATTCTCACTGTCAGCAGAAATACTCAGTAAATTCATGGGTGCCACTCTGGGGAATGAAATCAGTCTTGAGAAAAATCAATAGACTAATAAATTCTATCATATAAATTAAATTTTCCTAATTAAATTAAATTAGAAATTTATAATTTTTTTGTTAAAAGTTTGAAGAAAATAGTACATTTTAATGAAAAAAAAATTTTTTTTTAATTTTTTTTTTACAATTATTGCAAAATGATCTAGTAATGATGACACACTGCAATGAAAGAATGGTGTCAGGACTTTTATTTATTTTATTTTTGTCAGCCACGCTAAATCTTATTCTTAAATTCCTGACAGATGGTATTGATTATCTGCTTGCGTAACCAAAATTTGTATGATTTCTGAATCTAAATCTGCTCCCCCNCCCAGCTTATTGACATGCTGGCCAAAGTTACATCAAGATTATTACAAAGAAAGAAAGAAATTATAATGCTAGTACAAAATATAAGTAATAAAGTGAAAAATAGAGCCATGAATAATTTCAGGAAAAAGTTAGTTGTTCAGTTATAGGTGTAAAAAGATATACAAGGTTAGCTGTTATTTTTGCTTTGTTTTCTACAAAATAAACATAAAATAAAGAAGAAAAATTTTTTAGAAAAATAACCAAGTAATTGATTTAATTGTAGAGGATTAAATCAAGGAAAGATAAATTTTGGTGACAGTGAGCTATAAATTTCTAAAAGTCCGGTAAACAACACTAGACACTATTATTTGGTTAAAAAATAATAAGTTCAGTCTTAAAAATTTTTTAGAGTGGCTCTCATGACTAAATTTAATTATGTATGAATAAACAACCAATATATACAATATGCATTCACATTTTATTAATAAATTATTCTATGTTCCCTTTATAGTTTGATGTTTCTTTTGTAATTAACAAAATTTTTATCAAAATAATATTAGCAAGCAAAAATAGGATTCATAAATATTAAATAAAATACATTTTTGGTACTGGTTAAAATATAAATTTAGTCTCAAGTGTCATGTCCACTTCATTAAACTAAAAATTTAAAATAGCAGAAAGTCTCTCTTTATTTCTTATAAGAAGTGAAGTATTTAAATGTAACAGAAACAATTCAATTTCTAACTGATTTCACAGTTTGAACTGAACTAATCAAAAATCAGAAAATATTCTTTTGATTCCAGTTGCCATAAGAGAAGCAGTGAATAATTGAGTAATTAGATTAAATGTTTTGACTTTCAACTAATATTCTAAATTCTATTTATTTATTTATTTATTCTTTTTACCAAATTCTGGGTTTACTATTCTAAACTTTATCTTTAAATACAGATTTTTTTAAAGGGTAGGGTCAGGTGGAATGAAGTGGGTATATGTTTAAAAAAATATCTATTTTCTCCTTTTAAGTTGAAATAATTTATTTAATATTTTTAGAGACATTTACTGGAATTGTGGCAAGCATTTTTATTTCACTTTTAGAAACTGATAAAAAGAAATTTAATGTTTTTTAAACCATCTGTTTATGATAAACTTATAAAATTTTAGTTTAAACTGTTGATGAACTTTCATTAAAAGCTGTCAGAAACTATTAATTTTAGTTCAAACTGGTAGAGAAACGTGTAAAGAACAGATCTACTTAGAAATTAAAGAATAAATTTCAAAATTCTATTAAATAGAATTTTGAAATTTATTCTTTAATTCATAATAAATAATTTATTATGAATTGTTTTGTGAGGTGGGCTTAAGTGGGTATATGGTTAGGCATAGCTAAGCGTTGTATGAATAGAAATATTTTTTTTACTTCTGTATTAGCTCTTGTAAGTATCTAATGCTCTATATTTTATAATGAAATAGCTAAAAAATAATTTACTTGTTTGGTTATTACCCGTACATAGTAATTTTGAAGCTGAAAACAAAATTTCTTTTCAATTTTATTTTTTAAAGGGAAGAATGATAGAGGGAATATCAATACAACAGAAATATTACAATTAAACAAATCACCAAACTAGCATAATGGTTAGACTTAATGAGCAGATTTAAAGATACAGATCAGAGCCGTTTTTTAGGATTGACCCAGGGCCCCGAATTCCAAAAGGGCTCTGGAGTTTATCACATTTAGTTTTTTTTTCTTCATCCTAACTGATTTGTTAAAAAAAAAAAAAATTAATTAGTCAGAAAGATTGAGATGAAATATTAAAGGAAATAATTGGTTCAGCCATATGTCTCATCAATAACGACATGTTACTAATGATGGTATAATATGTTCTTGTAGAAGGGGACTTCTAAAGATAACCTGAAATTTGATTTTTAATGGGGTGGTTCGTTTTACTCATTTACTGCACCAGCTATACAATTCCGGGAAAGGGCATTTTTGTCTGCCATTCAACAACAGTAGAACAATGCTTTATGTTTCTTCTTATTTTTGAAAAATTAAAATTTTTATTTGACATAAAATTTGAATTATGTGTTTAAAATAATGCTTGTTTTTCTTTAATGTATTGATCTTACCTGATTTGTGAGAGGCATTGATTCTTATAAATCTAATACAAATAAAAGTTTTAAAAGCAAACTTAGTAAATGGATATTTTTCTTTTAAATAAAAACAATAGAAAATTATTATTTGTACAATTAAAATAATTATTATGAATAAGTAACAATCTAAAATGTTTAAATTTAATGAATAAAATATATTAATAATAATTCTATATATATATTGAAAAAATTCATTAGTGAAATTTAAAAAAATTAACTGCTGTTAATAAATATATTATTATTAAATAAAAATTCTTTTATGACGACATTTTTTGCTTAGAAAATATATTAATATTATTGTTAAAGGAATTTTTCCTTAGTGTAAATTTAAAGAAAAATCATGAAGGAATTATGAGACTGAAACACTAGAAAATTTAAACAAATACTTCTATGTAAATAGATGGTATAACAGGAGAATGAAAAAGTAGTTTGTATCAGAAAATTATGTAGTAATTTTGTATTGTAAATAATAAAACTTCTATCCCTACCTATCCTTTATAAAAAATTTAATCTTCAGCCTTGATTGAAATTATGGACATAAAAGTCACTTTTTACATTTTAATAGTTTGCTTTTACATATCTAATGTTTCTATGTTCTTAGTAGATGATTAAAAAAAATTTTTGACTGCAAGTTAAAGGAATATCAGTAGTTTAAAAATAAGAGAAGTGTTTAATCAAGGAAAGAAATTTGGAAGAATTATTTCTATAAACTTTTCAGAGAAAGCAACTCAGTAGTGTTTTAACCCTTTCAGCATCAATGACCTCACTTAATATCATTTGTATTTTCTCTTTATTTTAGTCCAGAAAGTTTTTCATGTATTTATGTTATTTTAGTGAGTGGATTATGTTAGAGAGGATGAACAGTTTTGGGATTTCTTTATTTTTTTAAATTCTAATCATCTAGCTTTAAAATCTTTAAAATCATCTAGCTTCTCTTTCTCTCTCTCTCTCTCTCTCTCTCTATTTTTAACGGAAAACATAATATCATGTTCTGTAGTACAATTAGTTTTTAAGTTTTCGTTTGTAATTTGAAAAAAGTACTTCAAAGAAGTACTTGAACAGTGCTTGGAAGACAAAAAGTATGAGGGCATTGAGCTATTATTCCCTTATGTTTTCTTCTTTTTTTTTACTTTTTTTAAAATTTAAAACAGATTGAATAATTTGTCAATCATGATTATTGAATGTGGTGCCTGGCAGGATATTAATTTAACTGATGTAGCAGAAGACTTCGTCTCTCAAAAAGCCTGAAAAGTACTGTTACCTTAAACTTTTAATACAAATAATGTATTAACTCTTTTATAGTAATGTATTTGTTTTTCAACGTTAAAATAAAATTATTCAAAATTCAAATTAAATTAAACTTTAAAATTAAACTTTTTTTAATTACTTTTTTACACTTTTAATTACCACTGTAGATATTAATTTTTACACTCTCGTTTACTTTTTCAAATAAGCCAAAACCTATTACATTTTTTATGCATTTTGATGAAATTGTGCAGAGTTCAGCAAAATATATTTTATAAGAAGTAAAACCCAATTTGGAAAGCCATGAACATTATATCTAATAATAAGGAAAAAATTTATTTAATAGCATTTTTTTTTTCTAAAGCAATATTTCCATATGTGTTTCAGGGAAATATATACTAATTTTAGAACTATACCCACTTAACCTCACTCTGGGGATAAAGTGGGTATATCAAAACATTTTTTTAATGCATTAATGTAAGAAAACAATCTAACAAAATAGATAATTTATGCGTCATATTTAATCTTCTATATGAATCCAATGTATATAAAATGCGTCAAAATTTTCAATAAAATAAATTTAATGGTTAGGTTTCAGAGCCTTCTTTTTAAAAAAGCTTGACTTTATAACCCATTTACTCCATCTGAGTAGATGAGAGCAGGTACTGTCTTTGATAAGTATCTTGAACATACTCAATACATTTTTTTATCTGTATTTATTTATAAATTTTTTTTAATAATATGTAATATATATCCATTGAAGTATTTTAACACACCCTGAAGGATTTACAATCTATAAGAATTATACAATAAGTATCATGTGTATGCATATTACACATAATTTAAATAAGATAAGTAAGTTTAGATAAGTAACATATTACAATTTAACCTTGTATTTACATTGCATTTTTAATCTTTTATTTTTTCATGTATTTAATTCATTTGTTCATAATTTTGTTTGCAAAAATCAGTTTACTGAAATATATTTTACGTTATACAATTTCTGAAAAAGTTACTATGTTATAAAACGTTAATATGAATTGAAAATAACAATTTGGTTTGATAATCGCAAAGAAAATGGATCAGCGATAATAAAATGTGATAACCTACTTAGTGGGTATGAAATTTTGTTATGTCTTATTAAATTGCATCAGTAAGTGATGATTTTACCGAAGAGTTCAAAGAGTCAAAACTCAACACTGGCCTAAGACGCTAGTTTACGATCCTTTTGCTAGCCAAAGCACAAAGAAGTATAATAATTAAAATTTGTTCATACTTCCGAGCGATATTCCAACTTAAGATATTTTGCATTGTTTTAGATCCACTTTTGTTAATGACACTTTTTTTTCAACAATGAGGTTTATAAAGATTTTACCATTCGCATTTTTAACTGATAGCAATTTAGAAAACTAGTTAAGGTGTGCAATGTCTAACTTAAAAATATATTTACAGAAATCAGTTGAAAGAAATAATAAAAAAAATCTCATTAATTAAAAAGTCATCTTATTTAAATCCCAGTATAACAAAGAAATCTGATTTATTTTATTTTTTTAAAAAAGCATGTTTTGCGTGGTATTGTTTCTCGTCATCAAAGCGGTGCGTTCAACTATTTGGGTGGGCCAGACCTGCTCTATTCCATATTAAAAAAAGTTCTTCAATGACCTTACTTTATTGGGGCCGGGATAGCCTGGTTGTAAAGACACTGGGCCCATGTCCAAGAGTTCGTGGGTTCGGTCCCAGGCCGACCCAAGACTCCCTGTGTAGTAAATGGTGACTGATGCACGTTAAATCTGTCGAGTCACAAAGTCCTTCCTCTAAGTTCCCATAACAAATCATACCTCTGGGTAATTAATCCAGGAGTTTCCTTGTCTTCTGGATTGGTTCAAGATTACAAGGTTACGGAGTGGAACATCAGTAGTCGTAAACCCAAAAATTGGATCGGCTGTTCAATGACAGATATAAGATAAAAAATTACCTTACTTTAGTGTTATTTTCTCAATTTGTTAAAATTGTCCTTTATCACTGATTGATTTATATTGCAATACCTCTTAATATAATATTTATTTTTGTTACTTAACCATTTGAGTGCTGAAGAGTTTTCTTATATATATGCTAATAGTGCGGAATGAAATGCGTAGTAATTTTTTTGGGAGAACAATTGAAATGGTTATAATGAACATCAACTTCCGGAGCACTTGGTACAAAACAACTTTCAGACACTTTCAGTACAAAATAAACGACGCACTCAAACGGTTAATTGTATGTATTGCTTGAAATACTCAGAAGGAGTAAAAAAAATTTATCAGATGCATTTTGTATTTAAATTACATTTTTAAATAGATAAAATGTCATAACTTTCCCTTATCGTCAACACAAAAATCCTGAACCATTTAAGTACTTTATTATATTAGTTATGAAAATGTTATACATTATGATGAATGCATATTCTGATATGACTGTCTATTTAAATATGTATTATCAATATTCTATTTATATAGTTTGTTCTAGACATCATTTTGCATTCCCCCCCCCCCCCGCAGTGCAAAAAGTGCAAATAAGGCACTATAGATGGCTCTTAAATAAAATATAACTTCAATGAACACTCTTCTCTATACATAACTGCCAACTGTACTGGATTTTACCAGTTTCTCCTGGTCTACTGGTTTTATTTAAAATTCTCCTGGTTTTTGTACATTTTAGGAAATTCCCTAAAATTTAGTAATTTCTCTTAAAAAATCCCTATTGAACTAGAATTTCTGCACAGATTATTGTTTGAATAATTAAATAAGTAGGTATTACTAATACATAATGAAGTGAACCTCATTTATGGAAATCAGTTCAAAACTTTTTTTTTTGTTCAGTTTATTTTTTATTCGCAGCTCTCTTTTTAAATCAATTAAAGAAATTTTTTTACAATGTTTGATGAATTAAATGCCTATTAATATTCGAAATTATGAGTAAACATTTGAAGTATGCTTAATGTCTATTATGACTGGAAAATACTGCAGTTTTACTATAAAAAAAATCTTAAATTCCCTAAGTGTAAGATACTTAGTATGTGTTGCAACAATTATCATAAAATTTATATTATTTAGTAAAATCTAATGGATTTTTTCCTATCCATGTTGGCAGCTATGTCTATAAAACAGTGAAGTTTTATTGCATAACCACTTCTTTTGCGATCAATAAGCAATTTCACTTTTAAAATATCTCTGTGTGTGTGATTACTGTCACCGTAATTTTCTTCCATTTTATTGCAAGAAGTGAAAAAATTTTGATTTGAATATTTTTGTAATTACTGTCCCTGTACACAAAGCACATTTTAAAATAACAAACAAGAGTTTTAATTTAATATGAATTTACAATTTGTGGTATTAAAGTAGTATAAAAATATAAGTGATAAAAAGTTGTTTTTTTGCAATGGAAAAGTAAATATTTTTATGAAAGCTTTTAATATTTCTTCAAAATTCTAGATATAATCTATTTCTTTAAAAAAATTAGTTTAAATTTAAACGTTATTTAAAATGTTTTTCTCTAATTACTTCTTATTTTTTGAAACAAAATTTTTTTTAAAAAGATATTTATATTTTCTTTATGCGCTTTTAAAGTAAGGCGATAGTAGTTATAGTTTTCCAGGTCAATACAATTTATAACTGCCAGTAGATTTTTAAAGTTTTTTTAATTGCTGGTTATTGATTTGTATACTTAAATGTATGGTCCTAAAGTAAAAATTAGCAACATCAAGTTAATTATGAGATGAAATTTCCGTAATTGTCTTAAAATGTTTTCAAAAATATCACTTTAAAAATGGTTTTTGAATTTGACATACATATTCATCAAGTTATAGACTAATTTTTATTTAATAATAACTTTAAAAAAAATTTTTTTTTTAATTATTGAAATTAGTATTAAACTTATTGCAATGCAAAATTGAAGGAGGCTATTTAAAGAAAGCAGATTTTTCATATCTGGCATTCTGTTGGATGACCGTACAAGAACACTCTCGAAAACTGCAAGGCAGAACCTCTTCGTTGTGATCTCACATCCTTCATTATATTTTTTTTTCATTCACAATCACCCGAGAAAATTAACATTGAGACTCCCCCTTAAACATTTTGTTAAGAAATGAAATATTGCTTATATTTCTTTAAGGTCTCTGTAAAATAAGCATAGTTTTACACATATATTTTCTCATACTTAAATTATTTTTATTTTAACAGTTTACACTTCATGCAACTTTGAAAGGTAACAAACCTGATTTTCATTTGTCCATGGATCCTGAGAACTCTCAGAAATTTTATTCTGATTTTGTGGCTGCAATGAAGCATGCTTACGATGACCAACACGTCAAAGGTAAGCACCAAATCCATATTACTTTTGAGAAATTTAAAAAAAAATTTTTTTTTTCATTTCTTGGTAATTAATTAAATGCTCAGTTGGGTGTGCAAGGATAAAAAATCTATCCTTCATGAAAATTTTTATGTGTAGGACAAAATATGTTTTGAGTTCTGATTGACATGGACAGGCCTCTTACATTACTTAATTCTTCGCATTAGCAAGAGGACGTAAAGATCACAGCTTCCCTTAAAAAGCAACCAAATGTTTCCAATTTATGAAAGATTTGTTATGAGGAAACAAGGTGAAGAGTTTCATACACATTTCTAATAGTGAATCTATAAAACGTCAGAAAATTTCATAAATGGCTATAAAAATATTAATAAACAACTCTCCAAAGTTTAAATATCATGGGATTTTCCAGTATATTACTGGATTTTGCCAGTTTCTTCTGGTCTACTGGTTCAATAAAAATTCTCCTGGTTTTTGTTCATTTTAGAATCTTCCCTAAAATTCAGTAAGTTTCCTTAAAAAATCCATTTTGAAATAGAATTCTTCTGCAGATTATTGCTTGCTTGAATGTTTAAATAAGCACCACTGACACATAATAAAGCGAGCTTCAATTATAAAATTCATTGATAAATTAAATGCCTATTACTATTCAAAATTATGAATATACATAATACCTAACTCTTCAAGATCATTTAATGTCATCACAACTGGAAAATCAATCATAACTGGAAAATATTGCAGTTTTTCTATTTTGATGGCTATAAAAATCCTTAAAATTTCCTATGTGTAAAATATTTAGTATATTTTGCAACAATTATCATGAAATTTATATTTAATAAAATCTACTGGAATTTTTCCTATTCATGTTGGTAGCTATGCTATTAGGCAGCCTAGTGGTGGTGAATGCTTTTACAGGTTTGCCACTCCACAGGGAAAACCTGGAAAATACAGGAAATTTAAAAAATCATCTAAAATAACAGGGAAAATGCAGGAGATTTAGAATTTTTTCTTATGTAAAACAAGGAATTTTTGTCTTTTAAGAAATGCAGACCTCTCAAAGCGTAATCTATGGGATATATAAACATGATAGATCAGTGAATTATTAATTTATTATGCAAGGTGCGTAGCGTTTTTAAAAAGTGCTTATTTTCGATTTTTATTTTTTAAAAGCCCTTAAAGGTGCTTTTTTCATTGCATATTTTTTAAAAGTGCTTGATTTTTGATTATGTCGATTTTCGCCATGTACTTTTTTAAAGCATGCTTTTCACATTGTTCTAATCAAAATTTTCATGATTCAGTCAACCACAATCTATTTCGGTTTACTGTCTGTCATTAGCATATGAAAGCTAAAGATAGCATTTTGCAAAAGATTCTCTATTTCAGACTTCATTTTCCACCCTCTATATATTATACCAAAAGCTCTCTCGATGATTTTATAATGGCTTATATAATCAAGAAAAGAGTTCTTTGTCAGAAACTAATTATTTTATCTTGATCATGTAAAGTCTTTGAAAATTATTTTGTATTTTGTTAATGTGTATTGTATTTAAAAGGTGCTTATTTTTTGTCGAAATATTTGGCTTTGTACTGTTTTAACATTATTTTAATTATTTAATTTATTTTAGCATTATTTTAATTATTTAACTTAATGTAGCATTATTTTAGTTATTTAATTTATTATAGTATTATTTCAATTATTTAATTTATTATAGCATTATTTCAATTATTTAATTTATTATAGCATTATTTCTTTTATGTTGAGCTGTTCCCTATTTCACTTTTCCAGCAACTAAAACTAACCTCGTTATCCTAATACAGCTCACAAGAGCGCAGTAAATATGTGTTTCCTCTTAATGTATTCATAGCTGCCAACTCTACTGGATTTTGCCAGTTTCTCCAAGTCTACTGGTTTAATTAAAATTCTCTTTGTTTCTGTACTTTTTAGAAAATTTTCTAAAGTTGACCAAGTTTCCTAAAAAATTCCCTTTTGAAATAGAATTTTTGTACAGATTATTGCTTGTTTAATTTTTTAAATAAGTATTACTAATACATAATGAAGTTTTTTAACTATCTTTGATGAATTAAATGCTGGTTAATATTCCAAATTATGAGTAAACATAATACTTAACATTTCAAGTATATTTAATGTCAATTGATAACTGGAAAAAATTGTAGTTTTTCTATTTTGATGACTATAAAAATCCTTAAAATTCTCTATGTGTAAACCATGATAATTGTTTACTGGATTTTTTCCTATCCGTGTTGGCAGCTATATGTATTGCGTATAATATGTGCAAGAGGGAAAAAAGGGAATTTTTTTATACTCTGTTTATGAAACTGATGTAATTTTTTACATGTTTGGCTGTTAGTCATTGACTATTGGAAATCGTAGACTATATCTGACATGAGAAGAAATGAATCTCATAAACTAATTGATAAAAAAGAAAAAGTTTTTATCCCGTGTGTTATTTTTGGATCTCTTTAAATCAGATCTCTCTATAATTAAGTTAGACATGACATATCAGTTTGAAATTCAAATGTAGACATTGAATAGCCCCATAACATTCATTAACTATCTCTTAATTCATTTTAGATGGTAAATTTGGTGCCTATATGCAAGTAAACATTCAGAATGATGGCCCTGTAACAATGAGTATAGAGTCCAATGAAAATAAAAAGATAAATGTAAGTTTTCTTATTTTACTTATAACCTATGTTTTTTTTAAAAAAATTCTTAATGTATTTTGTTTTTATTCCTTTCACAAAAAAAAATATTTTTCACATTCTCAGCAGGGTTGGGGTTTTAGACGTCCTAAAATGATTTAGGACTGAACATGTCGGTTTTACTGTCCTACGTTGACTAAAACTGTTTTAAAGTGTCCTAAGCCTTGAACATTAGTAAAAGGTAAAATTTCTATATGTCTAACCATTGTACACATAATAATTACATATATTTAAAAATATTTCAGACTTTTCATACAATTTGCTTTAACTTATTAAAGGAAAATAGTATAATAGGAAAAGATCTATAACGTTTGAAGCTCTACAATTCGTTGAACAACAAAAATGATTGCATTATCCCTTAAATATAAATAAATATGCTTTTAATACTGATAAATAATGTTTTTGCATAAGGATAAATAATGCAATATTGAAAATAATAATAAATTTTGTTAATAAAATAAAAACATGTCTTTGTTTTGTTTCTTGTTCAAAAATTATCCTTTTATTTTTCACAATATTTTTTTTAAAATTGTGACATAATTTGAATAAAAGGATTTTGTTCAGTTTAAGACAAAGGGGTTTTTGACAGGATTAACCCTGTAAATTAAGTAAATAAAGTATTATGTAACCCTGTATAATTAAGTTAAAACCCTTGTTTAAACCTTGGATTAATCCATTCTGTTCTAAACCTTGCCAACTCTGGTTCTCAGTTTTATTTTATTTTTTTATTTTATTTTATTAATTTTATTCTGTACCAATTAAACTTCAGAATGAAAGTCTCAAGGGAGTTTTTTTAATCTGTTAGCTTTCACAAAACTCCCTAAACCTCAATAATTTTTATAATTTTTATTTATTATTAAATTTTATATATTTTATTATTATTATTTTATTTATTATTGATATTTATTATTAGGTATTTCCAGAAAAAATGTTCTTCTTATGCAATATATGAATATGTTTTTTTAATATGTTGCAATTAAAATGAATATTACTTATCTGTATAAATATTACTTATAAATACAAAGTAGGCCTTGACCCTCTATGGGGTGTCGCGCCGCTGAGTTTAGTTTTACTGTGCTAGTAGTATGTAGGGGACATGTTTTACTTCAGCCTGTCGTGATCTGGAACAACATGGGTATTTCCCATAGGGAGGAAAGTGAAGTGATAAAGTTTAATTTGCGTAGCAACGGGAGGGATTTTCAGAAGGTCTGAGTATCGATCGGTTTACTGTTGGGGTCCGGAACAGTCGTCGTTTTCGTCGACAGTTGTTTGTTATCTAAATTGTTCATTCGTTTGTTTCATCTAACTGAACGCCAATGATTTCCGGTTCTAATAACCCGGTTTGTCTCGCCAGAAATATCAAATATCAAAAAGTGTTCTGTTAGAGCAGATGTGGAGCAAGAAAATTATAGTAGGGTCGGGGTACAAAAATAAAATGCGCAAAGCGAACTCGTCAGAACACTAAAGCGAAGCATCATAAAACTGTGCAAGGATATATTTTCCTAAAAAAAAGTTAAATAATCAATTATCATATCCATGTGTGTTTACATCGTACATATCTTTAATAATGCGCCTATCTACTATAAACATCTGCTCATTTGAATCCTTGCAAACAAATAATAACAAAGTGTGAAGGAAATGAACACACAAGCGATTTTGAAATAAGTTATATAAATATTACCGCAAAGATTTTGCTTCATTTTCATGATGAATCGAAGAATCATCAATGAAAGTTTATTTATTTTTCCCTCTTTTAAAATAATATACATATCTATGTTAAATATTTATTACATTTATTTCAACAGATCCTACATTTAACATGAGGTTTTTTTATTTAATCTACAATATTATGGCAGAAGGTCTGTGGATTGGAATAACTTGACAGACGACGAAAAATACATACTCAAATATGGTTCCTTTCTGCCTGATATACCCTCATTGCAATAGAAAGGTAGGGTTTTTTTTTGTATAATTGAATGCTTCGTGCAAAACAAAACATTCACGCAATCCGATCAGATGAGACGAAAACAAACAACTCTCGACGAAAACGACGACTGTTCCAAACCCTGACAGAAAACTGATCGATACTCAGACCCTCTGAAAGTCCCTCCCGTTGCCACTCAAATTAAACTTTATCACTTCACTTCTCTCCCAATGGGAAAATCCCATGTTAAACTGCATGCAACTGTTCCAGATTGTGACATGCTGAAGTTGAACATGACCTTTACATACTACTAACACTGTCAGGTCATACTGCAATATTAAATTGGAATTTTTAAAAAATGTCTGGAAATTTTGTTCATGTATTTGAGTAGCAACCCCGTAAATTGCATTTTTTCAAATTAAGATGTGTGGAGCTAAACTTTTCCTTATATTCACTGGTAAATACTTTTTGGATGCTTAAGAAACAATTAAAACTGATACTTTTCTTGTAATACAAAATGAAAATTCAAATCATTTTTTGAATAAAGTTGATAAGTTGGAAAATCAATGTAAGAAACAAATAAGATTGCCGATTTTTGTTTGTTATCAATCTCCTCTAAATTGTTCAGTCAGTTATTAGTTATTTACTCTTCAAGAATTTTTTATTTCAATTTGAAAAAAAGTAAATACATTTTTCGAACTTCGCCTCAACTATAATATTTTTTCTTCCTTTACAACGTTGTTTTATTTTATAAAATAATTTGTTGTATTGTGAATATATTGTGTGTATAGAAGTTATTAAATATAAAGAAAGTATATAAAATAATATATAAGAAAACGCAAATAGAAAATGTCATGGATTTTCATCAAAAAAATTTCTTAACTAATAACTACTCTTAATGTGAACTAATTTACCCTTTAAGTGGATGTTAACAAGGTTTGACTTTATTTTATATCTGTCATCATACAATAAACATCTTTATGCAATTTTCTGTACTGGTAACTCTGTATATTTCCCTGTCTTATGAAATATACATTGTGGTAAATATTTTTCTGAACTCTTTCTTAGAATTTAATTTTTGATTACAGAAGGAAACTGAACAAGAAAATAAGAAATCACTAGAAAATGCAGTGAGGTAAAAAGAAATGTCATCATCGATAATTTCACTATTTATAAATAAAAGATATTTCATTTAAAAATTACATTTTAGTAGTATATCTTCAAATAAAAACTGCAAGCAATATGTGTAACACATAAGTTTTATTCATTGTTTATTCCTCTTTAAGACAAAAGCAACTATTCTTAAAGTTGTGTCCAAAAACTGTATATGGAAATATTTGTTTAAAAATTGAAGATTAAATAAAAATTGTTTCTAAAATTGAAGATTAAATAAATACATCACCTTATATTTAATTTTTGGAATTCTCAAGTTTTTACAAATTATTTCAAGTTGGAAAATCGGTTCTGAAGAAAAATTTTGTCTGCCATGTTCAAAATTTGTTTTTCTTTAGGAACAGCTTTTAAAAACTTACACAGTTCTACTCCTTAATCTTCAATTGTTTGGGACTAATTTATGTATGAAAGTTTCTATGCTAATATTGAAAGAAAAAGTATAATAATTCCAATAAATAACATGTGGGAAAACTGGTTTTGCATGCATTAAAAACAAAGTAGTGTTTTACACCCAGAATTGAGTTTACGGTCAACTAGAGCATAATCATTTAATTTCAATATAATATTTTATGCATATTTATGTATTAACTGGAGTAGTTGATTAAACTATTAAGAGATTGTAGTTTCAATTTTATTTTCTTTGAACATCAAAAGTTGTTATAATTATTGATGCTTTCCTCTTCTCTTAAAATAACTGAAACAATTAGTGTAACGATGACATGGTTCATTAGCGTTTTTATGAAGTGCAAATTGTAAGCATTTTAAAAGATTGTTTTCTTCCCAGAAAACCCTTGAATTTAATTGAATAAAAATCTGCATCAAAAAAGGAGAAAAATATCTTATTATAAAATTATTATTGAGTTTAGAAAAACAAATAAAAATAGCAATGATGTCTATCTAGATAAGCAAGCATTTATAATTTATGGCATAAATATGAAAAATACATGACAAATTATTGCATTCACAGTCTTAATGATATGTAAAGTCAGTACTTTCTCTCTAAAAATGAAGAGAATTCTCTCTAAAAATGAAGAGAGTCTGTTTTATCACGTGAGAGGAGTTAGCGTCACATTGCCCGTGGAAGGCAACGTGTGGCACAAGTCGACTGTGGCATCGTCATCACTGGGATTGAGGATTGCTTCGAAGAGTACGACGCCCAAGCAGAAGGCACCCACTGCTGCAACAGCAATCCCGTATGCGACAAGCAGTCTGTTTTTTATTTTTTTCAGATCTGGATCTTTCATAAGAACCACCTGCATCAGGCAGATACCTGGAAAAAGAATTGGTAAAAAGGCAAAAAAAATTTTAGAAAACATTCGTTCTTTTTTTTACATTTACTAATCAAAGCTATGATTAAATGTATGAATAATACTTAGTATTGTTTCACAATATGAAGGGTAAAATGCTAAATATCTCTAACTAAAATGTTTGATGTTAATTTTTTAAAAATTATCACTAAATAAACGTTATCAGACTTTAGTTATTTTTCAAGCTAATCATCCCTGTAAACTGTAAGGAAGCCAATTTGTCAATTAGATATCAAATGAAGATTAAATTAACTTAGATCAGAAAACGTTTAAAAAAAACTGTTCAGCAAGTTTTTTTTTTATAATTTAAATACATTAACAATGTTTTAAAAGCGAATGTATTTAGAAATAGGCATTATTGAATAACTTAATAATTGCTAGTTAAGAACCATATAATTTTATGCAAAACTAATTCAAAAAAATTTTTTAAAATATTATGTAAAACTAATTTTGAATTAAGAATTTTAAAAAATGAAATTATTTAAATGATATTTTTTTTAAAAATGAAGTGGTAGAAATCACGTGAACCCTGCATGGAAATAAAAGGCAAGGAAAATAATTTTATAGAAATCCATTATTATTAAGGCTCTATAAATTTTGTTTTAAAATCATGCAGTAATTTTTTGTAATTATACGGCTAAACTACTTAAGAACAACTAAAGCAGAAATAAAAAATTCAGTTTGAAAAAAATGCCCTTTTTTTAGTTATTTTAATTAAGATCAGGGTTGGCAGGTTTTTGACATGTGACAGTTTTTGACAGTTTAAACCATGGTTTAAANAGTTATCCTAATTAAGATGTTTCCATTATTACAGTAAAACTAAATTACCTTACATATTTATATTGAAAATCACTGTGAAATGCTTATGGATTAGAAGTTTTATCATAATGACAGGGTTCCCAGCAGATCACCGAAGTCCAGCATCACTGGTGGATGATCACTTTGATCAGCCTGCTTATGGACCGTGGGTGCGCGATATCAGTCCTCGTTTGACTGTTCTGCCGAAAAGTGGTTGATTTCGTGCGCAGATCGTCGGGCTAATAAATCAGGGGAACGATCCCCTCTGCTGAGGATCAAAATTGTGATGGCATGGGGGGGGGATATACTCAGGGTTATTTCACAGACCGCCGCATATAGCCCATTGTACACATCTAGTGCGACTTAAATAACGTACCAACCTACATCTAAATAAACAGCTTTTATGGACAGATGCACAAATAAACAAACATAGTCTTCACACCTCTTCCTTTTATAAACTTCTCTCGGAAAGGTCCAGCGTAATCAGTTCCAATAACGGGAGATATAACAAAGAGTAAAGACAAAAGGAAAGAAAGATCTTAGTGTAAGTGATCTTAGTCTAAAGAAAGATCTTAGTGTAAGGTTATCTGGTCAGAACAAGTGTTTCTTCCATATTGGTAAGCACTAGAGCCCCTGAATATATAGGATAGTATAGGAGCCTTAGTAAGCACTAACTACGTATCTAACATATTTTAAAAATTCTCGAAGTATTCAAATTAACATGAAGCTATATGGGTATTTATTACCGGCAGATTATTTTGCATACAGCTTATCGACTTCTAGTCTCTAATTTTATTTATTTATTAGTCTATTTTGAAACTTATAAAATTATTTTCAACTTGTTGATTTATTTAAAAAGAAATTAATTGGTTTAAATCAACGATTTTTTTTTTCTCAAAAAANAAAAAGAAAAAAAAAAAAGAAAAAAAAAAGAATATTAAGTGATATAAATCGCGTTTTCAGGGTTGCCACAGTCGACTAAAATGCAACTATTTTTGGCATGATGCGGCTATGGCCATTTTTTTTATTTTTTTTTTTGCCCGAAAAGGCTAAAAAAAAAGCAACAATTTTCAGGAAAAGAAGACTATTGGAAAACTTTTCAGTACTTTTAGCGATGTTTTTTAGCATAAATTGACTTAAAAAACCCCGAGAGCTTCTGAACACGCTGAATTTTATTAAAAAATTTTGAGTTGCAAATTTGAGTCATCTCTTTTTAATTCGTTCAATTTGCACAGATTTTATTGTAAGTCTATTTCGCTTCTCGATCACCTTTTCAACTGTTATTGCTACAAAATTCCGTATGATTTTTAAAAACCCAATGTTTAATACGATATTACAATACGAGAAGTTTGGATAAGAGTAATCACTTTTCCCTATATATATATATATATATATATATGCATGCTAAATCAATTATTGATAAAAAGGGAAATTTTTTTAGACAAAGTATGCTTTTAATGAAATTAATAATAAAAAAATTTTTGAACGAATTCTAGTAATTTAAAGTAGTTAATTTTCTGCAATTATACAAATTTTTTTGATGTAAAAATTTAGTGCAAGAACACTAACGTTTATATAAAAATTATGATATTTGCCACCAACTTGACTAAATGGAGCATGGTATATGATGGTTAAGTCATTTAATAAAATTTTTGTTCTTATTTATCAACTATTTTCATAGTTTTCAGCAACTATTTTCATGCTTTAAGCTACTAAAAGCAACTATTTTGTTCTTTTTTTTCTGTGGCAACCCTGTGTGCTTAATCCTAGCTGGATTTTGTGATCCTGAAAGAAGGTAGAGAAGGAATAAACTTACCCGGATAAATGAATATATTGGCTGATGCCACGGAACCCAGGTACTTAAGAACTATTCCGATACCATCGGTGGTGGTAGCTAAAATGAGTGAGGTTGAGAACCAGATCGCACCGGCTACATAGCGTCTTTGTTTTTCTGCTGAAACAAATTCTGATGGTTTGAGGTTCCTCAACTCTGCATACAGACCTGCTGCTGCATCTCTAAAAATAATAAGATATACATACATACAGTTTGTATACATACAGTATGTATACTATATACATACAGTTTGAGGGACCGGAAAAAAATGACGGACGATTTGAACTATGCCAAAGGATACAACGATAAGCTTTAAAATCACGTCAGTTACGTTGATGATGAAATAACGACACAGAATTTCGTAAGCCTAGCTTAAATATTCGTTAAGATTTGGTCAATTTTATAAAATAAAATAAAAATTATACTATATTTGCATAAATATTCAATAAATTTAACAAAATTTTTAGAGTAATTTTAAATGAATAAAAATATAATTTTTTTTTAATGGCGGGCACTTGGAACTATTGTCTATTGGCCACAGAACGAGCCAGAACTGCTAACTCTCTTTTCGTTACCCAGTGGGCACCTGTGACGAAGACACGTCACGTTACCACAACCCGTTTTAACCCGAAGAACAACCCATTCACACACAAAGGAGAAAGGACATAGAACACAGATAGAAAGAAAGAAACATCCATGCCTTGCCCGGGATTCGAACTCAGAACCTTTCTGTTGCAAGGACAGTTCCCTGCCCCCTAGACAAGCCGGTCGGCATAAAAATATTTTAAAATGAGAAAAAAAATTTCATTAAAAATTGCGCTAGATATCTTATCCTAGATTTAAAGTAGTCCTTTCATACTGCGCATGCGCGGAAAAAAAGTATTTTTTCCTTCATAATTTAGTTTAAAATCGTATTTGGTAACTTATGAAGAAAATCCGTTTTGAATATCTTGAAAACTTAAAAAGAGCAAATTTCTATTTTTCTACTTTTTCATTGAAAGCTCTAAATAATAGGGGTTTTCAACAAATTTATTTTGTCTCACAAAACAAAATTTCATAATAAATGATATTGTTCCGCAGTGGACTGATCGTTAAAACTCGGTTCCCAACAGAAAGCATCACCGGCTGAGGTCAGTAGTGTGCGGGTGGTTGTCCATTTTGATCAGGTATGCGGTATGGGTCCTCGTTAAACTGTTCTACCGACTTCGAGATCCTCGGGCTACCGAAGCGGGTGTGCCTTCCCCTCCAAAATAGTGATGGCATGTCTGCGGATCATCCTCAAGGATGCTTTCCAGACCGTTGCCAATAGCCCATTGAGTGCCGGGATAGCCTGGTTGGTAGGGCACTGGGCCCATGTCCTAGAGGTCGTGGGTTCGATCCCGCAGGCCGAAGATTCCCTGTGCAGTAAATGGTGACATGCATGTTAAATCTGTCGAGTCACAAAGGGTACTGATCCGAGACTTTCCTTGTCTTCTAGATTGGTTCAAAATTACATGGTAAAAACTGGGTCGGCCATTTAACAACGGATATAAAATAAGGAAATAAAATAGGCCATTGAGCAGCTCTAGTGCGACGCAAATAAATTACAAATGACACCTTATATTTAGTGAGAATGTGAAAGATCGTTTTTTAAAAGATACTCTTTTCATCCATAGCCATCCCTTTAACCAGTGACTAGTTTTTCGGTGTCATCAGAAATATTCCAAAAACCATATCCAAGCGACTAAAATAAACCCGATTGCTTAATTTAGTTATGAGAGTTTCTATTCGGGGCTCCTCATTCCATTTCATTNTCCCTTTAACCTGTGACTAGTTTTTCGGTGTCATTAGGAATATTCCAAAAACCATATCCAAGCGACTAAAATAAACCCGAATGCTTAACCATCCCTTTAACCAGTGACTAGTTTTTCGGTGTCATCAGGAATATTCCAAAAACCATATCCAAGCGACTCAAATAAACCCGATTGCTTAATTTAGCTATGAGAGTTTCTATTCGGGGCTCCTCATTCCATTTCATTTTCTTAGGGACAACATAATCTACTAATTTTATCTTCTTGAAAATTTTAAGTCTAAAGGGCTTTTTTTTTATTATGCTGGGCTTTAATAATTCGTTAATTTGTTTACCTATTTCCTCTTGTTGTTTTGTGTGTTCGTAAAGACACTCTGATGTTAATCTTATTCTTTGAGATGCAATTCTCCCTACTTTTATTTATCTTTAGCTAAAGTATCTGAAAAATCCTGATGGGAAATAGGGACAGCTCGAAAACAATACTTTCTCTGAATAAACATACCTTTTTTTTTATTTATTTATTCTGCTCTCCTAAATATTGAGGGAGTAATGTTCATTTTACATTTTGCGTATTTCACATAATTTCAAGAACTATTTGAACGAATTTAAAAAATTTTGAATACAATTTAAAATTTATTAATCCAATGAAGATTCCACGCATACAAATGACTTATAGTACAGTAAATATTAATTATTTTTTATTCTATAATAATCTAAATAGTTTAGAATTCTAAGGCAGACAAGTTTTTACAGCATTTTAAAAAATATAATTTTACATGGCAAATTACAAGATGTGACAAGTAGTTTCTAAAAAATCGAATGTTCGATTTTGCACACCCACTCACACATATACATTTCTCTATTCTAAATTGTGTGTGGATTTGTTTGTTTTACTATTTTATTTTATTTTTTTATATATAACCGTCGTGGAACATTTGACCCAGTTTTTTGGGTTCACGACTACTTATATTCAACTCCGCAGCCTTGTAATTTTGAACCCAATACAGAAGACAAGGTTAACTCCTGGATCAGATATTGGGGGAAATTTGCCTTCGTGGAGGACTTTTTAATGGAACTAACCCGCATTTGCATGACATGAAGAGGAAAACTACGGAACGCCTAACTGCTGACGTCAAAGGGACTCTAACCCATGATCCGTCTACCACTGAGGATATTTCACGTCAACAGCGTGGTCGGCGCAATCGCATCAACCAACCATTTCTGAGATTCGAATCCGGTTTACCTCATTGGAAGGCGGACGCTCTTTCCCATGAGCCATGGCGGCTCCCTTATCGTTGTATTTTAATCCGTCGTTGAGCAGCCGACCCAATTTTGGATTCACGACTACTTATGTTCAACTCCGTAGCCTTGTCTTTTTGAACCAATCCAGAAGACAAGGAAACTCCTAGATCAGTACCCCCAGAGGTATGATTTGTTATGGGGACTCGGCAGATTTAACGTGCATCAGTCACCATTTACTACACAGGGAGTCTTTGACCGGCAGGGATCGAACCCACGACCTCTTGGGCATGGGTCCAGTGCCCTATCAGCCAGGCTATCCTGTTATGTGGAACTTAGATGTAAGAAGAAGATTACCTTCCGCAAGTGGCGAGTATGGGATAGGTGGCAACCATTTTGATGATGAGTGCAAAGACGCCCACCATCACGAAAGGATCGTCTGCGTTGTACATCTTCATGACATTGTGTGTCACATTGGCTCCGAATGTCAGGTATCCGAAGCATCCGATGATGGAGTAGACGATGAAGAGGAATATCATGGCTACAATCGATGACTTCACAAAATTACCCAAACGACGCTCTCTCATGCACGAGTAGACAGGAACGACCACCTCTTGGCACTTAAGAACATGAAAGAGAGAGTCATTTACCTCAATATCGTGTTTTAGCCATTCAACTTGACTAATCAGGCTATTTCTGAGCCTATTTGGATTTTTTCAACACCCAAGTCAAAATTATTGATGGTTTTCCATGAATGGACCAACATAATCTTGATGATAACCATCAATAATGCCATCATGAACCATTATATTTTTTTATGGTAATCAGCATAAGCAACCATATTCCCAATGTAGGAATTCGGATTGATTTATGATGGTCCAACCTAAGAATAGCAAAACTTGTTTTGATGGTTTGTTCATAAATTTGAATCATAGTTTCGTAGAAATCAAATGTTGGAACGATCATAAACCACCATCACTCCAATATAGGAATTCGGACTAATTTTCGATGGACCAACATAAAAAATAGATTGTTTTGATGATTTATTCCTGCTGAACCAACAATAAATCCCATTAAACTATCATGGAAATATATTGTTGGAACCATCATGGATTGTTGGTCCATGAAAATCAAACTTCCCTTGATGGTTACCCATCATAGTCTTAAAGTAGCATATCAAAGACCATAAACGCATAATGGAAAATGTTGGATGATGGTGACCATCAATTGATGTTGAACCATCATGAACAGCACTGTAACTAACATAAACCATTAAAATGTTTTGATGTGACCATCAAGAATTTTGACTTGGATAATTTTCGGAAAACATGAAGTTCAGATAAATAATACCTTCCTAGATTACTTCTGCAATTCTTATCCTCTTTTTTTTTACACTTTATAGGCTTTTTTGCACAGCACATTCGTGATTGTCATTTGCTTCGGGTCATTGAGTTCGGTTTAGTTGTTTATCGCTACTTCTTAGACCATTTTAAAAATAAATATCTGCTGATAAAAACTACAAGGAAATAAATAGGTTTTATAAGAACGTTCACTTTACGAAAAAAACAGGCTCAAATATAAATACGGAGACTTCCTCGTGACGAGCACATTCGCGCGTAATCAGCATACAAAAATGTTACAATGAATAATTCAAGTTTTTTTTTTCTCTCCTCCTCCCGCCCCAGTCTGGGGTGTTTCGTCATGATTGTTGGTGACTTACCATCAGCTCCGACCACTTTAATTTTTATGAAATTGGAGGCACGCATGTTTCTGGGAGTACAAGATGCTGCAACCTGCGCAAATCATGCGATTTAGATAAGTTTCTGATGATAAGTCTCGTTCTTCATCCTGACTAACCTGCTAGACATCGCGATGTTCCTGTCCCATTATCCTCCATAGCTTGTATGATATCCGATAGATTTTTGCTATTACGATGAACTATAGATCTATTTTGAGATCCGACTTCTCTTGGATGCAAACCAACACCTCCTAGGAGAAGGCCTCTGCACCGGGTTAAGAATAAACGCGAAACCCGATCCTTTAGTAGTCCGAACCTAGTGACATCTTTCGTATTTATCCTTCATTGCGCAGTTTAGTAGCCCGAACGTAGTGGTTTATTTCGTAAATCACTCCACTGTGCATTTATGTTCGTTACGTCGGACTACTAAATTGATCCACGCAGAGGCCTTTTCTAGAAAACGTTGTGCAAACCCAGTTTTTCCACACATTTTTTTCCTATTTTCCAGGACTAAAAATAACTGCAGAAAGTCATTCCTTTATAATACATAGTTAAAAGATGCGTCTGGTTGAGTAGGAGGCTGCTACATGAATAATAAAAGATTCACTTACCTGATAGCCTAACCCAAGTACTGGAAACATTGCAAACATCCCTGACAAATCATCCGGCCTAAAAGAGAAACATAGAATTTATCTTCAAAGCAAAAAAAAAAAACATTATCCATAAGTTCAGTTAACCTCCCTAAAAAGCTGATATTTGCTATTGCGAATAAATAAACTCATACACTTTAAGTATCGGCTTAAATGCAACACGTTTTCCAGTATCAAAAAAAAAAAAAAAAAAATCGAAAAATATTTTTTACTTTTCATTCCCAGAATGCTGGAAAAGATTTCATCTCACTTTGTGCATGCGGAATAAGATCCCAGAAAGCAAGTGTCGGAATTTTCTTCTTATTGTCACAAAAATGTTGGTACTAAAAACCTTTTTTCAATAAAGCAAAAATATTGCAGTTTGAAACCTTTCATCCTAAAACGATTAAAATTTATTTTTTAAAGCTTTTTTAAAAAGTATTGTCACTTTCGTAAGATGGCCACTTGTGTCCATCATGACGTTTTAGCTGTCGTCACACAAGCGATCGAATCAAACCGCATTGTCCATCAAAATTCCGTGACAACGCGGATTTCAGCTGAGCATACAAGACGTTTGCGAAAAGAAACCTTATAATTACTTAGATTTAAGGTTATTATCTCCTTGAGAATGGCTTTATTGAAGGATTTTTTCATGCTTTGAAACCCTATCTTCGATGTAAGGTTTTTATATAGAAGGTTGTTTTCCAAGTTTATAGATTAGGGTAATGTGCATAAAATAGAGCAGATTGTCACAAGTCTCGTTTTAAGGTTAGAAGGTTTACACGTAAACCGCATAACAAACCTTTTTATGTTTACATTAAAAGATTTTGGTGAATGAAAATAAACGTTATTTTGCCATCTGGGATTTTACCTGCTTTCTTCAACAGCTGCTTTTAACGGCACCTACATGTTAATACATAGAACAAAAATACCAAAATAGCTTCTTACGATTATCAATAATTTAAAATCCCTTTACCTTTGATGAACGCGTTAGAATAAGCAGAACTAAGTAAAAAAGGAAAATGATAATATCCTTCCTTGTATCCTATCCTTCTGTAAAGAAAATGCGGACACAATTTTTTGACATGAAAATAAATTTTAAAAAATTTCACACAATATCAAAGTTTACAAAATCAATTTCAAATGAATAAAGTAGAGAGAAATTGTATCCAATTCAATTTTAGAATAAATACAATTAATTGATTCACAAATTACTTAGAATGATTTACAAATAGCAGAAAAGTGATCAGTAATGTCAGCTTCGTAAGCAGCTGGATGTCATATTTTTTGAAAAGATACGTTCTGTTTAGTTTTATGAGTGATAAGAATTTTCTGAATATTTACAAATGAGTAACGAGTAGAAATGTTAGATCACCCATTATGAACTCATTATTGAAACTTTTATTTTACGAGTAGAATCATTATTCTAAAATGACCTTTGTATATTTAAGTTTTAAATCATCACTATAAATTAAAATAGATTCCACGCCACAGTAACCATAGAAAATTCAATATCTCGCGAAAGATTTAAATTATTTGTCAGATAAAGCTGCTATAACACCAGATTAATTATTTCACGACAGTAAAAATGAGATTTAAAATTACAAATATTATGGTAAAGATTCCTTTTCATAAATTCAGATAAAATTGAAATATATCGTAGGCAAGAACTTATCACAAGATCATCAAAATTAAATCTAATACTAACAATCTAGAGTAGTTATTATAACTGACAACAGATTTTTAAAAAAAAGAAAGATTTTACACTATCAGACTATATCTCAAGATCGTCTATATATATATGTATATAATAAGCGCAAATAAGAAGAATAAAACAAAATAGAAAAACTTTTAATGGAAAAAGAGTAAAAGTCTTCATCAGGACACGTCCTTTACAATAAATTTGATATTTCTGAATGAAGAATAATTATCCTAACTTAAAAATTACTCTTCATAATGTGTCTTTATCGCTAAAAAATAAAAATACAGTTGAAAATGAGTATGAAATAAAAGAAAGCAGAAAACAAACTTACCGACGTGCATCAAAAGAAAAAAATATTTTAAAAATAGATGTATTATAATGCATATATATCGCATTTATTGTAAAGAATGTGTCCTGATGAAGACCTTAACGTTTTCCCATTGAAATTTTTTCTATTTTATTTTATTTTATATTTCTTTGTGCTTATTACATACATGTGTGAGTGTAATTATCTGAACTACTTCACAGAATGGCAATCAAGAATTCGAATAACTGTAAATTTAATTACACAAATATCGCGTGAAAAATGGCAATGTTAGAAGGGTCCTTTCATGTATAAAATGTGAGTGGTCTAAAGTTCCCTCTATCCTTCCCCGGTTTCGCCCTCCCTGTCTTTAAAGTAATCATCCATTCCAAATCATTACAAAGATAGTCTACTTACTTCGTCTTTATTTCCACATGTTTCACATTCAGTTTAAAGTATCCGTACACAGTTAAGAAAACTGGATACAACATTGCAAAGATTCCAACTGACCTGGAAAAAAAACGGTCTTGGCTGGTTACATAAAATAAAAATTAAAAAATAATGTTTATTTTTTTCCATGTTTAAAAAGGTAAAAATAATTTTTTTCAGATCAGGTCGCATCACAGTAGAACGGGGTGAGCTCTGCATTTTTTGTTCTTAGACTCAACAAAAGTATATTTATTTTTCTCCTCTTAAAGTTTATTATTAAGAAAGAGCTTTTCAACTTTATTTTCTTCTTTTTAAATTGCTTCCGTTAATTTGTTTATGTTAAGAAATGGACCATATATTGATTAGCAATAAATTTCAGCTACACCATTTTGGAAATGATTGCAACTTTTAAAGGCTCATAGTTCTAATTGTGATTTGAGCTCTCTAGCTAAGCAGAAAGTTTTTGAAAATTCGATGGCCTATTTACCGCTTGCCAATCTACGAATAAAATCAACTTTGAGAACAATAAATTTATAACGACCCATGTCATTTGGTATAGTGAAATGTCGTTAGAACGAACTGTACTTAATTAATGATGATTTTTTTTAACCCTTATTTGCATTCGATTTAAATTTGTAAATTTTTTTTTTAACATTTAAGGTCTTTTTAGATTTAGTTTAACACAAAACTGACTAAGATAATAAATTTTCTTAAAACATTTTTAAGGAGTACATTAGAAAAAATATTGTAACTAAGGCTCATGACACAAAACTCATCTCTACATGGCTAAAAAATTTCAAAATTTAAAGTTTTTTTTTTTCTCTATTCTCTGTAGAAATATGTTCTTTCGCTTATTCTTAGAGTGTTTATATATATTAAGTAAAATTTTGTCTGGAAAGTGTCAGCCTTTTATAAGTTTAGGGAAGTGAGAGAAAAAATGGTTGAATTTTAGTCAACTATAGGTTTTTAATTATTTTGTAGTGCTGTATTTGATAAAATCTTCCCCTGTAGGCTTTAGACACCTATGTAAATCAGACTAGCCCATGAATCCCACAGTAAATTTGAATGAGACTGGAATATTCAAATTCTTTCAGAGGTGGGTTAGGTAGAATTTACTGCAGATGATGTTGAATGCATTATAACTACCTTTACATCTACAGTTTCTAGAGAGAGATTTTGAGCGCGCTGATTGGATTTCTCGGCAACGCCTTCTGTGACGTAAGGCTATTTGATTCTGCTATGCTTGCTATTTTAAACAAAGAGCGATTTCTGTGCTGCAACTTTTCTTTTTCAAACTTGAAATGTCAATTTTGAGAAACTGCCTTCTTTATTTAAAAATAAAATAGAAACTATTTCATCCAACATCAATACCATTAGAACCAATGTTCTAAATTTGCATAAACTACGTCGACTAAAAAGTAAGAACTTCTAAGTTATATATAATATATTAAGCTCAATAAAGAATGTTTGAAATTTTGCAAATCAAGTTACCAGGAAAAATTATGAACGCTTTATTAACATTTTAAAAAAAATGAGGACATTTCATTTTATCAAGGGCTCATAACTCAGAGACCAACTATTGAATAGGAACAGAATATAATTTGTTCATGGTAATAACCCCCCCCCCCTTCATACACACACACAAATTCTAAGGCCGTCTGCTGCTATAGAAACAAGAATAGCGCATTTGAGGGAGGGTAGCTTCTCTTCACTCTAGGGCTAACACAGTAGACAGAAGAAAAAGATTGTAGTGTAGCTACCACTACAAAAATACAATTCCAATTTATTAGTATATGAGACATGTTAACACGATTCTTTCTATTTTGAGATACCTCTTGATAGATGAAGGTTGGCATGGTCTCAAACTCCTTTCTCCACATTGGTGATCCGGACGTGATGAGAAGATGCCTATCTTGACAGAACCTCCCATTTCAATTTGAACACGCCTACTTCAATGAATGGGCCACATTGAACAGTTGACTTGCTATTTGTGACTGCGAGATTGTCCACCTCCTCGCGCTGTTGCTACTTCTGTCTCAATCACGCACAACATACAACGTATACACTCGACAGCTAAAAAGCAACACAAGAGCAATCGCAAACGTGAACTTAATACAGTTCTCCCGATCAGCTTCCAGAAGTACGGTGATGTTAATACAGCTCTCCCGGCTGTTCACAAAACAGCAATGAATCAACTAGTGGTATCCCATTCATCGAATTCTATCACAGATAAAATTCTGCCGAGGAAGTACTGTATTATATCTTCCACTACAAAAATACAATTAAAGTTCACTAATATAAAAGACATGTTAATTTGATTCTATCATGGGGTTCCTCTTGAGAGCAGACACGGTGTTAAACTCTTTTCTCCACAAAGATTCTCTCACCGACCCGAATCAAAACCTGCCCTAAATAATTATCCCACACCCCTACTTGAAATAGTTATAGCTCACTACCATAGTCGCCGCCACATGTTCAGACGAATGGATAGGGGAGTTCTTACGGTAGACAAATTATATATATGTGTGTATTGAGTGTTAAGCAATAAAGATCTCACCCAATGAATGCCAGGAAGTCAACTCTCTTACAGAAACAGGTGGGAAGGATGAGGACTATGGAAATGGCAGAGATGGTGAAATGTCGATTCAGGAACCACCGCTCACAGAAGCCTGGACCATACAATGAGTGCAGCACTAGGGGGATACATCATCCTCGTTAGTCATTAGACCATATTAAAATGAACAATGTGATTCTAAGTTTTAAACAAAATTTAAAACTAAACTCTCAACTTTTTTTAAAAATTGTTTGTCTTGATGTGTTGTTTCCAAATAAAATATTCCATGGTCCTACCCAAATCAACATTTTTTATTGTTTTCCATTGATGGACCAACATAATCTTGTTGGTAACTATCAATAATTCCATCATGAAGCATTATATTTATTGATGGTAAGCAACATATGTAGCCAACAAAGTAGAAATTTGGACTGATTTAGGATGGTCCAACATAAGAATAGCAACTTTTTTTGATGGTTTGTGCAAGTTGAACCATCAGAAATTTCCGTCATAGTCTATTAGGAATCAAATTTTAAAACGATCGTGAACAACCATCGTCTCAATATAGGAATTCGGACTGATTTAGGATGAACCAATATAAAAAAGAAAAATTTTAATGTTATATTTCTGCTGAACCAACAATAATCATGGAAATGCATTGTAGTACCATTAATGGATCATCACGAATTTTCAGTTTGAACCATCATGGATTGTTGGCCCATGAGAAACAAACTTCTTCTGATGGTTAACCATCATAGTATTAAGGTAGTATTTTCCATCATGGAATGATGGAAGTTTGTGGGCCTATCAAAAACCATGAACGCATAATAGAAAAATGTTTCGATGATGGTGACCATTAAACAGGACCGTGCTGGTTTCATCCTGTTTAATGGTGACCATTAAACAGGATGAAGCGTGCTGAAAGCAACTTAAACTATCAAAATGTTTTGATGGGACCAACAAGATTTTCCTTACTTGTTCAAATGAAAATTGACTGTGTTTAAGTGAAAGCACACACCTTTTATTTTCAATAAGTTATGTATTTTTGGTATTTCTCAGATTTTAAATTCCGCTTCGTTTCAGATTTAACGTGCATTAGTCACCATTTACTACACGGGGAGTCTTCGGTCGGCGATAGTTCGATAGTTATCAAAATACGAATGTCAAGAGTAATAGAGAGTGCCAGGAAAACATTTTTAAAGATGTGTTCATATTAAAGTCAAGAACTGGTCTAATTGGCTTGTTGCCTTGCATTTGCGCAAGGTAACATGCTGGATCATTACTAATTTAATCTCTTAATTTTCAATTTTAATCATACAAATATATCGAACCCACGACCTCTTGGACATGGGCCCAGTGCCCTACCAACCAGGGTATCCCGATTTCTTCCTGTTGACGAATATCTACGGGACATTAAAGAGTGAAAACTTTGGGGAGGGGCACTCACGACTGTCCATCTGGTCACCGATGATGATGAGGAAAGCGACGCAAACACAGTAGAGAGTGAGTGTGATGGTCAGGGCGGCCAACTGTTGTCCCCTTCGTCCGCACATGGACAGTAGGACATTATGGTAAGTGTTATCCCCATTGAAGTCACTGCAGTAAGCCAGGATCAACATGGTCGACAGCATCATGAGGACCATCACCTGCAAACACATTTAATGTAATGCAACAAGAGTCAAACTGTGCTTTAAACTAAGTCTGACTTTTAAAAAATATGAAAGGAAATCAAATAAACCTGAGGAGTTCAGTTACATTGGAAGTCACTATTGTAGCATGCTAGATAAAGAGGCCCTTTAAGATGTCATTCCCGTAAGAAAGTCATATATCTTTTTTTTCAGTCTACTACTGCTCCATGTATTGTTGTCGTAGGCCATTAAAGCGTAGGGGGGGGGTGATTGTTCTTGTTTTCCAGTCGCGCCAGCTATGGCCAAGAATTCGACTTCTGCCACATTTGTACGTCACACCCGTCTGTAGGATGGACCCATTCATATATTCAGTCATTTATCCACAGGTCGTAATTTGACCTGAACCAGAGAACGATCTCCAATCCAGTACCACCATAGGTATAATTTGCAATGGGAACATGGAGGAATCTTTGACCTGACAGATTTAACGTGCACCAGTCACCATTTACTACACCGGTCTTTGGCCGGTTGGATTTGAACTACCGCTCTCACAAACGCACGTCTAGCGCCCTACCAACCAGGCTACCCCGGTGCCGCTTCATGTATTTGAAACTCTATACCGATTTGCTTAAAGGAATGCGAATGAAAGCTTTGTTTGAGCTTGAAATTCGTGATACTCTGACTAAACCGATTTTTCTACATTAGGAAGACAATATATATATATTAATAATAATATTTAAAACAAACGAATGAAAAGTTTCAAGGAGGACTTATTTAGTTTGCCTGCATCAAAATATTCCTTTTTTTTTTAATGCGATGTAATTTTCAAACAATTATAGGTCATTTCGCGATCGGACCGAAAGCAACGAAATTTGGTCTACAGATAGTTCGAAGCACGATAAAGGCCACAGTCAACATAAGAACTTTTTGCTACGTGCCGTTCGAGCGGGATGAGTGAAAAAAGAATTGGACTTTTCTGATTGGTTAAGCTTAGCCATTGCAATAAATTTAACTACAGACGATTCAATTTTTCGAATATCTTAAAGAGTAACATCAGTGCAGTTATATTTACTAGCTTATAGCTATTTGATCAAAAGAAAAGTTTATTGTTCGTATTTTAATATTTAATTATGTTTTATTTTCTATGTCAGATAAATTCATTCAGTGCCCTAGTAGCATTCGGAGACTTACATTACATAATTAATATTTCTAAAATTATCTGAAACCACGTGTTTACTTTGCTTATAATATTTCTTTTAAAATGCGTTCTATAAAAGGAAATAAATTAAAATAAACGGTAATTGAAATTAAAAAATAAATTAGTCATGTATTTGTGGAATGACTAAAACTACGATTATTAAACATTGATTCACTAGCATATATGAATTCTATTTGTTTTTAAAATTCTGTATTTAGTTTGCTGCCACTAATAATTGATGTATTTCACACAAACTTGAAGCGTTATGCAATAAGTACCAAATATACTAATATCGGTGTATTATATCGATATATTTGGTGATTATTAAAACTGCATCGATACTAAGCAGTTTTAATACTGGGGAAATAAGTATCTCTTGAAAAGGAACAGGAGAAAAGTACTGCTGTAAATTGAGTTGACCTCGAACTACTCAAAACGGGATATGATTAATATATTAATGCAAAGGAAAGGGCAACAAATAATAATAAATAATTTCAAAAAATGAAAATGAAGATCTCAGGGGAAAAACAGGTAAGTGACATTTTCAGAGAGGCTGTAATCAGGGTGAGAATTGTTATTAGAAGTTGGGCCTCAAAATTCTTGGCCTTATTTTATTTACCACTGCTTATTTTGATAATAAAAATCACACAAGCATACTAAATACAAATATGGATTACCTTTATGAAGACTAAAGTGTAAACAAAAACAATTCTGTTGCATTAAGCAAATGGATGCAACAGCTCTATGTTATCTTCACTGATTCATGAATACCCCTAAAAATGTCACTTACCTGGTTCTTCCATTAAGCTCTTCAATTGTGTTGGTATACAGTCCCTGGCCAAATTATTAGACGCACTCTGAGATTCTATGTAAAATCTTAATTATCAAGTGATACTATATACAGCTGTATTGTTTTTAAGAGACTGAAACCCGTTTGCACTTGTTTATGTTCGTGTATCATCCGAGTAAAAACAATTAAGCTGTATAGTATTTCCTGATAATTAATATTTTACATAGAATATTATAGAGCGTCCAATAATTTGACTAGGGACTGTATATAAGTATTACTATATAAGCAGACTTACCACTTGTATGAAGGTTGCATATAATACACCACCCGCTTGATTGTAAGCGGCAGGAAAATTGAGGATACCGATACCCAGGGCTGTATTTACAATTAGAAAAGACGTGGACAACCAATTGGAACCTACATTAATTAAATAAAAATTATAATAAATGAATGTCTAAGAGTACCAAAAATTATGCATATTTTTAGCATAATCGCAGCGAAAGTTTTAAAAAGAGGCTGTACTACACGTGGCAGAATCGTGGCGACATTGTAGCGGAACGTTATCGAATTCTAGCAGAAAGATTTTTCTTTTGAGAAATAATTTGGGGTTTTTTTTCTGCAGAAACTTTCGAATTCTTTGATCTTTTCTTCTAAATTATACATATTAAGATGTTTTTCTCGCGCATCGGTGTGGAGAAAAAAATACTTGTGATTTTTCTATTCTCATTTGATAATAATGAAAAAATAAAGAATAATGAAGTAAAAAATTTGGATTTCTTTTCTGCAGAAATTTTAGTTCTAATTTCTTTATGCAATCATTATTATTGTTTTCAAAATCCGATGTCTTTAATACGATACTATTGTACAACAACTGAATCTCGAAATGAAAACACGCTTTTTATCATCGGATTCCGTGATTTCCTCATCGATCTTTTTCTTTTTGCGGTAATATCTGCAATGGATTTCACGATTTTTTTTAATTATTATTTTTTAATGTGATGATGACTACAAAAGGCGAAAGAGAAAATTATTAGTGTGTTTTCCCCCTAAAGAATGCGAGAATATCGCCCATGATATTAGAATAAAAAAATATTAATTATTTAATAAAAAATTATTTTATTAATTATTTTTTTTATTTTATTATTTTTATTATCTATTTATTATTATCATCATTTTTTTTTTGAAGTTGACGCTTCTGTTACTTTAATTTAGTAACATGCATATTTGTTATTTTTAAAAGAGCATTAGAGAGGTATGTCGCTGAAAGTCCGAAAAAATTCTACCATAGGGACGCAGCATATCTTACTTGTGCCCATAGAGGTTTATGAAAAAGTGATAATATTTATTTTGCTCTTTAACTTTTATCATTTTTATGGTTCATGCGAGGCGGGGACGATCCTTGTATCTCTCTACCTTTCTAAAGAAACCCCTTTACTTCAAAATAAATAAAACTCCCCAAGCATGAATAACTTGTGATCTAATCATTTTTTTCCGCACTAATATATTTCACAATACTATTAAGTCTAAAAACACGGGAGAGGGATAGATTTTAAATAGGCTGACATTCATCTTAAGTTGCAAAATGATAAACATTAAAACGTAGTTTCGTTATAGATAAACCTGCTTCTTTTCTTTTCTTCAGCGGATTAAAATTTTTATCCTCTTTAAGTACAATAGAAAATATGGTTCAAATATATAAATCAAGAAATGGGTCGAAACTACGGACCCACCAAGTGCTGTTTACTTAGCTTAAGACGAACTAGGACTTGAGTTTAGAGTGAAGCCCTCTAGCCACGCGGAGGACTTTGTAAACCGACAGATTTAATGTGCACCAGTCACCACTTACTACACATGGAGTCTTTGGCAGGTTGGATTCGAACTCCTGTTCCAGTACCCTGTCAATCATACCTTTTGTTAAGTTCTTCGCGCTCGTAAAGCGCCATTTTTTTTACAGGCACAGACAAGCCTACGACGTTCTTTCATTTATAGATCAGTTTCACGATGATTTGGTGATCAGAGCAGTGAGCAATTACAAAACTTAATCACTTAAAAAATTTCATCTCTCGTTAATTCATAATTTGACTTAATAAAGATATGAATTGAGAGTTTTTAATTTTGAGCGTTTATGTCTGAAGGACCGTTCATTAATTACAAAAAGTATTTTAGAATTTTTATTGTAGTTCTATTTTATTGGTTTTGTTCTTAAAATTTGCAGTAGTCTTGGGTCATCAAAAAAAATGTATTTTAGAGGCAAGATTTTTTAAAAAAAAGTATGAAGGGATGCAAGGGAAGCAAATGCAGTTAGAAATCTTATGTGATTCAGATTTGTCATTTCAAAATTATATTATTTATCTCTTTATCATTTAATTTAAAAATTTATTGAAATTAAAAATTCACTTATATTTATTGAATAGGGACCCTATATTAATTTACCACGAACAAAAATATTTAGCTTTAATTCTCATTGTATTTTCATCTAAAAATTATTGAAAAATGTTTTTTTTTTTTATCATTCTATCAAAAAAACACTGAAAAAAATTAATAAAGGCCTTTTACTAATTTACATTTGCGATATGAATTCATTTAGATTTTTTTAGTTTGCTAACTTTTTTTTACTCATTTTTATATTTTTTAGTGTGATCAATATTTATTATAGTAATCTGATATTTTTGTAATTATTACAAAAATATTGTCTTGTAAATATTTTTTGCTTGGTAAACATTTATAAAATTTATTGTAAAAAAGAGAATCCCTTTGAAGGCATTCAGCAACTTAAATAGTTGGTACTTTATTAGCATAACCCAAGTTTGACCCCTTGTTTGATTGACATATGTGTGTCAACAGAACATTAATTAAAGTCAGCTCTGATAAGAATCGACATACTCAGATAATTCTTTCTTTTATCAACGGTTTTATTTTCTTTACTTACATTTCTAGAAAGAATGACGACTGATAGGTAAATCCCAGAATTTATATAGGATAATTTTCTGTCCCTCTTTCATTCCTTCTTTACAGCACAAATAATGTTCTTTCTTTAAAAAGAGAATAGTTACTAAATCAATGGCTATGTAAGAATGTTTTTAAGTAGACCGGGGAAAAAGTGAATATTGTATTGGGGATTGCATTACTTTTCTTATTCCAGATTACAATGTAAGATATAATAATTTCATACGAGATGTTTTAAAGATCGATATAATTAAAGAGAGAATTTAATCAGAAATAAATCTACAGGGTGTGTAGCCAGATTTTTCAACAAAAAATAAGCACCTTTTAAGTACTTTTTAAGCACTCAAAAATATTTTTAATCACTTTCCAAAAAAAAAAAAATCATAATTAGGATCTGTGCAGGAATAAAAATTATTTTTTTCTATCGTTTAAAGTTATCGTATTTACAAACATAAAATCAATAAAATTTAAAAACTTTACATGATCATACATCATGATAAAATAACTAGTTTCTGATAAATATTGCAGAGAAAATTGTGAAGATCATGCATTTTTTTTTTTTTTGTAATTTAGAACGACAATCGACACTGCAAAGAAGAAAAAAAAATTCTTTTTAAAGCATAAGTGAGCACTTTTTACAAACCCAAAATCAAAAAAGCACCTTTAAAAGCTTTATAAAAACGTAAATCAAAAATAAGCACCTTTTAAAAATGCTACGCACCCTGAATTAAAAATTTTAGTTTTGACAAAAATAATTATAATGCGATACGGTATTCATTTTACAAGTTTTTTTTTTTAAGACAACTTATAAATGAAACCAAATAACATCTGCAAAACTAACTGACAATAATATCATCTAAATTTTATAATATCCCAATCAGTTACTTCTAGGAAGTTCTTTGCCATTCTATGTACAGTGCGCACCTTGAACAACTTTTGAACCAATGATCGGATCTTCACGTTTTAGGACTTAATAGTTCATGGGGGTGACCTCAAATATGCCCATTAATTAGTTCAGACGATATTTTAAGCTACGAAATCAGAAACCAAAACGTACCTTCTCTGTATAAATATACCATTTTTTCGGCGTATTCGGATTCAAAATTTAGGGGGGGGGGCTGGAAAATATGTTCCCAATAGTTTAGGGAGGAGAACAATCAAAAGTTTGGGGCCCTTAATGATAATTTTACTGTTTGCGTATTTCGCTGTATGTCGAAAACTTTTAAAGCGAATAAAAAAAAAAAAATTCCATAATTAAAAAATTCATGTATTCGAGAAAAAAATTCACTAAAAATTCTTTTTCAACTGTTATTAAAAATTTATAAATTTTATTTAATAGTAATTGAAAAAAATTTTAATTGTAAGGTTTACAATTTTTATATCATTGTTAAAAATGTAATTTTACATTCTAAATATGAGCGAATTAGGTCGAAAAGTTCCTAAGAAATCGAATTTTTAAAATACGATTTTCTCAGGAACTATTCGACCCATTTCGCACACATTTTCTATTTTGCCGTGTAAAATTGCATTCTTTAAAATGATGTAAAAAATTGCATACCTTACAATTAAAATTATTGTTGATTATTAGGAAATAAAATTATAAAAATTGATAAATGTTTACTGTTAATGTCTGGAATTTGAATAAACGAATTTTATAAGTGTGCAAAAATATACAATTCGCTTAAGTAGTTCTCGATGATATATGGGGAAATACGCAAAGAGTAATACTCACAATAAGGGGTCCAAGCTTTGAACCGCTCTCCTGAGCAAAACTATTGGTGATGCATTTCCCATATTGCAGCTACCCTCTATATTTTGGGGGTCAGAAATTCGAGTCGGTCGAAAAAAATGGTATGTTTATTCAGTGAAAATACGTTTTGGTTTCTGATTTCGTAACTTAAAATATCGCCTGCACTAATTAATGAGCCTATTTGAGATCACCCCCACAAACCATTAGGATTGCGTCCTAAAACGTGAAGATCTAATCAATAGATCAAAAGTTATTCAGGGTGGTCCGTTTTTTATTATGAGCACTGCACAAGCTGTTGCATGCAAGGATATTACTTACACAAATGAATTTTAGAGATAAATTCGCATTTTTTTTCTTTTTCAAAAATCAAACCTTCGTTATTGGCGTTATTAAATCAAATAATATTCAAATCAGACCTTAATAATTAATACAAAAAGTGATTTATCTTTTAAATCATCAAGTGACAACAAAATTTAATAATGAGGTTCTGCTGTAATAAGTTTTTTTCAAATGCGTGAAAAGCCTCTTTTCAAAGAAAATAACCATTTCCTTTGAAAAGATGTTTTTCAAAAACCATTTTCTTTGAAAAGAGGTTTTTCCAAAACCATTTTCTCTAAAGCTTCATTTCCAAAATGAAGAAAATGAAGAAAGTAATTAATTCCATATATTCAAATGCATTTCCGAGGTGACAGCTCCATATTTAGTCGCCCTACTGGTTTTATAACTATTAAGAAGTAACGGATATGGCGAAACCAGTTATTTTCGTCCTTCCAAACTAGTATTACAGAAACAAAGTCGTTTTCTGAGGAACTCAACTACCTAGATTTAGGGAAAATATTAAATAATCGTTTCAACTTAAGGTTTACGTTTTGATTTATTGCACAAATACTGCAAAGATGTGTATAAACATTTGATACTTACTTCGAGAATTATTAACCCTTGTTGGGGAAAAATGCCATATAGAATGGCAATTATAGGCTTGAAATTTACCACGCTGATAGAACCACGTATGTTTGTAAACATATTTTTTTCCCTCAATTAGTTCGAAAGTTATTGTAATTTTTATTGCTAATTTTTTCTCACTTTTTATCTTTGACATTTTGCTTTGGTGCACAAAATATAAAAGATTTAGAAGCTTGAAATTACGAAGATGTGCAGAAAAAATTACAGAGAGTAGGACAGAATAATAAATTAAGATTAGAAAATGAGTTCCAAAATTATTAAATGTAAAACTTCAGGAAAAAATGCCACGTTTGTTTTGTCTGTAGCCCGCTGAAATACAACAACGGGATTAAAATTTGACGTGCTGAAAGAGCCATTTTTATTTCTGAATTTAACGCACATTTAGCTTCAAAATTCCAATTTGCACGAAAGTTATTGGAAATTTAAATTTTTTTTATGACCTTTATTTACTTTACAAGCTTGCGATCAAAAGTAGTAAAAAATAGAGAGAGAGAGAGAGAGAGAGAGAGAGAGAGAGAGAGAGATTACGCACAGCTAATATAAAAACACTTTTACCAAAATTCAGGAGAAAACTATTGAGCTTTTAATGAAATGAGCAGCAATTATATTTCTAAAGATCTAAAAATAGGTATGTTATTGTTCAATTGCACCTTCAACTTCAATCAAATTGTTTCATTGTGCTTTCTTATTGAGATGCTTCTTCAGAAACGTTTCGACCGACCCTGTAAAATACCCCCATATATAAATATTTTATGACCGTCGTTGAACAACCGACCCAATTTTTTGGGGACGTTAACCTCTGTAGCCTTGTAATTTTGAACCCAATCCAGAAGACAAGGGAACAGTATTGGGATAAATTTGCCTTTGTGGAGGACTTTTTGATGGAATTAACACGCATTTCCGTCACATGGAGGAAAACCACAAAACCTCCCACGGTTAGCCTGACGGCAAGGAAACTCTAACCTATGATCCGTCTACCACGGAAGATATTTTACATCAGCACTGTGGTCGATGCGAGCCGGGTGCGGAATTCGTATCGACCAGCCATCGCTGGGATTCGAATCCGGTTTACCTCACTGGAAGGCCCAGGGGTTTTCAACTTGGGCCGGGGGCCGCAATTAAAAACACCCAGTCAAATGGCGAGCCGCAACTTTATCAAACTTTCATATGGGACTCTTTTATGTTTGAAGGAACATGAAATATTACTGTCAGATTTTTATCAAAGTTTCCACCCATATAAAAATAACGGAAAATTTTCTTTTGATTATGCATTCACAAACGAGATATTTTGAGAGAAATGTCTTTCATATTATAGCCAGGATTCTTATTTAAAAAAAGAAAAATATGCACATTACCAGAAAAACTTACACAACAGAATTTTCGATGTTTATTAGCATTAATATACTTTTGAATTATAAACGAATTTAAAATATTGAGCAACGGATTTTCAAATGCCATTTTTTGTTGTTGAAGTTTTTACTTGATTCCATCAGAAAAAAACAAAAAATATTCATATTTCAAGACTTTTTTTCTTCTAATAAATTCTCTTTTATCGTTTGCGTTGTTTTCCCGGCTATAGTGCTATCAAAAACATCATTCAAATCTTAATTTAAATATTTGTATTTTTAGCTTGTTTTTGACATGGGTGCATAGAGCAACACTAAACTAACCCAACCGTTTTTTCAATAGCAACGACGAATGTGCAACTAGAAAATATATAATTTAAATACAATTAACCTTGTTAAGTAGGTAAGATCAGAGCGTCAGAGAGGGATTTTAGATGAAACGAATTGTACCACGTGATGTTAACAATTTCATTTGGTTCTTGAACTGTAAATGGAGTTATTTAAATCCTACTATTAGTTTACACCCTCATTATGTCATGTTCGAAGTTCCAATTGATAATAAAATACTTTTTATACATCCATTCAACTTCAAATACATTTTCTTAAATTTGTAGTTCATGATTCTTGATGTTAATACAGTTTTTTCAAATATTAATTCATTCATTAAATGTAATTCATTAATTTTAGTTTTATATAGGAGAAATTTTTTTAATTATTTAATGAAAAGTAAATAAAATAAAATGTTTCTTTGTTGAGCTAAGCAGGAATTGATTTAAAAAAAAATTTTTTTTTCTTTTTTTAATATTGCATGTTTTAAAATTAAAGTAAAATCAAGCATTTTTTTTTAGATTTAAATTAACTTCGCTATCACATTAAATAAGACAATACAGTTTTTCACTAATTTGCTAAAAAGCACCGTTTTGAACAAATCGAGTTTTAGTAAACTTTTATGTTGAACGGTTGAAACACATACTAGAATAAAAGTGCTTTTACCAATATTCTCTTAGCAAATCTCTTTATAGAAAGCAATTCCTCATACGATTGAAACAGGCATTTCGATTTGTTGAAAAAAACACCTTTGTTTTTGTACTTTTATATGAATTAAATCAGCTAATTTAATTAGCTATTTAGTTTTTGAAAAAAAAACAACTCCGGAATGAATAGTTGTACAGGGTGCGTAGCCAAATTTTTCAACAAAAAATAAGCACCTTTTAAACACTCTAACTCTTTTTCTTGATTATATCAGCCACCATAAAAACAATTTATGCACAATTTTAAATACATACACTATTGAGTGGCTCATTCTACTTTTTAAATTAATAATTACTTTGCTTCATTATGCAAAAAATTTTAAAGATGGTAAAGAAAAAAAAATCTCATTTTGGAAATTAAAAATGAAAGCACTTTTTAAAAACTTCCAATGAAAAAAGCACCTCTAACAAGTTTTTAAAAATGCTACGCACCCTGTTGTATTGTGAGAATGCCACTGAGAATTAGTTCACTCCCATGGGAGTATCAAACTCATTCACAGCCCATAAAAATATATCTAACTTTTTCGAAAAAAATAATTTTCTCATATTTCAGTTATTATATCCAACTTTTTCAAACAAAATAGTACAATTTCATTAAAAAAAATTGGGCAAATATTTCATAGAAAAAGCTATTTTTTCCACTCATAAACAGGGATGTTTACCAGACAGTCGCCAATAGCCCACTGTGCAGCTATAGTAAATGAACTACAGCAACAAAAAAACTTTTTTAATGAAAAATAATCCAATTTTATTAAAATAATAGTAATAAGACTATGTTAACCTGCTAAAACAGCAAATGAGAAAAAAAAATACTAAAAATAATTTTTTAAAGTAGAATTTACCTTGCTTTTTTATACATTTTGCTTCTTTAGGCACCAACGGTCGAGACTCAGCGCTCTCTTCCTGAATTATCTCTCGCGTCGAAGAGCTCTTTTCTTGTCGACTTAATGAACACACATCTTTCGACAATGTTTGCCACAAAACATTTGCCGACAGATCCACGCTCGACATTTTATAGATGAATTTTAAAGAATCTCTCCTCTTTTTGTATCCATCTTTAAAGACTACTTACAGCACTGAAGGAAAGTGGACCATTTGGGAGAAAGAAAAAAATAAACGCAGAGCTTGCTAACCACGTGGTTTTCGGCCTTGTTTACATTTAATCTTCGACAAGTTGGTGTGAAAGGTCGGGGAATGTTTACAAATTAAAAATCGATTATGCAACTCAGAAAAAAAAAGTTGCGTCAAAAATTTTTGAAGAAGGAGTATGCTTTGAAAATAGACAGAAACAAACACAATTTTTGGGGGAAAAGGGTGGTTGCTTTAAGCTAAAAACAAATTGAATTAATAAGCTGCAATCGAAATATTTAATAAATAAATAAAGAAAGAAGAAGATAAAGTCGCATCTGCTACATTTCTCACAAGACAGATCTTGCTCTACATCTGGAATGATATAATAAAAATTTAGGATTTTTATTTCTTCATTTTTATCCCGCAATCTACAAGAGCACGATGTTCCATTTGTTGGGCGAAAGTGACGTCACTACATTTGGAAAAGTGCTTATTTTCAGATTCAATACATGCTTATTTCATAGGCTCCCCCCCCCCCAGTAATGTTTATTCAGTCTCTCTATTTATGATGATAAGGAGTTGTTGATCATAGAGTTCCCAAATGGTGTTCCGCGAAATCTCAGGGGTCCGGAGAAGAATTAAAAGGGTTCCGAGAGCTGTTATTTTAACTTTAAAAAAATATCATTTTATTAAAAAGTAATTATTATTTATTAAATTATTATTTGAACAATTATTTTATTAAATTTATTATTTAAAAGGGTTCCGGGAGCTCTAATTTTAAAAATCTGTTGTTGTTGTTCATTTACGTCGCACTAGAGCTGCACATTGGGCTATTGGCGACGGTCTGGGAAACATCCCTGAGGATGATACGAAGACATGACATCACAATTTTGATCCTCTGCAGAGGAGATGGCACCGCCGCTTCGGTAGCCCGACGACCTGCGCGCGAAGTCGAGCACTTTACGGTAGCACAGTTTAACGAGGACCAATACCGCACACCCTCGGTCCCTACGCAGACTGATCCAAGTGGTCACCCACCCGCACACTGACCGTAGCCAGTGATGCTTGACTTCGGTGATCTGCTGGGAACCGTGTCTTAACGATCAGTCCACTGCGAGACTTAAAAATCTGTCATTACACTTAGATTCAATCAATAATTTAGTATTTCGGTTGCCATTGCGTTTTTCAAATCGAAAAGCTAAATAATACGTTAAATTAGTGAGAAATAGTTAAATTTGTTAATAATACGTTAAATTCGTTAGAATATATGTTTTACTCAGAACCATTTTTAACGTTTATAGTAGTTCTTTTTACTTTTCATTTCAACAAAAACCATATTTCGGATAATTTTATTTATTTTCCGCTCATTTATGTTACAGAGCATCTGCTACATTTTAGACTTTTAAATTCATGATTAATTCCAAGAATTTTTCATGACTTAACGATTTAACCATTTTCTCCGGAAAAAAAAAAACAAGAATAAATTTTAAAATGCATTATAACAACATTAATTGAAATTAAAGGTATAACCAAAACTGTTATACTCTGCATCTTCATATTTATAGATTTTAAAATTACAGAGTAATGAAAGAGTTGAAGCAATAAAATAGCTGGAAAAAATACAAAAGCAAATTATTTTTTCTGCAGAATTATATTCTAAAGATACTGTCAGGATCCTGATTCCTCTCCCACGCATTTGATTGACCCCTGACCTGAGGGTAAGGGACATGGGAAGTGTCGTTCCCCTACATTGGGGGTGGAGCGAAGGACTTTTTCTTATGAGAAAGAATATTTTTAGAAGAGTATTAGTTTGAACGTAAAGGAGTTGAGTATTAGCTGGACTAGGAGAGCGAAGGTATGAACTGGAAGGGAGCAGGAGAGCTCCGAACTTAAATGCCATGTAGATTATGTATATACTCATATTTTACTTTTTACTCATAATTAATCCAGAGATGAAGAAATAAATACTTATACCTGAAATAATCCTTTGTCATCCTTATTGAGGATTTCATTAACACGAACCGAAAGAGAAATGTCTCACAGATACTTTTCTTGTTTATCGGAAAGGAAAGAAATATTTCTGATTTTTCTGTTCTCATTTCGGAATAAATAAATAAATAATTACAAAAATTTCTGAAATCATAAAAGTTTATAAGGTAATTCGCTCAAGAAATGTTTTTTTCTTACATTTTAAAACATGATAAAAACATTTTATAGTTTAATCAAATATGACTGTGAGTGGGGATTTTGTTACAAATTAAGATATTCGGAACACCATGAAATGGGGGGTGAATTCCATTTTAAAAATTAGAATTTTCAGCGATCTAAATCCATGACTTTAAAAAAAAAAAAAAAACAGTTAAAATCATGACAAATTTTGTTCAATACCAAAATTCATGACTTTCCAGGTGTGCAGATACCCTGAATGTATATACACCAAAAATAAATGCGGATTCAACTGTTGGACATAAAACCTTATTTAAGATAATTAGTGGTAAAACGATAAGAAAATGTTTGTTTTTTTATATAATCTTATAAAATATATTCAAAATAAAGAAGCCTTTAATTATTTAATACATTCATATTTGTCGTCGCAAATTTAATTTATAATAAAAAGTAGATATTTTAAGGTTCCGATTAAAATTGAGAACCTAAAGCAAGCGATATGTAAGCCAGTGTTTCCCAAAGTGTGGTACGCGTACCCCCAGGGGTCAAGGTTGGCAAGTTCCTGCCGAGGTGGTTAAAACCACTGGTAGAAACCGGCATGGCAAAAACCCTGGCAGAAATTCAGAAAATGACATAAAAGTAAGTACTGAGATTGAAATATAATGGATAATTCATAGAAAAAACAATTAAATGTTAAACAAAGTACAATTTATTTACAAAATTATTACCATTCAAAATCAAATATTACATAGTTTGCACTCTGCAGTAAAATATAACAAAAGATAAATTTTGATGCAGTTTCTAAAGCAATTTCTCAATTTGCTATGCATGAACGAGAAATTTGAGAAGATTCTCTCAAATCGAGCAGAAGAAGCTGGCACTGCCATCCACAAAAGATTCAAACTGTTACTGTTATAATAATTGGATTGTTGCCATGCAAATTATGTCTTGGAAAAGAAAAAAAAAACTATTTGAAAATAGCTCTATTCAGTTATGTTAAGAGTTAAATGATAATTACTGAATTTCAGAATTTAATATATTAAACTAAAAATCTAGTATTTATATTTATTATTACAGTACTTTATTCTTCATTTTATATAAATATTTGGCACTCTTTATATTTAATGTAAACAAAATAATATATATTTACAAACAATGAATTAAAAAGTTTGTTACTGTTACATTTTTCAGTTTACTTAAACAAAATGTCATTAAGCAATTACAAGAACTAATATAGAAGTTTTTTTTAAGTTTCTGCCACTTTTTACAGGTTATAACCAGTTTCTGCCACTGGCATGGCAAAAACCGGTTTTTGCCGGCAAAAAGCCAACCCTGCCAGGGGTACGGAAACAGTTTAGTGGGGGTACTCGTTCTTATGCGAAATATCTTGTAGCAAACAAAAGTTTCAAAAAATTTTATTTAAAAACAAAGCTAGCCAGGAACACTTGCAATTACGTATTTTTCAATTTTTTGCAGAGTTAATAATTAGTGGTGTCAGCAGCCAGTTGTGATTTTTAACTTTTGTGCAATTTCTTTATAGTAAAAAATACATTCATTTTTTTATTAGTGGTACACAACGTTACGAAAAATTTACAAAGGGTACACAAAAGTCATATGTTTGGGAAGCATTGCCGTAAGCCACCGTAGGTCAAAGTTAAATTTTGTTGTTGTTGTTAATTTACGTCGCACTAGAGCTGCACAATGGGCTATTGGCGACGGTCTGGGAAACATCCCGGAGGATGATCCGAAGACATGCCATCACAATTTTGATCCTCTGCGGGGGGGGGTGGCACCCCCGCTTCGGTAGCCCAACGACCTGCACGCGAAGTCGAGCACTTTACGGTAGCACAGTTTAACGAGGACCAATACCGCACACCCTCGATCCCTATGCAGACTGATCCAAGTGGGTCACCCACCCGCACACTGGCCGCAGCCAGTGATGCTTGACTTCGGTGATCTGCTGGGAACCGTGTCTTAACGATCAGTCCACTGCGGGACGTCAAAGTTAAAATTGGTAGAATATTTTATTTTTACTATGATTTAATATCTCCGCTATTTTTATGTACAAGGTTCGTTTTCATCCGGAACACGAGAGTCTAACATGGAGCGTTGACTTATATATATATAGAGAGAGAGGAAAGTGTAAACAAACTGAATTACTTGTCGAGAAAAAGGTTCATTCATTCATAACTTCTGTTTTACTATCTCAACTCTCGAATGTTTTCCTGCGTTTAACGAAAGCTATCATTATATATTGGTCATTAAAATAATATTAGTCCAGCTTATTACAAGTTTACTAAAGCATACCTGCCAACATTGGAGAAATAAAATAACGGAGATTTTAACAATCATTTTCAGGCTGTGAGTAAAGTTTTGATACATCATGCGTAATCATGTAAGTCAAAAAGATAAATTCAAAATTGGAAATATTACATTTAGCGAAGTAAAAAATAAGTTTTTACATCTTAATCTAAAGAAGATTTTTTTAAAAAACCATTATTTATAATTGCTTACACTATTTTATTTTATATCCGTATATGAACAGCTGACCCAATTTTTGGGGTTTACAACTACTAACGCACAACTCCGTAGCCTTGTAATTTTGAACCATATCGACAAGACAAAGGAACTCCTGGATCAAATATTGGGGGAAATTTGTCTTCATGGAGCACTTTTTGATGGAACTAACACGCATTTGCATTACATGGAGAGGAAAATCACGAAAAACTCCCATGGCTAGTCTGACTGCAAGGGGACTCTAACCTATGATCCGTCTACTACTGAAGATATTTTTACTTAAACTATTAACACTCAACATACTGCAGTACTGGCAATAGTACTATATGTTGAGGAATAAGAAGTATTTTGGCCATCAGCAAATATTTTATAGCCAAATTTTTCTTTTAAATTTCTTCAACAAATAGGGAGAAATTTGAGAATATATGGGGAGACAGGAGATAGTTGTGAAATACAGGAGTCTTCCTTTAAAAACAGGAGATTTGGCAGATACGCAAAATTTTCAGAACATTTTCTATGGATGAATAGAATGTGCTCTGCTGATGATGTGGGAAGAGTAGTATTGAATAATTAACTCATTTAGGGAGATAATTTAAAGCAGAGCTAAAACGGTTCACTAAAAATGAACATAAAATACTTGCAGTGAGACAGAATAATGTTACTTTTTAATTCACAATGATACAAAAAAGAGGACAGTTGCAATGAGAAAGTATTCACCATAGTTCATAAAATAGTTTTAATAAATACTTTTCTTTATTTACAGACAAACAATACAAATCTTCCCAAAAGCTTCCATTCCTCTGGTTGCCTTTTCACTCCGAACACATTTTCTTTTTAATCTTCACAAAGTTCCTGCCAAGAACAATCCGAACGTATACAATTTTTTAGAAACAGAATACAATTGTAAATAATTAATTTACAATTAGGGCTAATTAAGGCTGATGAAAAATATATTCATGCATGTTAAAATCAAAGCACAAAAATAGACAAATGGAAAATAAGAGAAATAAAATTTATAAAACAGAGTTGGCAAGATTTAGGACAGAATTGATTAATACATGGTTTAAACCATCCTGTTCAAAACTGTCTTAAACTGTCCAAAATCCTTTTATTCAAATTATGTCACAGTAAAAAAATATATATATATATATTGTGAAAAATAAAAGGTTAATTTTTGAACAAGAAACAAAATGAAAACTAGTTTTTGTTTCATTAAAAAAGTTTATTATTATTTTTAATACAGCAGTATTTATCCTTATAAAAAAACATAATTTACCAATATTAAAAGCACATTTATTCATATTTAAAGGATAAAATATTCACTTTTGTTGTTCAATGAATTGTGGAGCTTCAAATGCTATAAATCTTTACCTATTATACTATTTTCCTTAAATAAGTTAAAGTAAATTGTATAAAAAGTATGAAATATTTATTAATATATGTAATTATTAATTTACACTGGTTACATCTAGAATTTTCACCTTTTACCAGAGTTAAGGGCTTTGGACACTTTAAGACAGTTGAAGACAGTAAAACTCGTGTGTCCTGCCTAAAGCCAGTTTAAGACATCCAAAATTCCAACCCTGTTATAAAAACGACTATTACTTATTGATGAAATTAACTAATAAGTTTTTTCTAACCATTTTTTTTAAATATAGGTAATATTTCTTAACTTGTCTATTAAGTTACAGCCTGGCAATTGGTTTCAGTATAGCAATGTTGCTTAAATTTATACTAGAACTTGAAAATTGTTGAATATTTTGTTTGCCGAAAAAAAAAATTTCTCCATAAAAATCTGTAAAATTTTTTAAAATTTTAATTTACAAAATTTTTATTTTAAAAAATACTTCTTATTTTTCAATTTCTTTGAGCTAGTATGGCTTTAAAAAAAAGCATACTTGATTGTAAATAAAAAATGGTCATTAACATGATTTTAATCATGCATGGTTATAGAATCTTTTTTGTCTTCAAATGTTAACTTTAAAAAAAAGTAATGAATCATGAAAATTCTGTTTCAAAAAAGTGTTTGCATTTAAATAATGCTAAACTTAACTAAAAAAGTCGGAATCTTAAGTTACATTTTAGAAAAGTTAGAGAAAGTCTAAAAACATGGCACTTCGATGAAATCAAAACCATCTAGACCTTGCTACAACCTATACACTGTAAAAAAATTCCATGGCAAAATAGTGGCAACTATTTTGCACAGGGTATCTACTATATTTCAGATTTTCAAATCTATGATTTTTCATGAATAATTCCAAGAATCTTTCATGACTTACTGAAGTTATTTTCTCTGACAAAAACACAACGATAAATTTAAAAAAGCATTATAATAACATTAATTGAAATGATACCTATAACCAAAACTGTTATACTCTGAATCTTCACACTTAAAGATTTTAAATTTAAAAAACAGAGTAATGAAAGAGTTGAAGCAATAAAATAGCTGAAAAAAATACAAAAGCAAATAAATAAATACTATCAGATATATGTAGCTATTTAAATCTGTTTTATTTATTCTTTAAAGTAAGTGTAATTAAAAAGCCTAAACTAGAATTTTAAATTGATAAAATAAAAAATAAATTCTGAAATCACAGAAGTTTAAAAAGATAATTTGCCTTAGAAATGATGTTCTTTCTTTCATTTTTTAAAAGAACACCATAGTTTTAAAAGAACATGATTAAAACATTTTATATTTTAATAGAATATGACCATGAATGGGGGTTTTGCTATAAATTTAGGTATTTGGAACATTAGAACACAGTGAAATTGGGGAAGGGGGAGGGATTCCATTTTAAAAATTGTTAAAATCATGACATTTCATGACGAATTTTGTTCAATACTGAAATCCATGACTTTTCATGATTTTTCAAGACTTTCCAGGAGCGCAGATATCTTGTTAGCACCATAGTAATGAAGTGAAACTTTTTAGGTCATGGTGTTTCCAAATAACCAAAGAAAATTCCTTGTGTAGTGAAACACCAATGTTTTTTTAATTTTTTAAAATTCTTTTTTTATACTACTTGGCAGGAAAATAGCTATCGCTATTTTTAGTACTTAGTTGCACAAAAATATTCAATTACAGTAAGATATGATACACATAAGAATCAGTAAAGTTTTTGTTTTGTTTTTACGATACAACATGAGGTAAAACTCTTAAATTTAGGATACATATAGACACTAATTTTAAAAATAAAATTAGTTTGTTGATCAACCACAACACATTGAGAATACGAAGATTAATTCAAAATAGGTTCAACAAAACAGAAATTAAATATTATAAAATTTAGTAAGAAGATATTTAAAAATTAAAATACAATTTCTTTATAAAGCAGGGTTCGTTGATTTAAATCAGCTTGATTTAAATGATTTAAAGCAACTAATTTTTTTTATCTACATATATTGATTTTAAAAGTTAAAAAACAGTGTTTTAAATTTTTGATACTTTTATTATTTTCTTTTCTTAATATTAAAATTTAATTTAAATAAATTGCTGCATTAATTAATTTTAGTTAACAAAATTACTTTCTTTCTTGGTGTATGTTAAATTCCAACACATTTGAAATTACATATTTAAAAATCTTTTGATTCTTAAGATTGAAAGTACAGATTAAGGTAAACATTTAATGCTGTCTTAATATAGACTTGCATAGCTGTAGAAAGTAATTAATAAACATGAATTTTTTTCAAAAAACAATACAAATAATGTTAAATAAAATTCTACCTTTTGAATGAAAAAGCGTGAATTAAAATCTACATCATATTTTATTGGTGGAAAATGTATATTTCTGAAGCTTGAGGTTATATATTAAAAAGAAATTACCCTAATATGCCAAAAACAGAAAAAAAAAAAAAAAGGGCTGATGAATTCAGATGTTTTTTTCCTAATATAGTGTCACTTTTCCCTTTCAAAGTCTATTTGATGTAGTAGGGTTATTAACTGGTATTTTTTTCTCATAATATGTTTACAGTATCTTTGACATTATCTGATTTTCTATAAAGAAATTTTGTGAAAAAAAATTCCAATGAGTACACAGATTTTCTAATTTTTTTTTTAGCTTAACTTATCTATTTTGATATAGAATTAAAAATGAATATTTTAATATAAAAATACATAGATTAAATATTTATTTATTTTTTGATGAATGACTACATTTATAAACACTGTCTGCTACAGTTATTTTGTCATTTTAAAAATCAACAGGAAAAAAAAAAGAAATCACAATTTTGAATTAACGTTATGGTTTGCTAACTGAAACTTTGTTTTAATAGTTAAAGTACAGGGGTCTGTCCGAGCCAAATTTACTACCGTTTAACGGTACCTTTACAAATTCAACTTAAGGAAAAATGACAGAATAATCACACAAAATACTTTTTCTTAAAATTTTATTTTTGTGTCTCATAAGAAACGATGAATCCCTATTTTTACTATATTTGTGTTAGGCACCTCTCAGAAAAACCCAGACAGACCCCTGAAGTATTCTTTAAATTCTCTATTTCATCTAGTCTTTAAATTTTAATCATGCATTTGTTTCAAAATGGTTGCTATGCATTCAAAGCCATGTATTATAATGAAAAATTATTTAGTTAGAGCTTCTAAAATATTGTTACAATATAGTTTTATACAATATAGTTACAATGAGTTAATAATATTAAGTTAATTTGATTAAACATTTATAATTTTTTTAAATCATAAATTAAAGTTCTTACAGTGTATTTAAATGAAAATAAAAAAATCTGATTCTTTAGATTTTTTTTAAAAAATCAAAAAAATCACGAACCCTGTTATAAAGCAACTAAAAACAAACATAGATTTGCTCGTCATGCTATCAGTAAACAGTTTCATGAGCAGGCTGGACAGTCAAAACAGCAAGCAAAGTGATCTAAAGAGAATTGTACAAGCAATTCTAGGAATCAGTAAACGAAAACAAACAAAGATCCTTTAAAACAATTAAAATAAACTATAGAAAATATTAAGACATAAAAACTGCAGTAGAAGACTATAGAGAAAAAGAGTGAGTGGGAACTAAGATAGCAGAAAGGAACTATATATAACGTAAAATTTGTACTCAACAAATTATTTAATTTAATAGCTTTAATTTAGTTTTGCAAGACATTAATAAAATGTAATACATACTAAAAAAACTTAATTTAATATTTAGATATTAATATCTCAATTTACTTAAAATATGATATAGATTAAATACACAAGTAGGCGACCTTTGTGCTAAAATACAAACTAAGGTAAACAACGTTTAAGAGCACAAAAAATATTTATAAATGCAGACAGCTGTTTCGGATGCTCAAAGGGCAACCTTCATCAGTGCAACAGAAAGAAATGAGAGAAAATAGGGTAAATATAGAGAAAGGTGACGTCACTAGGGGGGGGGGGTTAGAGCAACGGCCAATAGGAAGAAAGGGTGAATGGATGACAATGAATGGGAAGCAAGAAACAAAAAAGGGGGGTTAGTTGGGTTTAATGTAAGATTTCCAAACAGGAGAAAGATAAGGAACGCTGGATAGGTCATTGACCAACAGTTTGGAATTTTTGAAAATATTATAGGACTCATAAAAATCTAAATTAAAAATTGAAGAACAATTTTGAATGACTTTAGAAGAAGAAAAATCAAAATTACGATTAATCATAATCTCTCCCCCCCTTGTGACGTCACCTTTCTCTATATTTACCCTGTTTTCTCTCATTTCTTTCTGTTGCACTGATGAAGGTTGCCCTTTGAGCATCCAAAACAGCTGTCTGCATTTATAAATATTTTTTGTGCTCTTAAACGTTGTTTACCTTAGTTTGTATGACATAGATTGTCCAAGTTGTGGCAATATTAAAAACGTGTGTGCATGCTTTGTGATTGGTTGCTGTTGTTTACTCAGACAAGTAAATATCCACATTTCGATGCTGCATAGGGAAATTATATGTATTTATATTGATAATGTTGTGACTAAGAATACAAAAGAAATATTTAAAAAATTTTCTTTACTAGTAATATGAATCAAATTAGTTTTAAGTTCATAAAATTGCTTTAACAGCTCAGTTTTCTGAAATTAAACATGTTTTGCTTTCTTTAAAAAGTGAACAAATTTTTAATAAAGATTAGGTGAAAATTCTTTAGATTTCTTCATTTCTTTTTCTTCAAATTTTCTAATTATTTATTCTTGACACACTTCATTTAGAGAAAGAAAAAAAAACAGAAATTTCTATTGTTCGACATGATTTTTTTAAAAATACTTTTCGTTGTCAAATTTACAAAGAAACAAAAAAAAATATTGAAAAGAAAGAAAGAGTTAATCAAATTGAAATAGGTATAAACTTAATACGAATTTCTATTTATCAAAATAATAATCTTCACTGTAAGAAAATATTAAGAGTATCGACAGTTTTTAAAATAAAATATTGTACATAAATAAAATTAATAAATTAAAAACTTAAATCAACAGCAAACAATAGCTTTAAAAAATAAAAATAAAAAAACATTTTAATTTTTAGGACTTATGTAAAAAAAAAACAACATAATACACTAGCTTACATTTTGATATAATTTTTTTTCACAATCTTTCTTTTATAATATATTCATCTATAACCTGCCCTCACAACATATAAAATTGTATACATAGTTGCCAACATGGATATGAAAAAATTTAGTAGATTTGACAAAATAATATAACTTTCATGATAATTGATTTTTTTAATTAATTCAAATATAGAGTTCTGAATAAAAATAAACTGAACAGTTTAGAACAAAAAAAAAAAACTTTGAACTACTTTTGATAAATGAGGTTTGTTTCATTATGTATTAGTAATACTTATTTTAATATTCAAGCAGCAATAATCTGTACAAAAACTCTATTTCCATAGTTTTTCTTTTTAGGAAACTTACTCAACTTTAGGGAATTTTTTAAAATGTACAAAAAACAGGAGAATTTTACGTAACAAAGTAGACCATGAAAAACTGGCAAAATTCAGTAGTGTTCCAGAAAATACAGTATAGTTGGCTGTATGTTTTCACTAATAATTTGAGAACCGTCTGTTTTATTTCACCATTCTAATTGCATATTAATGACAAAAATCAATGAAAGAAGTATTACTATTGGAAGAGATCTCCGGCAGAGGGTAGGGGTGCCAACCCTCCTGTGACGCTCGGCAGCAGCGTCAGGTCAGGAAGATTTTGAAGATGAGATTTCAGCTCATTCCGTACCTCAGCAACTCGTTTCAGCTGATCCTTAAATTCCTGTCAAATAGAACAGAAGTTTCAAACAAACACTTAATAATAACGTAATTTAGCAGGATGTTTGGCCTAATTCTGAACAAAATCTCTGATTTCTCTAGGAAATCGAAATTTCCCCAAAAATTTCAACATTTTTTTTTTCCTTTTTCATTTCTTAAAATATCTTTGGAAAGTAAAGTTTATATAAGAAAAGCAATTTGTTTGATTTTACCCAATTTTTTAATAAATGACCCTTTGTTAAAAATCAAAAAATTTTGAAAAAGTATAAATTTATTAAAGGTCCCATTCATAAACTTAAGGAATTCAAAGGAAAATTTGTAAAGCGACACCTTTTTAACAATAAAATATTTTGCATGAATTTTTTTTTTTTTGATCAAAAAATTTCCCTTGGCTGCCTAATTTCCTTCAAAACCTTATTTGCATGAATAGACATATTCTGTTAACCTGCATAAAAGCAATATTAATAAATATTAAGAATAAAAAAAAAATTCTTTTCATAAGTTGAGATCAGAGAATTATTGGCGACTACTTTAGTTTTACTTAATCTAAAATATCTGATTAAATTGCGGCATAAAATAATTAAAATCAATATTTAGATTGGTAATAATTAACAACTCATTGCTATTGCATGGTTTTTAAAAAAACAATTAATAATTTTATAATTTTTGCTATATATTTCATAAATGAAATATCAGTATAAATTATAATTATAGTAGTCTATAATGCAAGTATTGTGCATGATTTAATGTCTAATAAAATGTCCCCAATGTTAATAAAGAAACTTGTCCAAGGTTTTCAACAGTTTTTATCAGATTTTGACACTTTTTGATAGGTTTCGGACATGTCAAGTCAAAATCAGTTTTTGATATTAAAATCCCAACTCCATAAATAAATATGAACACTAATAAAAATTTTTTCGTTCTCCTATTGTTGAAAATACTTTAGAAATACATTAACAAAATGCAAAATAATATCCTAAGACTTTATATGATCATGATAAAATGACTAGTTCTGACAAAGAACAATTTATATACAATTTTAAAGATATTCAGTATTAAGTGGCTTATTCTTTTTTTAAATTAATAATTTCTTTATTTAATCATGTAAAAAAATGAATTCAAAATTATAATTAATTTAACTATTATTTAAAAAGGTTATCGAGTGTATTAGATTAGATTTAAATATAAGTTATTCATAAAAACATATTCAACAAAACATTAACAAGATTGATATTATTGATCACATGGAATTTATAAAGGTATGTAAAGAATTGGGTGAACTAAAAAATCTCTAATAAATTCATATTACAAATATGAAATAGTGAATGGCCCCTAAAAATATATTTATCATTATTTGTTACTTGGTTCAGTATTTAAATTTCCTTAATGAAATGCTTAAAAAAATTTAACTAATTTTGAAATGTTAATACAATGAATATTGAAGACATTTATATCAATATGTTTGCTAAATGACAAAAACATATATTATTAAAAAGATAGACTTGTTCTGCCAAGAGTAATTAAGATATCGTTTCTTTTATGTTTCCTGATCTATAATTTAATTTACTTGTCATTAGAATGCCCAGAGGCTGAGTGGTAGCGCTGTCATGCCACAGGTTCATAGTTTGATTCTTGGGCCAAGCAAGGTTGACTCAACCTTTCACCCCTTCAGTGGGTAGATAATGAGTACCAAGCATGGTTGGAAACTAAACACAGGGGATTCTGTGTTGGATTGACCACCCAATCAGAACACCTGCTTTTGCCCAAGAAAACTTTTATGGCATAGTAGGCCCTCTATGGGCAGTCGCGCCATTGAGTTTAATTCTATCTGATAACCTGGGTCTTTACTATTTTATAAAAGTTGTGAGGCTTCTATTAAAACAAGTATGATTTTATAGTTCGTAATAAAATTATATAATTGTTTTAACCATTTTAGTTAGACTTTAATTTTATTGTTTTTGCAAAAAGTATAATTATTGCCTATTTTGATTAAGATGGGCATTTCATTTGACTGAAACTTTATATATTGTGACCAAATTAATATATATACATAAATATATATCCTGCGGCAGAACTTTTTCGAGCTACCTGCAACCAAACTCTCTAGCACTAATGTCTTTCTGCAAGATACTTTTAATAATAACAAACATACATGCTACTCATTTAAAATAATAAAAGTGCTGTGTTTACAAAAAAAAAGCTATATAATTTTTTCTAATAGAACATATAATAATTTTTTATTCAAATATTATGGGGCATATTCTCGCATTGTGTTGGGGAGATCCATAAATTATTTCCTTCTTCGCATTCTGTAAATAATCATCACAATAAAAAATCCCGAAATCCGTAGTAGTACTTGCCAAAAAAAAAAAGAAAGAAAAAAAAGAAAAAAAAGATCGATGAAGAAAACAAGCGAATCAGACTTCTCAAATGCATTAAAATTAATTAATTGAGCGCGTCAAAAAGTGATTATCTAAATGCATGATTCAAAAATTACGTGAAAAATTTCTGTAGAAAAGAGTAAATGTCTTTTTTTTTTTAAACTTTTCAAAAGAAAAAATCTTTCTGCAAGAACTCTGTAACATTCTCTGACAATGTCGCTGTGATTCTGCCAGGGTGTATATATATAAATATATATATCAGGGTCTANAAATTTCTGTAGAAAAGAGTAAATGTCTTTTTTTTTTTAAACTTTTCAAAAGAAAAAATCTTTCTGCAAGAACTCTGTAACATTCTGTGACAATGTCGGTGTGATTCTGCCAGGGTGTATATATATATATAAATATATATATCAGGGTCTACAGATAGTGAGAAGGTACACACTTCAATTTTACGTTCTGCAAAAGCCAGTTGCTCCCTTTGTGAGTGTGTGAAGTCACTCAGCATCTTTGAGATGTGTTTCCTCTCTTCCAATTCACTCGTAAGACGACTATTATAATCGGTTAAAATAGCTAGGGCCTCCTCCACCTGGGTAGATAACTTATCAGCACCTTCTTTAGCTAATTTTTGGAAGGAAAAAAAATTATCATACATTGTATCCAAACTATTGAGCAGCACATTCACAAGAAAATTCAAGCATACCTGCCGACATTGGAGAAATAAAATAACCGAGAATTTACTAGTAAAATTTTTTAAGCTTTCAGTAAAGTTTTGATACATCATGTAATCATGTAAGTCAAAAAGAGAAATTGGAATTAATGTAAGCACTTACATTAAGCGAAGTAAAAAATATGCATATAAATCTTAATCTAAAGAAGATTTTTTTAAACCCTTATTTATAATTACTTAAATTTAAACACTCAACATACTGCAGTACTGACAATAGCAACATCTGTTGAGGAATAAAAGAAAGTATTTTTGCCATCAACAAATATTTTTTCAAAATTTTTTTCTTTTTTTTTGAAATTTCTTCTACAAATATGGAGGAATTTGAGAATATACAGGTAAACTTAAGATAGAATACAAGAGATTTAGTTAAAAAACAGGAGTATTGGCTGGTATGCTTAAAGAACTTTTTTAAATTAAAAGAAAAAAAAATCAAATATTTCATATAAGAAAACTGAATCTACTCATTATTTTCATCTGATTTTTACCTGTATAGACATCATGTATTTAAAAAAAAAGTTATTGACTTCGAATTAAAAACTTTTAAACTTCTAGAACATTAAGTTTTTGCTGATTTCATTATTTTTTTTTTCTTCTATTAAACATTTTATTCCTCATATGGTATTCTTGATGTAAAATAGAAAGAAAAGAAATATGATAAAAACACTGAATTATGCAAACATCAGTTTAAATTTGCAAATATAGATTTAAATAAATATGTTGAAGCATTAAATAGGTTCCAATTACAAAGTATCAAATAGATTTGTATAAATATCATGAGCCATCTTGAAATTCGACACAAATATAAATGTCATAAAATCATCCTGCCTCTGGTTGTTTTGGAATTTTTTTTAAAGGTCATTATGGTTCATACTAAGTGTCAGCATATTTGAAAATAAATAGCAAAAAGTTTATTTCTTTTTTTTTTAATTTATTGAAATTGGAGAATGTTAGGCATCATATAAGAATAATTGGTTTGTTAAATTTAAGCAGAGTCACATTTGTTTTAGGAACAAAAATTTCATATTTAAAAGAAATTTTTTGAGCCCAATATCTAATAATAAAATTCAGAAGTTGTGTGCCTGTATATCTCTTTTATGACCTCAGAACATTTATGTCCTGAAATTTGGGCAGAGGTTGAGAAGGACAATTTTAGCCCCCAATTCTAAAAATCGCTCAAAAATTCCAATTAGGCAACAACATTTGAAAAATTGAATTTTTTAATTGGTTTAGAGCTGATAATAATGAAACTGCAGACAATTCTATTTTTCATATATTTTAAAGATTACAATAGTCTTATTTTCTAGCTCATAGCTCTCATTAAAAAAAAGAAGAGTTTATTGTCTGTCTATAATTTTTAATTAGTTTTTACCATAGAGTTGACATACTGGGGTAAAAAGAGCAGAATAACTCCCTAGCCGTAGACAAGATCAAGACACATGGCAGTAGCCTAAATTTGTAGTTGACTGCACCCATTTCTATTCGCTATCATTAATTTTGCGTTGCGATCGTCTGACACAAATAACTGTCTATCTTTTCAATTAAGAACTAGCGATGGTTCAAAAGTTCTGCGCATTTGGCTGCAATGAGAAGTTTTCTAGGGGTGGTGCTATAACTTTTCACAAGTGTGACATTTTTTTTACACTTTTTAGATTTCAAAATTTTTTCACACTCAGCCATGGGTCACAGATTATCCTGTTTTATTTTCTTAAAGAATCAATTACGCTTGTCAGTGTTCACTTTTGTTTCTTGCATTTAACATTTGTTTTGATTGTTCCTTAAGATTTAAACTTATTATGTTTAAGTATTTCTTTAATATAAATTTAATTTTTAGTGAAAATAGCTGCAAAGCTTTTGTTGGTTTCCTTGGTGAGATACTTTATCAAAGGAAAAGGGAGCAAAACTTTTGGTTTTGTTTTAATTCTCTTTAAATGTTGTTCAAAATTCTATATATTCTGAACATTATGCATACCTTAATTATTAAAATCTAATATTTGTCTTGTTCGGAAATGTTTCCTAGATATACATTTGAATTAAAAATATGGCACCTAAGGAATTGCGCTTTCATATTTACATAGGAATGTTTAAGAAAAAAAAATGATTTGTATAATATTATAAGTCTGATCACTGAATAAAATCTATGAAATATTTTTAGGGCTTAAATCAAATGTATAGTATTTTTAGTTTTACTTTAATTTCAATAAAATTGTATGATTCTGTTACCTTAAATGAAATGAATACAATTTAAAGAATAAATGTATACCTAAGAAGAAATAATATTAGTAAAAATTGAAGAATAAATAAATTAAAGAATAAATATTATTAAATATATACTAATATGTATTTAATATAATAATTATGTACTTGTTTATTTACTTTTTGCCTAAAAATAAGTCGCATAATGTGAAATAATTTGTTTCATTAGTGTAAAATATAGACACTTAAACACTTTTTTTTGTAAAACAATTTTTGTCTGCACAAAAAAGTAATTGTTTCATATAAAATTAATGATTCAGTGCTGCGGCTTTGAAATTTATATTGAATTATTGAATACAGTTTCATATAGTTTGTTTATATAGTATGTACAGTTTTATATAGTTTGTTTACATAGTATGTAGTATATAGTTTTTCTTATTTTACTCTATGGTATTTACCTAAATTTTATTCACAGTACTTAGTTAAACAAATTTTTAACAAAAAACATAAATTACTGTTTGCCTACAAGCTTAAAAGTTAGTGAATCTTAAACAGCTGGTGGTAATAAGCATGTATTAATCATTTAAACAATTTCATCACAAAATATTTTCATCAGAAATAAGTNATTTTTCTCAAGACTGATTTCAGTCCCCAGGACTGAAGAGTGGCACCCATGTATATAGCATGTACAGTTTTATATAGTTTGTTTATATAGTATGTAGTATATAGTTTTTTTTTATTTTACTCTATGGTATTTACTTAAATTTTATTCACAGTACATAGTTTAAATTTTTTAAATTTTTCTTACAAAAAACATAAATAACTGTTTGCCTACAAGCTTAAAAGTTAGTGAATCTAAAACAGCTGGTGGTAATAAGCATGTATTAATCATTTAAACAATTTCATCACAAAATATTTTCATCAGAAATAAGTAATTCAAACAAGAAAATTCCTTAACTGACAGTAAAGTATATAATACATATTAAAATTAAAACTTAACCAACCATATTTGATATGTTTATTATTCATTGGAAACGAAAAATTATTAATAAGTGATTAAACTCCAAATTGGCACATGATTTAAGCAATAATCAATGTAGCCAAATTACTGGTTTTGTGTTTTTTTCATTTAATTAATTAAATTTAATGAATGAATTAATATTAAAAAAAACTGCATTAACATCAAGAATCATCCACTACAAGTTTAAAAAAACTTATTTGAACTTAAGTGGATGAATAAAAAGTATTTCTATTTATTAAAAAATTAACGAAAAGACCAAAAATAAAAATAAAGTTATGTAATAAAGGATGTATCAGTTAATTCTCTGTAAAAACAGAAAAAGGAAGGAAAAAAAACTATATTAGTATATTTAGCAATTGAATGTAAGTAGAGCTATGAACACTTTTTTGAAAAAGAAGAGTAAAAAAAAAATTACTTTGTATTTTATCTAAAAGAGTGATGTCAGATACTTCTGGTGGAAGGCTTGCAATTTTCTCTCTTACCACTGCATCCGTTGAAGGAGAGTTTTCCAGATCTTGAAGTGCTTTTATCAAATCCTCAGCCTGAAAAATAACAATTATTTTACAGTAATTATTATTTTATATTTAAAAAGAATAAGATCATTCAATGCCCCTCAATGTTCATGCAATAGTATTAAAAAAAAAAAAAGGAGACTCACTCAAATGGAAGATACAATTTATAACTCTTACATAGATTACTATGTGTACAAAAAAATTTATATATATACACACACACAGTCGGACTTCTATTTAACGAAGCCACTAAATCCTGATAATAACTTTGCTAAATGAAAAATTCGTTAAATAGAAAATCACTTCTTGAAATACTTAAACAACACAAAACATGTTTTAAATTCATAAACACTAGACATAATTAAAATAGCAATTGATACACCTTTATCTAGTAAACTAGTATCTACTATTTATTTTATAAATCTTAACCATAAAAGAAATTTGCATGAAAAGAAAGAATAGAGCAAAACATCCAGTGCTACACAATCATGCGACATACATTTTCAACTAAAAAAAAGCTAAATTTATGTATAAAATTATAGCTGCATTTATTACAAAAGAAATTTTAAACATACATTACATTCTTAAGTCAAATTGCTACTAATAAATTCTGTTCATTCTGTCTGAGTTTTTTGTTTGAAATGCAAACAAAATGGAAAAGCGATTTAACTGCTTTCTCTAAAAGTTAAGGAGCTTCAAAAATCAATTCAAGGTCATTTCCCCATGAAATGCGTTAACAAGCTCGAAATGTTTTGATATATTTTGGGAAATAGGGAAAGTGGATCTCAAAGAAAAGTTCGTTTAACAAAAAATTCACTTCGTTATTTGAAAGTTATTTTATGACGAAATTTCCAAAATGTTCTTGGTTCCTCGAAAAAAATTTGAAAAATAGAAGTTCGTTAAATAAAAGTCCGACTGTGTGGGTATATATATATATAAATACATATACTTTACATATACCAACCAAAGCAATTGATACATTTTTACATCTGAAATAGTTAAAGCTTCTACCTCAAATGGTTAAAATTAGTATTTAATATAAATGATTCAATGAATAATTAAAATTTTGGCAAATTATTTTTGTTCAACGTGCTAAAGAATTTTAAAGACGGGAAGACAAGTATCGTCGAACAGTAAATTAAATTAAACCAGCAAACATTACGAAAAAAACCTAATTGATTTAAGTTGTTAACATACACTAGCTAAATATTTAAAAAGTTTGAATGCAATTACACTTAAATAAACATAAAAATAAAAGAATTTAGGTATGTTTATTACTTGCAAATTATTTTACATACAGATAACAGGAAAAACATGTATTTAAATTTCCATGCCACTCTTATCAACTTAGCATCACACCCTAAAGAATATATTTATAAATTATATTACGTAAAAAACATGTCAGAATTACATTTTTTTAAAAATTCAGTAAGTAGAAATTAATGTTTTTTTTCCTAAAAAATTAATAGTTGATTTAAACCAAATTTTTGAAATTTAAAAAAATAAAATAAAGAGATATGAATTGTGGTCAACCCAAGGAGATTATTTTTTACTTAAGTAACATTTGATTACTAGGGGCCCCTTGCTCGCTGCCGCCCACTAAGCCTTAAGATTGCTTCTCAATAATTGTTGTTTCTAGGCATAAAACAGTTTTTTTCTCCCATGAAATATGAAGTTATTAACTTAGAGTGAATTCATTTTAATTATATTCACACTAAGAAATAACAATTGTAAAACGAGTAATAAATTCAGACATCGATTCAAATAAGCTTATCTTAAAACTATTTTAGTTTTAAACTCTAATACAATTAAAATCAAAAACGCAATATTAGCAGAGTAGAATAAGAAAAATAAATATTGCAGGTAAATTACAGATACAAAAATATTTTATAAAAAAATCCTACGCTTACATTTTGTATTAATTTTATCCCGATTACAACAAAAAATATGGAAATTTATAACAGAAAACTTCCACTTAATTTTTTGTCCAGTAAAAATTTACCGACAACTATTGGAAAATTGCGATAATATCCTTAGAATTTTTTTTTTTTTTTAGATACAAATCAATGTTGGCTAAGCTGTGTTTTTTAAAGAGCAACAAAATATGACCTCATGAAATGAAAATTTAAAAAAGCTATTTTTGTGAAATAAAATAATATTTTTCAGATCTTAAATTGTGTCAGCAAAAAATAATTTCATTATTTCATGTGTTTAAATGTGAACATCCAACAATTAGAATAATAAATTTTTACCATGCGATTTTCGGGGTAATAAATATGAAAATACAACAATCGAAAACTATATCAGACCATTCTGTTTTTAGAGATTTACAGCTCGTATTTGAAAAAGCTCATTAAAGTAACAATAATTTTTTTTAATAACTTTCCCATTTGTGATTGGGCAATTGATGCATTAGTAGCGTAAGACTCTTGTATTGTCAATGATTTCATTAGATCCTTTGACACCATCATTCAATTTTTATGTACAGTTACATATACTGCTTGAAGAGCTTTGACTTTTTTAAGCAAACATTTCACATGACAGCTTATATAGATGACAAAAAAAATGATAAATAAATAAAAGAAATATTGTTAGAATAAGAAGCTAGATTGGGTTGTTATATTTTTACAACATTATTAAAATGCATAGCTGCCGACATGGATAGAAAACAATTTACGAAATGACATAAATTTCATGATAATTGTTGCAAAATGTATTAAATATTTCACACATAGAGAATTTGAAGGATTTTTATAATCATCAAAATAGGAAAACCGCAATATTTTCCAGTCATGATTGACATTAAACATACTTGAAATCTTAAGCATGTTTACTCATAGTTTCGAATATTAATAGGCATTTAATTCATCAAAGAAAATTTAAAAAATTGTTTTAATTAATTTAAAAAGAGAGTTCTGAATAAAAATAAACTGAACATTTTGAACAAAAAAAGTATTGAACTGATTTCTATCAATGAGCTTTGCTTCATTATGTATTAGTAATACTTATTTAAAAAATCAAGCAAGCAATAATCTGTACAAAAATTCTATTTTAAAAGGGAATTTTTTAGGGTAATTTAATTTAAATCCAGTAGTCCACTGGAAAATCCAGTAGAGTTGGCAGCTATGAAAATGCAAAAATAAAAAAATTAAACTGTTAAAAGGTGTTCTAAAAATTATATTTTCCCCATTATATTAAGATTAATAATCAGAACAAGCAAGGATTTGTTTCTGATTTGCAAAAATATTATTGAATGGTCCATTCTTAAAAACAAATATCCATCACATAAATAAGGACAAGCTTGACCTTTCCTGTAATTTTTGTAAAAACTAAATTAATAAAGTCTGGAATTAAAAAATTCCATAACATAACTGGGATTAAATTTTAATATTCCAATAGCAAGAAAAAAGTTTAAAAAAAAACATTTTTTAACAGAATTTTTAAAGTAAATGAAAGTTGATTTTTCAAACATTTTGCATGTTTAACACTATTTAAGTTTTTAAAAAATAATAAACACTCATATGAGTTACATCACATTTAGAGATCTAATCAGAAAGTGAATCCAATTTACAAAAACAAAAGAGATAATGAAGTAAATTAACAATTAAAACATTAAATCAAAATGGAAAAGCGCCTAAAGCAGCTAAAACCAAAGTTGTTTTTATTTTAATTTAGATATTCAAACAAACAATAAGCAAGCAAATAAAAGAAATGTGTGTTTGTCTAAATACATTTCTAAATACATACATATCTAAATTACATTCAGAAAGCAAAAATTTATCTTGTACATACATCTGGGGGATCTCCACGTGGCGATTGAATGATGGCTGTCTCTATTTTAGGTGAGGGTTTCTTTTTTGCAGGAGGCTCATCTGAAAACAGTAGCAGTTAAGAAATTGAATTTACATTTGTTTAAAAACAATAAACAAACATGCCAACAATTTGAAAGAGTAAGACAACATAACTTGATTATTATGTAATATTCAATAAAATCACTTAAACTAGCACTTTTATAAAAATGGGAGATGTAAACAAAAGATTTTTTTTCCCCATTGGGAATTGCTTAGCATAATTTATTAATGATTCTAAACAATATTTAACTTTTCATTATTGTTAACTAATACATTTTTTATAGATATTTCAAGAGAAAATTGAAAACCATCTCAATTTGTTCTGAAATATAATGTTCACCAATATGAATAGAAGTAATAAGATATTTTAGAAATGCAAAACAGTAATACATCGTTCAAAAATGAATAAGAATTAAGTTTTATTGTCAACAAAAAACTTGATGCATTACTAATTGGCTGTATACAAATGTATTTATTAGTATTAATAATTTTTTTTAAATTTCTAGTCAAATAAAAAAAAAAATACTTTTATAGGAGTATAGTATATCAAAAGTGAACAACATTTTCATAAAGAGCATGCATCACCAAAACTTAATATCAAAATACCCTCAAAATTTATCATTGCATGTATGAATTTATTTTTTTGAATGTATATTATCTTTTAAATATACTTTTGATATTAAAAACAAAGAATTAAAGTTATGAGTATTTAAAGCAAAGCAACTCATTTAATTAAACATGGTACTACATTTCTGTAGTTTGGAAGTCAATAATATTCAATATACTTAATTTTACAAAAAATAAGTTTAGACTGGATTCTAATATCATTATAAAAGACTTAGCTTTTCTAACATATATTTTAAGACTACTTTATTACAATTTGTTTTTCCTTTTTAAAAATTATTGCTTGTTCTTGTTTTTTCTGCATTTAAGTGCAGAAAGTGCATTTAACTGCATTTTCTACATACAAACAAATGTAGTCTTTTGTAAAATTATATAGTTCACTGAAGTAGGTTTAGTTTCAAGCTGCCAATACCCAACTTCAACCTTTATCAATCTTTGGATTGATTTGATGTTGAGAAAAAAAACTGAAATAAAAAAAAGATAAAGAATAAGTAAAAAAACATCAGAAAATAACTGATTTGAGGAAGAATTGATTTCTGACAGTTATATAGTAAAAAATGAAATTTTAGAAAAATGTAAAATGCTAAATAGTAACAAATTAAATAATAAAAAAACTTTAGGAAATGTAATGGCCCATATTTTGACAATGTGACCACTGACATTATGAATATTATGCAATTAGAACTTTGAATCAAAAATCAAATATTTACCAACAAAACAGTAGAATTAAATGTTAACATATAGTCCTTAAAAGAGACTTTCGTTTAAAATAAAATTTGCTACAAAAGATAAAAATGAAACTGAGAAAATTAGCATCGATGCAACAATTGTAACGATTTGTCCACATACATAGCTGTTAGCGATTGTAAGAAAATGAGTAATTGGTTGGCTTAGATGAGAAAAAAATAATTCATTGGATGGGAGTACAAAATCTTTTAGAAGAATAGTGCAATATAAAATCTATCATTAAATTATAACCAAGTAAGTTTTGGAGAATTTTATAAAGTTAAAAATACTAAAACATTTGGAATAATTTTGTCAAAAGAAAAGAAAAACACCCCCAAAACATGGGAACATACTTGAATGATTGATAAGTGGATTCAGCCCACAAACTAGAAGAGAAAAAAAAAACTCAGTTTATAAACAGAAGAAAATATCCTAGCCCTTTCTTCAACATAAACCACAATCTTTGCCCTTCTTAAACTGAACAGTTCCATAGTCTTCAAAGAGGTCAAACATTTATTCATACATTTAGCAACCATGGGAGAGTTTAATGTAGCATTCCAATTTAACAGGATTATAATGAAGCAAATTTTAATGCAAGCTAAGTATTCCTAAGTAGATGATATTTCAACAGTTTGTCGATAAATTTCAGTCTAAAAAAAGGTATAACTGATGGTAAAATAATTTAAATGAAGAAAAAGATTCCAGATATTCTTTAAAATTCCCTGACTTTCCCAGGTTTTTTCCAGTATAAAAAAAATTCCCTGATAATTCCAGGTTTTCAAAATGGGTGGCCACCCTGATTTTGTATTTCACCTGTCCTAAATTCAATTCCAGTTACATTGCACGATCCCGGTCCTAAATTACCATGTACAGGTAAATTAAATTTAAATATATAATGATAGTATATACAATTAATAAACAACAAATTGTGAGAAAAAATAATTTAAAAATAAATCTTCGCTTAACTTATTTTGTAAATATAAGCTTTTAAAAATTTATTGGGAAAATTGAAAAAAATTAATGAAAAAGATTTTTTAGGCAAAAAAAAAAAAGCAGTGATTTTAAAGACATGACAAGAGTGGAAAAACTTACCAAATATTTTAACCTTTCTTTCAGCAGTTTTTCTTTTAATTTTCTCTCGGACATCCGGCTTATTGGCTTCCACAGGGCTTGGAACTCCCTTTAGTTGCATGGCAGCTCGGAGTCCAGAAATAATTGTGCTGTCGTAAACACTCCTTTCACCCCAAACATTGATAATTCTTTCGAGACCACTTCTAGTTTTGGCGTCTGTAACACTGTATGAGACAGAAAAAGTTAACTTTCTATTCCAATAAATAAAAAGTTAAAAATTATAATCCTCTTTCAATTTGTTTTTAATGAAATAAAAACAAACAAGTATCATAAAAAAAATCTGAATTTAGTTAAATGCAATATTATTTAAAAATTGAAAAACAACAATGACCATGCCATATGATGAGCAATCACATTTATAAAAGGGAACTCTTACCATTCACAAACGTGAGCAAATGCTTTGTGTAATACAGTACTGAATTCCTTTGAAAACTCGGGTCCTTTCTTTTTGCTGTTTTGAATGACATCGTTAGCTAAGTACATAAATGTCAATTTTCTACTTGGCTTGGCTAAAAAGAAACAAACATTTATGAAAATGATCAAGTTGAGAGAGCTACTTAAGCATAATAAAAAATAGGTTGGTGTGTTTTTGTACTTATAACCCTGTTAGAAGCAACATAAATTTTTTTGGTGCTGCAGTATTCTCAATACAAAATACCCATTTTTAATTTTCTAAATATTTATGATCTTGAAATTAGAGTAATTTTCTTTCTTTCTTTCTTTTTTTTTCCCTTGAAAAATGGGAGCCTCAATATTAGAAAATCTAGTTTAGATTTAATGCGTTTTAGTTACATTTCAGAATTATTATTGTTATTTAATTCAATGCAATTGACCTCCTCAGAACTCAGAAGATTTTCAGTAATTCTGAGTAAGATTTAAAAAAAAAAAATTAAAATAGTAATATATTTTCTGCTCTCTCTACCAAAAAAGGATTACTTTTCTTTCTTCAAAAATTTAAAAAAAAAGAAAGAAAAAAAGAAGAGGGAGCTAAAATAAGAAACAATCCATTTCCTTATTTGACAACGTAAAAGGAAACTAAAAAAAAGAACATGTAAAAATTGCTAACTATTCAAAATTAATTTTCATCTCATATCTTTTGAAAAACTCTAAATACTAAAGATACTATTATTTAAATGTATAATAATTTTGCAGAGACATTAAAAGGGGTCAGACTGCCTGTAAAAATTATTTGACATTTTGTAATTAAAATATATTGTAATTTTAAAAAATCTCCCGATTTAGAATAGGAGTGCTCAACTTTTTTGAGTGAAAGGCCACACGCCCAAGCATTTAGACAGACATGTGACATCAATTATAGTAAATGTTTATCAGTTAACTTAGACTATGTTTGCAAAAAATTAAATAAATTTGAACAATTCAAAGTAAAAAAGGCAAATCTCATTACATTTGCGACAGGACTTAAAACAATACTATGCATAAGGGAAAATGAAAGATGCAGAAATGATGGAAACAGGTTGGCTTGCATTTTATTTTTTATTTTTTTATAAAAAAGCTCCTTTTAAGCTACAAAGAAGTTTGAAATAGAATCAAATTTCTCACAATATCATGTTAAAATATCAGGATTTCTAAAAATACAAGGAATATTGTAGCTGCCAAAATAACAATCTAATCACAGGGTGCATAGCTATATCTTTCAACAATAATAAGCACCTTTCAAATACTTTTCAAGCACTCAAAAATATTTTAAAAGACTTTTACATGATCATGATGAAATGATCAAGAGATTTTTCTCAATGAAGATTTTTCAATTCAAGAGATATCAGAGTGAGGCAAATGAAGCCTGAAATAATGTAAAAATGTTTCTCTTTTTTTCATTCATGTATTCAATAACATGTTTGTGCAAATTTAATTTAGATAAAACACAATATTTATTACTTTAAAAAAAAAAACTCAAACATTATGTAAATATTTTGGCAAAGACTTTGCTTCAGCACATAGTAGTTTTAAATGATTATTGAATTGTTAAAAATTTCTGATGTGCTCACGTAAACATATTTTTGCATTATAAAAAATTATCGACAATTTTAAAAATATTAAATGCTTTCCTAGTTTCATCACCTGAAAATATTTCCACAGGCACCTTTGATTTTGTTAGGGTAAATTTCAGAAGCTGTAAAAATAAAGTTACTTAAGTATTTTTCTATCTAACTTCAGTAAAAAAAAAAGAAATGGAAGAAAATTTATAGAAGTAAGTAATTGGTTATTTTCAAATTATTTTCCCTTATTATCGCAATTATTACAACAACAAAAAAGACGCTTAGAAATTCAAACAATAAGTTTATTTCAACTATAAATAAGCCTTTAAAGCTGCAATTCTTTTTCATGGAAATAAATAATGAAATAAAGATGGTAAGAAAAAAAAATATTTAATTAAGTTAAATTAAAAAATAAGCCTGGACGTCCATTTACCGAAAGGGTCTATTTTCTGGATACTTTTCCAACAATCAAAATAAACAATTTTATTGTTTTTTACAATTGTGAACTGTTAAAAAATACGAAGGGATGGAAATCCTTTGTTTTTTTTTTAATGATTTTTATGTGGCTTCCAATTTCGCTTTATATGATAAATAAAAAAATTTAGATATCAAGGAAACGATTTGTGATTTCGGAGGCATTTTATAACAAGGTAAAAAAAAATCACATTTTTACTCCTGTTTTGCATAAAAAAGATTTCTTCTGCTACAAATCATACACTCAGTTACAGAATGAGCAAATTTAAAGAAAAATTTTGAAAATATTGTGAACTTGAGATTAATTCGTCATGACTAGAGCGTTCAATAGTGATTATTTAAAAGAGTGATTCAAAATATGCAGATCGTAATAGTATTACTAAAAAATAAATCAAAAGATTAAAAATTGTGTGGAAATACTATACTGTTGAAAATGGGATCAATAAAGCCACATATACAATAAAATCATCACAAATCCAGTGTTTCAAAAAGTGACTTCTTCAAAAAAATTTGTACAAACAATGAAACATTAGAAGAAATAAAGATTTTAAAAACCTCGTGAAAATTCTTGGCAATAACAAAAAATTGATCAATAAAACCCCGTGGTTGGTGAACTGTCAATAATCCAGCACGTGAAAAGATGATTTCGATTCTAGTTTCCTGTGTGTGATAATAAAGCATTAAAAATCATTTAAAAGCTATTAAATTCCATGGAAATAATTGAAAATTTCGTTTTCGAAACTCGTTTTCGAAAAGGGAAATTAAATATTTTTTTAAAAACACCCAATGAAAAAAGCACCTTCAAGGGTTTTTCAAAAACTAAAATAAGCACCTTTAAGCACTTTTTAAAAACTCTAAGCACTATGCAATTAAATGTGAAAATTGGTTTATTTCAATGCACTATTTCTAATTTTTAAGACACTAAACCATATTTTTAAAAAAAATAAAGATTTTTGAAACTATGTGGAAAAGCGTAGCAAAAAATCAATGGAAAAGTGATTTAATTTAAGAAGATTGTCATTGAGTCACTGATTGAAAAGTCATTGGAATATAGATGCATTATTTCTGTTGGAAATATGATCGATAATTGTGTCAAATCAGCAGAATCTGTGCTCTTTGTTTGTTTCAGGTTAGGACACGGGATGACGTCATAAAAAATTCTTGAGTATTCTCCCACTATGCTAAAATCTGCTGCCTGAGGATACAGTGAGGGTAAAAGAGGGCCCATAACAGCGTCCATCTACTTTGTTCAGGTGCTACTGTGGACCGTACATCAAAGAAATTGTGATAATAATGGAAAATGTTTATCAAAAATATGTTTCGATTCAAGATTATTAATTAAAAGTATAAAACAATTAATGATTCAGTAAACACGTAAAAGCTTTAAATTAAAAAAAGTGAATAAATAAGAGACTCGTGTATTTCAGGTTTTAAAAAAAAATGGATTCATGTATGTAAAAAGAATCTTTTAACTTGGAAGACAAAGCATATATAAATCAAAATAGATTTCAATTGGAACAGGACGCATATATAAATCAAAATAAATTTACCTTTCTTCAGTTCCTTAAACCATACTTGCACAATAGTTTTATGGTGTTTTCGATGATGAATGAGCCACAAGGACAGAGTTTGTATACTTTGCTGTGAATTATTTAAATCTGTCAATTTCTTTTCCAATGCAGCATCAGTAAAACCAGCCATTCTAAAATATATAAAAACAATTACTATTCAGTTTGCTGAACACTAACAACCTGATCTTTGATCATTCAAGGTAATTTTAATTCCAACCAAAAATATTGGCTTTAACATTGAATGCTTTTATTACCTAAATTTAACCAGAGAATTCTTTCAATAGTCTGAATAAATTTCAATGCTTCTTTAAAAACAATTGTTTTAAATCATTCAGATTTTTTATTTTATTTTTATTATTACAGACTCTTTGCAACAGAGTTGGCAAGTTTTAGGACAGAATGGATTAATCCACGGTTTAAACCGTCCTGTCCAAAACCCCTTTGCCCAAAACAGTCTTAAACTGTCTAAAACCCTTTTTATTCAAATTATGTCACAATTTAAAAAAAAAAAAAAAATTATTGTGAAAGATAAAAAGATTTTGGAGCAAGAAACAAAATGAAGACAAGTTTTTGTTTTATTAAAAATGTTTATTATTATTTTTAATATTGCCTTATTTATCCTTACGCAAAAAAATAATTTTTCAGTATTAAAAGCATATTTATTCATGTTTAAAGGATTAGGTATTCACTTTTGTCGTTCAATGAATTGTGGAGCTTCAAAAGTTATAAATCTTTTCCTATTATATCATATTATTTTCCATTATCAAGTTAAAGCAAATTGTATAAAAAGTATCAAACATTTATTAATCTATGTAATTATTATGCGTACAATGGTTACACATATAGGACTTTTACCTTTTACCAATGTTCAAGTTTTTGCACACTTTAAGACAGTTTAGGTCAGTTTTATTCAGTTTAAGACAGTAAAACCCACGTGTCCTATCCAAAACCTGTTTGTGACGTCCAAAACCTCAACCCTGCTTTGCAAATTAAGCAAAATTCAAATTTCATTTTCGAAACAGTCTGAAGTTGTTGTTTTTTTCATTTCTGAATGAGGTTAACCACCATTTGCAAAAACAGCATTTAGTGTTTTTTTACTATTACAGAGTAATTTTCGTAGAATATTTATTTTCTTTGGCACCAAAAATTAAAAAAAAGACAAATAAATAAAAACTTTTTACATAATTTAAACTACAAATTAATATCTTTTTGTAGTTGAGGTTTTAATTCAATCATGCAACTTTGTTTCTGCAAATCAAGGACAAAGATTTGTGTTTGTGATACAAACCCGGAAAAAAACATATGGGAGAATGATATGACACATCAATGAGACAAAACATAAATTTTTTCATATATTGCGTCAACTGATTTAGATGGGAAAAATTAAGCTAAATTTAGAAATAAAATATTCTTTTCTTCTATATTAATAGAAGGTGAAAATGAGCAGATAATATTGTTTTAAAATGAAATAGAAATTTTGATTTTAATTCTTTGTTGAAATATTATAAATAAGTCAACTAAATGCTTTTCTCCCTAATTATGTATATCTTTGAAGAAGAGATTCATATTATTAGTACTTTTCTATTGTGTAGGCACAAGAAGTTTCACATATTTTATCTATTTATTTTTTACGGAGTGCATTTTTAATAAGTATTGATTGTAGTATTAGCTAATTCCCCAAAGTGAAATGAGTCAAAATTAAAGAACGAGAGAGCAAATTTTTTTTTCATTGTAACCCTAGTTCTTATCTCTAAAAGACACAAAATGAAAACCCCCGAAAATTTTATGGGCCCCGTAGCAGATGTTTTATACACACACAAGAAAAGCTCGACACAAGAAACAAAAGCACCACACTTCACGACGACATGGACTATATTTATTAAAAATTGAGAAGTAAAAATGTAAATCTATTTCAACAGCGCCATCTATTGTTAAGTAACAAGGCAAGGCAAGCAAAATCGTGGTGACACGGTGACATTGTCGCAGAACATTACAGAGTTCTTGCAGAAAGATTTTTTATGTGGAAAGCAAAAAAGTTTTTTTTGATCTGCAGAATCTCTTGAAAAGTTTTCTTTTCCTGCAGAACTTTTCGCTCCTTTCAGCAAAATTATTTTCAAAAAACGCCTTTCCCGCAAATCGGAGGTGGAGGAAGAACTTGTGATATGTATTTTTTAAAAAACTTTTCTTTGAGAATAAAAAAAATCCGCTATGACTAACTTGAGCTAGAATTGCAGATTGGTATTATAAAATGCAATTTCTAAATTGCAAAAGCTTTAAAAAAGTTAACTGTACAAATAAATTTTCTTAGAACAGGAGAATATATATTAGAAGTATTATTTTATATGCAGATTTAAAAAAATTCTTGTGCATTTATAATTGAAAAATATTATATACTGTTCTATTCTATGCATGAAGGCTTTTTTTTTGTAAACAGAAAATGCTTCTGTTACTTTAAATTAGTGACATATATATTTGCTACTATTAAAAATGCCTTTCAGAAAAGTATTAGTACTAGAGAGAATAGTCGCAGAAAGCTCAAAAAAACTATGCCATAGGGTATATGGGCAAAAAATCAATATCACGATATCAATTTATACACCATACATGCTTCGTATCTAACATAATTTTTTTCCAATAATATTTATAATAAAATTACCCACAAATGATGAACATCTCACCTTTATAGTAACTAATCTCAGTTCCTACAGGAATCACGATGGTAGATTTTTAAAATCTAGTGAAAACGAATCACAATGTACGATTTTTAAACCACGTGAATACAAATCGCAATGTGTAACTTTTAAATTAGGTAAATACAAAAATCAATGCTTGATATTCAAGTAATATGAATATGAATCGCGATATTAGCGGATTCCGGCACATTTTATATATTCAAAATGGTGAAAATCCGCCAAACCAAAGGAATCAATTGGCGTATTGGCAGAAGAATCGGCTGTATGTAAGTGTCTCATCAGCATGAATTAGTGAAAGTTTCAAAATTTGGATTTTAGATTAAGAAACTCTGTAAAAATTTTGTCGGATTACAAGTTTTTGATTAGCGAAAATCTGAGAACCAACAGTCTTGAGAAATGTGGAATTCCGCGATATTCCTAGAAAAATCACATGCCCTGCTTCTTAATTTTTTTCACCCGGAAGGATAATATGAAAAACCTGGAATTCCATGATACCTCCAGAATAGAATCAGCCCTGTAAAAGTCTCCGGTTTCAAATCCTTAACACACCCCATTGTTAAGGTAAGATGACTAACATAGCTCTCGGATAAAAAAGGAAAAGTTGGTTAACAAATTCTAGGATGATTCGGAAATAAAGGAGGTAGAGATTTTCAGACCGCAGCATTCAGGGAGTAAGAGGAAAAAGGACCCAGAAATACAGAAAAAGTGGGTCCTGAAGCGTAATGAATGGTTTGAACTTATAAACACATTAAATAATTACTATTCACATTTATACATGATTAGTTTAGGTTAAATGCGGCATCAAATATTTTAGATTTAAAGATCAAATAATAGAACAACATTAAAATGCAATTCTAAGAAGTAAAAATTAAAGTTGTAGTAACAACAAACTTAAAGTTCATAAATAATTATAAAAACAATCAATGCAGAATATGAGTGATGTAACGTCGCTTCGGTCCTTAGAAACCACAGTCTAATGAAAACAATGATAAAAGATAAATTATCTGATAAATCCCAAGAAAATTATTTAATGTTAAATTCATTTATAAAAACATGAAAAGGTATAGATTGCATTTATAAAAAACAAATCACATCCTTTTAAAGGAACAAATTCCTTTTAGAACCATCAAGAGGTAGAATGCATTAAAGATTTCGTTCAGCGGAAACAGTTTGTTCTTAAGAAGAAGAAAAAAAATAATTTTTTAAAAAAGGTGTTGCAGAAGAAGTCAATTGTTTTTTCATTGATACATCTCATGAATAAATATTACAATATAATTTAAGACTAAAAAGTTTTAGAATTTCAAAAAGGAAAATATCTGCAGAACAAACAAGACTAAATAAGATACGTTAACGCCAGAGCCGGATTATACCTTTCGTAGGCCCTAGGCATAGCCGTTTTTGGGTCATCCCCTCCTTCTCCCACTCCTCCCCTCTTTTCAAAATATATGCTATGTTCTCCAGATTAAAATTGATAAAAAATTATTTGGGTTTAACAATGAATCAAGATCGTTTGGCATCGCTCGCACTTATGTCTATTGAATAAGACATTTTGCGTAGTTTGGAATTCAACAGCATAATGCAAGATTTCGTTGAATCCAAAAATCGCAAAAAAGTAATATATTAGATCATAAGATTCTGCAAAATAATCATATTTTTATTTGTATCTTCATAATTTTGTGCAAAATACACTTGTTGTTTTTAAAACTATTTAGCTTTAAAAACAACAAGTGTTGTTGACAAAAATAAATGAAATTATTTTTGTCAACAAATTTTTTTCTCCCAAGTTTTTCATAGGCCCCTGAATTTCGTAAGCCCTAGGCACGTGCCTAGTGCGCCTATAGGTTAATCCGGCCCTGGTTAACACGCTTACTAAAATTTTAGCCACTTTTACACTGAGTCTCTAAAATTCAAATTAACAATTTAATTGCTTAGTTAACAAACATAGTTTTATCTCGAGAGTTTTGATGAGACAAATAGTAAGAGAACAAAACGGAAGAATGTAAAATTTTGGCATAATTATAAATTCAAACAATAAGTATTCAATAAAAAATTGAAGGAAAATGACAACAAGAAAAATGTAGATAAATTAATTTAGTGAAGACGATGTCATACCACGGGAGAAACTTTTCGTCACAAAAAAACTAATTTAAAATACAGAAAATGTGAGTTCAGACAAAACTAGGGAATTTAATACAGTATTGAAATTTAAAATACCAAAAAAAAACTTAAAATATCCAAATTAAAATCAGAAGATAACTTAGGATTATGCAATGGAGAAGTTCTCTTCCATAATTTGTTTGCAATTTGATACTTTGAAATTTTTTTTAGCCATTGAAACTTCATGGCTTTCCCTAGATTAGTCTGAACTGACTTTCGCTTGATTTTAAATTACTAACGGATGTGGAAGAGATTTAGAGAAGAAAAGTTTCTCCTGTGGTATGTCGTCCTCTTAAAATACAATAAGAAAAGTAATAAAAATACTAAAAATTTACGTGTTTCGATAGATTATCTTCTTTCCTGTTCAGCACGGCTATTTACTCATTAATGTTTATAAGAGAAAACAAAATTCACTTAGGCTACTTATTTCTGCTTCATTCAAATGTCACTAAAACTTTGGAAAATATTTTCACAACCCTACCAAGAGTTTCAAGAGTCCAAGAAAGTTGTAGTATTTGTTAATTTCACAGTCTGGCAACACTAAAATGTTGCTTGGCAACACTAAACGTACGAGTAAAATGTTGTCTCATAAGTTTCGGTTTGTGTTAGCCGTTTGTTAATGGTAACACTTGTAGGTAAGTATGTGAAATAAACAGTTCTTTGAAAGAAATTAAATAATTATAAAGTTTTTAAACCTATTATAAATGAAAGATTAAAATGAATATTCTTCTTACCTTCAATGGATCTATTAAGCTTTACATAAAGGGAATTTCCCTTGTTTTTATTATACCAGTTCTTGCAGAGAAATCTTTTCTAGAGAAATGTATATTATCAGTGTTTTCATTACAGAAAAAAAAATGGGAGAGAATTTCTCACCCTTTCTCGAAAACAGGGTGAGGTTTCAAAAAGTTAAGTGAGATTTCTAAAAATTAAAAAAACACGAGTAGACTTGGGAAAAAATTATTTCTTTAATTATAATACATTTTTAACATCTTCTAATTGAATATTTTTGCTGCATCATTTGCTGCTACTTGGAAAATGTTCAATATCTACTTTTTCATCAGCTATTACATTTATTTGACTGAAAAATATCCGTATTTGTTTCGATTTGACCGTTTCTTCAGACATTAGTTTCATTTTCATTTGTCCGCTACGGAGTAGAAGATGCTGCCTTAACAAGGTATTTGTCCATCTTACTTTCATGCACAAAAAATGTAAACGTCTTCATGAATAAATCTAACCTACGGTGAACACGTGGCTGCAGAGAAAGGGGTTCTGCTGTTCGCACCGGTTCTGAACAATACTGGTAAATAGGGAAGCTACATAACTAGGACCGATGTTCAAAATAATGAAATATCAAGGAAGAAAAGTGAAACAGATTTTATTAAAAATGGCAAAAGACGAAATTTTTTCCAAAATTCGCGCATTTTGAAATTGATTAATAGAGTGCGCGAACTTCTCGCGTTTATCATTTCTTATTGCGAGAGAAGGAAAAAATATGCGAGATTCTCGCGTTCTCGCTCTGTAATGAAAACACTGAAATTATATTCTAATTTTAATCTAAAATCATAATTTTTTTAAAGTGAGTTTTAGTGATTGATGCTTTAATCCTCTTAGTGAATAAAATTTTTATTTTAATAAGTATACCTAACTTTTTACGTCTTATCTCTTTTCAAAAGAAATTTTTTAGCCTCTACATTCACGAGACAAGATTATATAATGTGTGCTACTGCTGTATTATTCTAAATTATAAAATTGTTTGACTTATTTATACTTTTATTTATTTTTATATCTATTGATAATAATTATAAGAATCATTTATTGTATTAATTAAAATAAATGCTTAGTTTTGTAAATAGAATAAATATTTTTGTGACTGTTTTCTTCATGTGCTGTTTAAATAAATAAGTGAATTCTTAAAAAAGTTTGAAAAATAAAGAGATAATTATTTTACGTTGTATAAATATAATATTTTGGAATTTAATTATAATATATAAGAATATAATGTTCCCTCTAACAAGCACTGGCGGAGCAAGTAGGTAACTAACGGCGAATGTTCCTACGTTTGCATTAGCATGCATACATCACTTCGGTCTGAAAACTTACCTCTTTCTCTCCAGTGGCTTTTTCAGAGTGGGGCTCCCCTTAGAGCTCCCCATAACCAGCTTGTGGGGGTGGGTGATCCTTTTTTCCTAATATATAAGATTTTTCTCTTGTTTTTATTAGTTTCTAAACTGTAAAAAAGTTAATTGACCTTTTTTTTATATAATAAGAGACATTTTTGAATTCTTAGTGGAAAATAGTATACTATATAAATTTATAATTTTTCAATGTACAACTTTAATATAAGGAATAAGAGAAACTCATCTGCATCCAGTGGTTTAGTAAGGCAGAAACAAAGTTTTTTTTGATGGGGTTATTCTTTAAAGCTGTTTCTAATAGGAAATACAATTTGAAAAATATTTTGGTTTATAAAAATATTTTTTCTGAATCATTATAAAAGGATATTTTTTCAATCATTTTTAATATATCAGAAGAAAAAAAATGTCCAAAAGATTTAAGGTGCTCCAAAATTTAATTTTGTTGCTGCAAACCCTTATTTCTGGGGACAAGAAATAGTTCTACCTTGTCACCACCGTGGGTCCAAGTGAATGTCAAGAAGAATTCATACTATTGACAAATTATAGGCTTATTATGTCATGTATTTGGTTTGACAGTTGGTTCTACGATCGGTGCGAGATTCTTTTAAAAATTGGTATTTAGTAAATTTGATGATTTTTCTACCTGGTTTTGTTTTCTAAATGCAAGTAAAGGATTTCAACCAATTAAAATTAAATTAAAAAAATTTTTATTTTAAATAATGTATGAAACCTTTGAAATAATATAATAAAGACATCTTTAGACTTTATATTTAAGGAATAACTTACTCATTTCATGTATAAAAAAGCAATTTCATTCATTTACATTCTTTTAGCCTGTTTGTAGAAAAACTCCCATCTACCACTGTGCAATTGTTTCTGTCCATTGTACAAAAGTCTTGTTTGAAAAAAAAAAATTATTCATATGTTATATGGGTTTGATTTTTCCTTGTAATAGTTACCGAAGTGTGAACACAAAATTTTAAAACTTGAATTCTTTTTGAAAATGTTGTTAGATATTTACAAAATAAATAAAAGTTTTTTAAAAAAATGATCTATTGCAGGACCATTTTCAGTTGCGCCATTAAAATATAGCGATGGCAACTAACGAAGATCCAGATCATGCTAATAAGAAACTACGCACCACCGAAGAACGAAATGACTCAGAATCATTCCTTGCTCGTGAATATCAGGTAGGTCTGTTTTTTTATGGAGTGGGTGGCAGCTGTTCATGTGAGAGACAGAAACTGTGTAGATATTCTATGTCATTCTGATACTTAAAAAAATGAAATAATTCTTAGCAATGTGCCTTATAAATGACAAAATTCATTTGCTATCAATAATAATAATTCTAACAATATTTTTCTGTTTTGAAGTTTTAGACTTTTAAAAAAAAATAATATTTTATGCTTTTATTTATTTCTTTTATCCATTTATTACCTATGGGCAAAAAATGGGTCTTAGTTTGGGTTTGATGGCGGCCACACACTGTGTTTAAGACTAATAGTAAACAGTGTGCATGTGTTACTATGGCGACCGCTGCTGTTATTCTTTTTCTTTTCACTAGCCGGCATTTTTAATGTATTTACATAATATTACTTTAAAGTATTTCTATATTCTTTTTATTATTAACGTAAAATTACTGGCTTGACGTTGATTTCAATATAAATATGAATGCTGAAGAAGCAGAAGAATTTAGTCATGTCTTGAAACGTGTACATAGGCAGGATTCGAAAACCAATTCGAAGACAAACATCTATAGAGACAGTTTTTGCGACCCATGATTTGAAATGTTGTGTTGTTTAATGGAGTCAATTGAGTAAAAAAAAGCATTTGACCAATGGGTAACCAGTGATCGTAATATGGTGACCATAACTTTTTTTAAAATTTATTCTTTTTTATTGTGTTTAATATTTTCAGCCCATCACTAACTTACCTCCGAAATTAAATAATTTTTCATACAATATATAGGTAATTAAATTTTTATATGAGCAATTTTTAAAAGCAATTAAATAATTACAATTGTGAATAAAAAAAAAAGTCTTTTTGGAAACTATGAAACTAAATCAATAGAATATTTAAGCTTTGAACCTAGATGAAAGTGCTTGCATTTTACAGGGTTCATTCTAAGCGGGGTTTACGGGGCGGCCCGCCCCGTATGCCCTTTTGATATAAAATATCCGCCCTATTGCCCATTACTCCTTTTATCCCACCCTGATATAATTAAATGCGCCCTGTTTTGTCCCCTCCAAAAAGATACCACCTTCGTGTAAGAAAGGATTTTTTTTGTCCTGTCCCCCCCCCCGCTTAGTGATACTTTTCTTGAAATCAACTTGTCTTCCCTCTAGCACAAAAGCTATGGGTAAATGAGATTCCAAAACGCCCCCCCCCCTCTTTACTATTTCCTCTTGAAGTTAGTAGTTTAAATAAAAGATCTTCCAAGAAGTTCCTCAGGGAATGCAACCCATCCTGCAGCTGTGTGGGTTCCTATTTTCCCTTTTTAGAAAAATTTCTTTTTCTTAGAAATGGACGTATTGCTTATTTTAAGAAACCATACCGCTATGGTGATGGTCAGTAGGCCTGGCAAGAGTTTTCCTGGAAAGAATTTTTTAAGGAAAAAATCTTGTTCACAAAGCCTGTAGACAATTTTTATTTTAGGGGTCAGACTAGGTCATATAGATAAAAGATACATTCTCATGTATCTTCTGGACCCTCCACCCCCCTCTGCCCAGCTTTATTCTTTTGAAGGAAGAAAGAAATTTTTACTTTTGATTTCAAAAGTGAAGGGACTTAGACAATTAACTACGAAATAAAAAAGCTTTTTTATCCAAAAAAAAAAGAAAAAAAATTCTAATTTTAAAATAAACTTTTTTTTACAATGACGCAATACAATTCTTACAATAATAAGTTTCAAGTTATGTTTCATTACAAGTTATTTTAAGAATTTATATTAACATACAATAATTTTTATTCCGTTTTTTTTCTTTTTAAATATTTTTCTCATTCTTCGTTGGCACGCTGCCAGGAGTATAAACAGTATAAACATATCCGTTTTTTTAAATTTTTTTTTTTACTCTTTTAAAATATTGTTTAGCGCTATAAAACTTCAAATTTTTTTCGTTTTCATTTGAATTTGTCCTAGCAGTCGGATCTTTTTATTAATTTGTTTATTTATATTATTACTAGTGTGTGCAAAGGTATGACTGCTCCTCATAAAAGTTGAATCAAGCACACAATTTATTTGCAGATGAAGCATACTTAATTCAATTAATCGCTTTTTTCCCTCCCTTTCTTTCCTTACTTATTATTTTGTTCGACTGTTCATCCTAATTGATACTAAATAAGCTAATTCGAATAGGAAACGTTTTCTTACATTTAGAATTTTTTCTAAATTTTTTACTCATAACTGAACAGACATTACGAGTGATGTAATTATATCAGTAAATTTAAATACGTAACTTTCCTTTATTTATTAGTATTAAATTTATTTATAGCTGTATGCTTGTTCCTCAAAAATATTAAAAAAGGAAATTTATTTGAAGATACAACATGTGTTATTCGCAATTTTTTTTTCTTTTTCTGAATGATCGCAATGCAGCTTTAATTTGANTATATCGGTAAATTTAAATACGTAACTTTCCTTTATTTATTAGTATTAAATTTATTTATAGCTGTATGCTTGTACCTCAAAAATATTAAAAAAGGAAATTTATTTGAAGATACAACATGTGTTATTTGCAATTTTTTTTTCTTTTTCTGAATGATCGCAATGCAGCTTTAATTTGACCGCCCATTTTAAATAGAACTAAATAAATTGATAAATTAAGAAATGGTTTTCTTTCTTTAATAGTAACTAGTTTATTTGACGATATTTTTCAAATGAGGTGTTTGATTCGACACTATCACAATTACCAAGCCAATCAATAACTCTATGTTGCATTTTCCATATATTTAAATATGACACTTCTATATTGTTACTTAAATTATTTTTTTCTCGTTATTATAGAAATTGGTCTTTATTTTTGCGCTTATTGCAATTTCGGCTATGATCTATATCACATACCATGATGATTTGACAATGCATTGTAATATTAGATAGATTAATTTAAGTACCAAACTTTTTTCATTTAATATTTTTCAGCTTTTTATTTATTTATTAATTTATTTTTAATATCAATGTTATCGCTTTGCTAACTCTGCGTTTGCAAGATCGTGCGTCGTAAATATTGTAAATTGAATTTTTTTGAATATAATGAATATTTCGATTCTTCTTAAAACTTAAAATGTTCATTTAAATACAATAAAAAGTGCTGCGGTCACAAATGAATCTTTTTTAATAACTTATTTATTTGCTTTATAATAATTTGTAATTGTTTTATTTTATATCTCTTAATCACAGGGTCCGTACGCGCCAGACTTGATAAGTCATGGAATTGTCACCGAAAAACGTAATTTTACTTGTAACGTACTTGCACGTTTTTGATAACGTAATTTGCGACATTTCCCCTTTCGAAATTGAAAATTAAGAAGGAAAAAAAGTTTTTCCACACCTATCTTTATTAGGTGCATCCATACCCAGATAAAAAAAATCTGAATTGGCAAAATCAGTGGTAAGTCTCGCACTCAGGGAGCGTCGCCTTTAGGCAGGGCATAATTAGTACAGTGACAGTGATTTATAATAGAGAGTCACTTTGGCTGTTCCATGGTCATTCAATGGTACTAAGAAAATTGAACAGTGCGAGCGTTAGTTTCCTACACTTCAGATAAGTTATATGTTACTTTTTTTTTTTTTATATAGTATTACTTTTTGTGCTGATTTAGTATTTATCATGAAAGCAATTTTTTTTTTAGTTATTTATTATTAATTTCGTTTCTTTAACATCTTAATTTATACTTCTTTTTTTATCTATCTATCCATCTTATTTATAATAATTGTTCTTTTTAACAGAAAATCTTGACTAAATGCATTTCTATTATTTTTTTCCGGGTTTTTTTCTCCTTCTCTTCTTGCAAAAGTTCATGAACTGATGAAATACGATTTTACTTCGATTCAATGCAGATTATTAGGTAGTATTTTTATTAAATTAAATTTTTTTAGAATGACTTAGTTTTTGAGAAGTTTTTTATTTATTAGTTTGTTTATTTTTTATTAGTAATTTCTCCGTTTATTTTTCGTTGTCTTGCATCTTTGTTTCATATTTTAGGATAATTTATTTTATTTTTTAGCAGACTAAAATATGCGATTTTATCCTCTATTATTTTGCTTGTACTTTGATTTGTTAGTTTCTTTTTAGGGTGGTTTGATATTAAAAATATGCCTTTTTTAATGTTTTTATTTTACATAATTTATTTTTATTGTAACACTTTATTACAATCTTATTTTCCTATAATTGATATTTTAATTGATGCTCATGTATTGGATATTTTAACTGTTTATTGCGTTTTTGTGTTCAAAAACAACGGTAGCGTTTCTAGCTTTCGGTAGCGTTTTTGTGTTCAAAAATGTTCTTACATTAATTTGGATTTATTTTGATTTCACACAGATTATTTATTTGTATTATTTTTTTAAACAACTTCGTAACTATAAAAAAGTTTATTTTCTATTATTTTTTTATTGTTGCTCTGTAAATTCCTTTAGTCTTATTTACCCTTTCCTTGCAATTATCATAGGGGTGCACAACTTGCGGCCCGCCTACTACTGAAGTGCGGCCCACGAGAGCTACTGATCACAATAAAAAATTTTAATCGCACTTTTGAGTCATCGCGTTTTGACACGTTCAATTTTAATAAATTCTATAGTAAACATATGTTTAACGCGCTTTCTTTAATTGGAATTCATCGTAAATATAAATTATTTTGTTAAACACTTATTTCCACTTTGTAGCGTGATTTCGAAAATCCTGAATTTTTTATTAATTTCAATAAATGCTTTTTGGTGCAATTTATTTGTGACAATTTCATCTTAAATCTAAGTAATTTTTTTCCTTCTTTTTTTTGCTATTCTTTCTTTTAAGCTATTTTTTTTCTGTAGTTATTGCTATGCATTCCCACGTACTATAAAAAATTCCTGTAATTTTATTATGACATGCGAATTTTAAATCGCACATTCGACAAACTTTATTCTTGCTGAGTTCAGCATAAATTTAAGTAATTATTATTATTTATTTATTTTTTGAATTGCCATACTTTTCCACGTGATTTTGTAACTACGATGTTATTACAACATGCAAAAAGGAATTTCTTTCTTTGTTTTTTTTTTTAAAGAAAAGTTTATTAATAACGTTCATTGAAAAAAATGCTGTGTCATAATAAAAATGCCTATAAAAAGAAAAGTTAATGAAAAAGAAAAACAGAAAAAGCAAATCGTTCTTAGTTCCTAAAACAAAACTTTAACACTGAAAATCAGTTTTCTATGTTTCCAGTTATTTATATTACAGTACAGGGAAAGAGTGATAATAAATTAATAGTATGAGACGTTCTGTTAAAATGCTGCGTTATAATAAAAGCAGCAGAATAAGTCAAGAAAAAAGAATTAAGTCAACAGAAATGCTCTGAAGCAGAATAGAAAAAAAGCAAAAATGAAAAAGAAAAAAAAATTCTTTCTCAGTTCTCAGAATTAGAAGTATCGCAAAAATTACGAAATAGATTTGTCTGATTAAAAAAAAATTTAAAAAAAAAAAAACAAAAGAAAAAAAGCAGTAATTCAAAAACTTGTGGTTCAGAATAAAGTAATCTAGTTTTCCAACTTTCTTTTTTCTCTTTGTCTTCTAGAAGATAAATTTGCAAGCCATGTGCAGAAACATGGATTTTAAAATTTTAGAAATTTATGTTATAATATAATAATTCTTATAATAAACAATACTATAATATAGTCAAAATACAATTTAATATTATTTTTTATCATATCTATACAAATTCAAAAGAAGAAAAAAAACTTAGAAAAATAAATTTTTAAAAAAATATTCTGAGGAATATTTGATTACTCATTTAACCAACTGAATTTTTGACTAAAGTGCTAAATGCTCATTAAATCCCTAATTTAAATGCAATATTACAGCAACCTGAGAAATTCAAAAGTGGTGGAAAATGTGAATTTTTAAACTGCCCACTGTTTGTTGCTTAAGTAATCATTTTCGATTTAAAAAAAAGATAACGTTTACTATATAGAAAATCTAAGAATTAATAAAATGAAATAATGAAGTACATTACTAAATAAGTATTGAATTTTATTTTGAACTATAAGTTTTATTTTAGGTTTTTGTAGAAAACTTATAAGTTTTCTTCAATTAAAATATTTAATTTGAATTTATATTACTTAATTCTATATTAATTTTTTTCTTACTTTCATTTTGCGAGCTTTGAAGTTTTTTTTAATTAGAATTTATCTTTAAAATGAATTTTTGTATTGCGTAATATGATAAAAATGGCATTTTTTCTTTTTTTAAAAGTATAAGTTTTTTTTATTTTCAAATGAATTCTAATAATTGAACGACTTTAATTTTCAACAAATATATTACTAGGTTTATTAATAAAAAAAAAACTAGAACACTAATGTTAAAAGAAATATTACTACATTTGCCATTAACGTGTAAGTTTGATATTATTGCTGCGACTGAATTCAAGTATAAAACTTCCAGTATTTTTTATTTAAAATGACTGGAAGTATGAATTTTATTTTGCAATTTTTTTTGTAAATATTGTTTTTTATGTATATACTTCAGAACTTCGTTTTCAACAGTTAAGCTTAAAAACGCAGTTTATTTTATTTTTTTATAAGGGAGAGCCAGATACATAATAAGTTTATTTTCAAGATTAATATTCATATTTTATCTGAAAATATTTATTCTAATCATCAACTCGAGAAAGAAAGACATATCTGAAAAATTTCAGTTGTTTCCCCGGGTCTTTCAAAGGTATGTGTAAAGTTTTAAATATATTTTTAGTGAACTAAGAAATATTAAGATAAAGGAAAAAAAACTCGTTTTAATTTTTTTTTACATTTTTCAATTCAAACTGTAGCCTTTTTTTCTTAGAAAATTGTAGTTATGTATTTGATAATTATAATTGTGATTAGTGATAAAAGTAAACTTATATATAATTATTCATTTTAACTATGCAAAGAAGGCTAAGATATCTGCCCTTTTTATAAAATACAATGTTCTTTTTTAAACTTGCTCTTTTTTTTAAAAGTATAGTGCCCTTTTCAATTTTTAGCACCCTGCCCTTTTTTTAGTCTAGAATGAACCCTGCATTTTATATTGTATTGTAAACTTAATTTGTTTAAATATTGTTTCAGTTAAAAGTGTTGTTGTTTTTTTCTTGAATTTTATCCCACCTTTTTTTCTATATTTTATATTATTGTGATATAATCAGGTAGTATGACAAAATAAAAATTTATATTCAAAAATTATTTTGAGAGTTATTAACTGTTAAACTTAAAATTACCTTATTAGAGCATTGTGTTATATAAAGTAAAAAATGCCATGTCTATGGCTGGTTAAAATGCAACAATGGAGTTAAAATTTGCCCTGCTGAAACAGTAATTTTTATTTCGAATTTTATTGTGAACTTTGTTTCAAAATTTCAATTTACACTTTAGATATTGCAATACTAATTGCCTTTTCATAAATTTCTTTTTCTTCTTCTTTTTTTGCTTTAAATAATGATTACTGATTCTACATGTGCACAAAATCTGCTATCATGTCTTAAAAATGAGTTGTTTTATGACATAAATAACATTGTTGGATGTATTTAGATTGAAATATTGGAGGAAGCAATGAGAAAAAATACGATTGCTTGTTTGGGTACAGGAACTGGAAAGACATTCATCGCAGTCTTATTAATTAGAGAGAATGCAAATGAAGTCAGAATACCTTTTGAAGAAGGAGGGAAACGAATATTTTTTCTTGTTCCTACAGGTAAAGACATTTTTTGTTGTTAAAAATTCTGTTACAATTTCATGCAAATTTTTTGCTTAAAATGTGTCTTTTTTTTGTTTTAAGACTGTTTTTATAAAATTTTATATTCAATGCCTTTTTGCTAATAAAGAAAAATTAAATTTTATACTTCACCTAATGTAAGAAAAAAAAACTTGTAATCAATCAATAACTTTTTCTTATCCAATCAATAACTTCTTTTTATGGTAAAATGACTGGAATTGCTCTGAAAGAATGTAATGCATTTTAAATAAATATTGATGCAATCATATTGCATCCACTGGTAAACAATAAACATAATGTGATATCGCATAAGTAAAATAAATATTTTGCTCTTTTAATGCTTTACAATTTGCATTAAGTGCACTTTTAAGCGAATTACTTTTTACATCTGTAAGACAATTTCTTCAGTGACACACTTTTTTTTAATTATAATTTCAATCTTCTGAAAAAGCAGGAGTTAGAATGACCATGAAATGAAAATTGATTTTACATGTAATAAACAAGATAATTCTGAGGTGTTTTTTTTTTTTAATCTTTTTTTTAAAGAAATCAGGTAGTTTTATTTTCATATAATGTTTTATATCATTTTCAATAACCAAAGAAATTATCAGTGTGGATAAATTGAAATTTTAAATATTTTTGCTTATAACTTATCTCATTTAATAGGTTATGATTTTCTACACCAAATTTTTGAATATAACTGCTAACACCAAAACCAAATAAAACTGTCAATTTTCAAAACTTGCCAACCATAGGAAGTATTATCAGACAGAAAGTTCAGCTAGATCATCATACAAAGAGTTTCTTATTGAAATATTACTTTGTCATGTGACACCTTCTTGTGATAAGAAATTTTATTTTTAATAATTGGTAATACAAAGCCTTTGTCATTTTTAATAATAATACAAAACTTCATTAGTAAAAAAAAATTTTTAATTATATCTTGAGTGAAAATCTTTCTTGTACTAACTAATAAACAAACTCTTTTAGAAAAATGCAAAATCATCTTTTTGAAACATTATTTGTTAATAGGTCAAGATAATAAAAAAAAATTACTAGTGTAGGTATTGTCATTTTCACCTTAAGCACCCATATACAGTCTGTTCAAACTTAAAAATTGTATTTATTACCTTCCTATAATATAAGAGGTTAAAATAAAATTAAATAAAACTTTATTTCTACAGTTCCTCTTGTCAATCAGCAGAAATTAGTGATATCCAAACATACTGATCTGAAGGTGAAAGGTTTTTTTGGTGAAATGCAAGTGGACAGCTGGAGTATCGACGACTGGCGGAAGGAATTCATCGCCTCCGAAGTATTAGTGATGACAGCCGAAATATTCAGGATAATCCTCGACCACGCCTTCATTTCTCCCAAGCAAATACAGCTCCTAATATTTGACGAGTGTCACAGAGCACAAAAAGACCACCCTTACAGGCAGGCTATGAAGTACTTGCACGACAAGCAGGATGAACTGCCTAGAATTTTTGGTCTCAGTGCTTCTCTGCTGAATGGAAAGTGCAAACCTACTCAGTTGGAAAAACGACTGAAGGAGCTGGAGGCCACTATGTTGTGCGGCATCACGACTGCCAGCGACATCGCAGAGCTGCAGAAGTACGGAACAGATCCCGACGAGTATGTTGTGTATTTTTCCAGCTACGTAGAAACTGCCGCCAATCTTATGAACCAGATAGAGAAAGTTACCGCAAACTTGAAAAACGATAAGGCCGTTTCCGAATCACAGTTGACTTTCGAGGGCCCGCTGCTGTCGGACGAATTCGACGTCATTTTCTTCGATAAACCAGTAAAGTGTTTGAACTCTTTGCGCGAGACTCTGAAGGTGTTGGGCCCTTGGTGTACTTATAAAGCGGCTGAAATATATTTGCGAGAAATTAAATCGCTACTACAACGTCCCTTTTCTGACAAGTACAAGGACAGTTTAGAAATTGTTTATAAATTTTTAGGATACGTGATGTCTCAATGTTTAATTTTGAATGGGAACACATTAGAAATTCGTGAGGCGTTCCTTCCTGATAAACTGAAAAGACTTCTACAAATATTTGTGGCAGCAAGGAACTGTGAAAGAATTTCAAATCCTGCCGTGGATAATGTCGAAGTAGATTATGATTTTCTACATTTACTCAAATCACCGAAGAGGATAAAAAGCAAGGTTCAAATTTCGTCCATAATTTTTGTCAAACTACGAATAACAGCGTACGTTTTATGCGAATGGTTGAAAGAAATAAAAACAGCACACTCAGATCTCGACTTTTTAAAACCCGATTTTATTGTGGGCCACGGTAGCTTGGGTCTCACTGAAACAGCTATGTCGGAAAAACTGCAGAGAAAGAAAGTGCGTGCCTTTAGAAATGAGGATTGCAATGTTTTGGTGGCAACATGTGTTCTCGAAGAAGGAATGGACATAAGGCAGTGTAATGTCGTCGTCCGGTTTGATCTGCCTCCTGAGTTCCGATCGTACGTGCAGTCGAAAGGACGTGCGAGAGCGAAAAACTCCATTTATGTTTTGATGGTTGAAGATGGACTGGAAAGCTCTAAATTTCTTCAAGACGTGTGCAATTTCAAAACTATTGAAAAGGTAAAAAAAAAAAAAAACATTCTTTTTTATTTTTCCCTACTTTATGTTTTTGGAAAAGAAATGCTCTGTGAAATTTAGATTATAAATTTTTTTTATTTTTTTCTCAGATTTGGTTCTAAAACAAAGTTTTATCAATTCAGAAATCCACTGTACATACAATTTTCACAATTCGTTTCAAATATATCCTATCTTAAGATAATATTTCAGTGCAGGTTTTTGTTTCATAATAACTTGTTTGCGTGAGTAGCTGTCTCATGATAACCTTATTCATGTGTTTTTGATGTTATTTACTCCATGTGTGATTTGTCTCATAGAACTTTGTTATTATAAGATTCTGTCAAACAATACTTTGTCTTGGTAAGACTCTTTTTCATGATGCTTTATTCTTCTAAGATCTGTTCCCATAATATTTGGCGAGAAATTCACACGGTTTGCTTTGATTTTTAATACTTAAAACAATATATATATATATATGAATACTGCAAATGTAACAAATAGTGATTTCGAAGAAAAAGGTATATTTATTTAGAGAAAGTACGTTTTTGTCTCCAATATTGTAACTTAAAATGGTGTCTACGCTAATTAGCATATTTGAGGTTGCTCCTACGAATCGTTAGTTCAAAAGTTATTCAAGGTAGTCTGTGTTTTTTTGTTTTTTTGGTCTACTGTGCATATAGATATATATATATTCGGCTTATTTTTAAAAATGTCATTTATCAAAAGGGTTGTCTGTTATAGTGATTTATTAGCTGTTAATAATTTGAAGTTGAAAATATTTTTGAAATGTTGGCATAAACTTTATGTACTGTAAAACTTTCAAAAATGATTTTAACTTTTTAGGTTTTTTTTAATGAATATGGGGTAGCTATGCATTTCTTTTTTCACCTATTAAATATTCAACTAATTATGAAATAAAATTTCTGTAAGTATCTTCTTAAAAAAAATCTAATTTTAATTTAGATGGATTTCATTGTATGTTTCTACTGCTCTTTGTTTTAATTATTATTAGAGACTATGATAAAGCACTTTTTCTTCAATTGAGACAGATTGTTTCTCTTAATTGTTTCAATTGTTTCTCTTAAAGCTGCTCCTGTCCAGATGTTACAAACGTAGTCTACCTAGTGAAGAGGATATTTCAGAAGTCATGGCAGACAATATAATTGCACCTTATATGCCTTATGGAGTGAGCGGTCCTCGAATCACTATGACCTCTGCTGTCTCTTTGATTAACAGGTGATGTATATTTTGTATCCTGTTGTTAGTATTTAACAGAAATTTAGCTGGATAATTTCTTTTACTGTGTTACACATAAATAAAAACAGGTTGATTTTTATCTTTATTTTATAACCATCATTGAACACCAGACCCAATTTTTAGGTTTACGACTACTAATATTAAACTCCATAGTCTTGTAATTTTGAACCCAATGCAAAAGACAAGAGAACTCCTGGATCAAGTATTGGGAGATTTTACCTTCGTGGAGGACTTTTTGATGGAATCTCTATCCCTTGAGCCATCACGGCTCACCTTAAGTTTCGATACATAACGTCAGAAGATAGAAGCCCTTCAATTCACCCGTCAGCAGAGAGATATAATTGTTCAAGCGCAAATCATGATTTATGCCATACATATCTAGCCTTTATTTCTAATTATTTAAAACAGCCAAGCAATTTGTTGTCAGGGGCCCTATTACCAGCTTCACGGAATCTGATTCCGATCGAAATGAAACTCTCGTGACGTCATAAATCCGTGAATGTCAATTAGGCCCAATTACGAGCTCTTGATTCTGATCGGAACTAAATTCCGATGCGAAATAATTACGAATCCGATTCCAGCAGGTTTAGAGCAAGCGAAATCTAGATTCTGATAGGAGTTTGTTTATTTTAGTGATCAAAATGGCGCTATTTTCTGTCATTACTACCAATTAAAGCCAATCTGAAAAGCATTTTTCTAGTTTTTCTTAGCGTGTAACACAAAATTTGAAAATTAAACTTCATCTAAAATAGGGTATTTTTATAACTTTCATAAAAATTATTGCATTTCAATACTTAAATTGCGGCTTATTTTGTTTTACGGATTGAGTTAAAAAGAAGAGCTTTTCATTATACTCAGAAAGATGATACCTTATCTATTTCATAATTTTATAACCGTTGTCGAGCAGCTGACCTAATTTTGTGTTTAAGACTACTGATGTTCAACTCCGTAGTCTTGTAATTTTAAATCCAATTTAGAAGACAAGGAGAGTCCTGTATCAAGTGTTGAGTGAAATCTGCCTCCGTGGAGGACTTTTGATGGAATTAATCCTCATTTCCGTTACATGGAGAGGAAAACCTCCCACGGTTAGCCTGACCTCAAGGAGACTCCCGATCTTCTGAGCCACAACGGCTAGGCCTGATTGATAATAAAAAATAATTGCTTATAAAAAAATAATTTCATTGAGATAATGTTGAACATTTAGTTGAAATTCTATTACCGCAAAGCAATCTGAAAAACATTTTCATGGTTTTTCTTTGCGTGTAACGCAAAATTTGATAATTTTAATTTAAACTTAATCATGGTTAAAATAAATTATTTTTGTAACTTTTATAAACATAATTTTTCGCTTACTTAAATGCGATTAATTCCGATACTTAAATTGCAAGTTACTTTAATTTTTGAGATTAGTTAAAAATATAATACAAAAAATATAAAGAGCATCTCATTATATTCACAAATATAATTAGCTGTCTGTCAAAGATGCTAAAAAGTGATTCATTATATAAAAAAAATTCATAGCGATTCCTGAACATTAAGCTGGAACTCTTTAAGCGTCAAGCAATCTGAAAGATATTTTCGTGGTTTCCCTTTACGTGTAACACAAAATATGATTGTTTTCTTTAAAAAAATAATAATAAAATAAAAAATTTAAAAAAAAACATAATGGCAGCAATGTTTAAATATTTACATAAATTTTGAGTTATTTTATCTTTCTTCCTTGTTAAAGCAAAACAAAATGAAGAGCATTTGATTGATGGCAATTCATTAGCAGGGTAGATAGTCTTTTACAGACGTTACGAAATGATTTGGCAGATTTCTTCATAATAAATGCTAGGAATAATTATTTTGATGAAAAAGATTTTTTTTTTAAATTCTCATAGGAAAATTTAACAAATTTACTGTTGCATTATAATAGAACTAGACACTTCAAACTAGTAATTATGGTTGAATAAGCAAATATCGGTTTTATCCTTCGGTTTTAATTAACCAAGCAAACCAATTAACTTTAATTAATCCCAAAATTGCTTGCAATGAAAATAATTATAGACAATCTTGATTTTCCTTCTGGAATTTTATTATAATTGCATTCAGTGGTGGTGGATATTGCTGGCGAATATGGATTTTTGTATGGGAAGCCATTTTTTAAAGTAGAACATATGAATTTTTAAGCTTTCACTTCTAAGTTAATGCTATTTTAGCTCGCATAGAAGAAGAGAAAACAAATATATCGTTGCCAGATTAATAAATTAGAATTATAGTTATTTTCTAATTGGTCAAAGTTAGTCCCGCCTACAAACTTCAATTTCACTGGAATCGTGCGGAATGGGGATTTTGATTCTGGATTCCGATATGCTCATGTTACGGCAAAGTGGGTTTTACGAAATTGGCAATCCGATGAAAGCTAGTTTCCGAGCGGAATAAATTCCGATGAGTTGGTAATAGGGCCCCAGGTATGCCTTCAAATGAAATCGTATTTTCTTGTATTTAACAGTCAAAATTAAGTTAAGGTATGCGTTGTTCATGAAATTAGCCTTCTTTTGAAAAGACCTGTATCCAATCCGATAATGTGACGCCATCAAAATTAAAAATAAATTTTTTCACTTCCATCTGAAACAAATTGTTTTGTTTATGCCGTATTTTTATTTATGTGCAGTTTTTGCTACTGTTGAATTCTAATTTATTTTTTTCAGAATAAATGATATTTTTTAAATAATTAATTTTTTTAAACTAATTACTACAAAAAAACACATTTTATTTGATAATGGAAAATGTGCTTTTGCATGTTAATAATAATAATAGTCTTTGCAGGTACTGTTCAAATCTTCCCTCTGATATGGCAACTAAGTTAGTACCTCGTTGGACCATCCAGAAAGTGGATCCTTTATTGCTGGAATCGGAATATGTGTGTGAGCTCAAAATGCCCATCAATTCTCCCCTAAGAAAAACCATCATTGTAAGTTTTGTCTTCACTGGCTTTTTTTATTGTTTTACTAAATCAGGAGTCTGTCCAGGTTAAATTTACTACCGTTTAGCGGTGCCTTCACAAGTTCGACTTTAAGAAAAACGGTTTTCACAAAATACTTTTAAAAAAGCAAGCTCTGGTGCAATCTGTGGAAAAGAGGAGCTTTTCTGCCAGCCGTCTTTTACGAAAAGGTAGCACGCGTTTGGTCAGATAGGGAAATGTGGTTAGCCTGACAGGTCGCTTACGCTATATCAAAGCGAGTTTTTTTTTTCGATGAGTTTTTTGAAATGAAATGAAGAGGCTCTCCATCTATAAACTGTACAGAAAGTTGAAATTCAAACATTATTCTAAACATTTGAACATTATCTTAAACACGACTGTAAATTTATTGTAACAGACCTTAATTTTTTATGAAACATTTTTTTCTCTTTGAAACTTTTTTCTGTATGACCTAGTCGAAAATGTTCTCCTAGTGAAAGTAGCTTTTAGTGCTAGTACTGTTGAATGCATGTTTTTATTAACTTCAAGTTGAAATTTAACTATGGACAATGATTTTTACGGATTTTTAATTTTGGATTAAGGCCAAAATCTTACAATATCATAATAATTTTTGAATATATGTGGAAACATATATAGGAATTTACCAGTCCTATTTTGAAAATATTTTCTTACTTTACCATATTGTGTTGATTTTTTAATATCATCTTTAATTCTCACAAATTATGTCTTTCACAAAATAGGTACCTCTTAAAAAATCCTAGACAGACTCCTGCAAATATTTCTGTGAAGTATAAAATTATTATGGGACAATATATACACAGTGGCAGAATTTTTTAGAGCTATCTGCAACAAAACTCTCTAGCAATAAATATCTTTCTGCAATATACTTTTAATAATAACAAACATCTATGTTACTAATTTTATAATAACAAAAGCCCTGTGTTTACAAAAAAAAACTGTATAATTTTTTTTAATTGAGCATGTAATTATTCTTTATTATAATATTATGGGGATATTCTTGCATTTTGCTGGGAAGAGGGGGGGGGGCTCAAATTATTTCCTTCTTCACATTTTGTATAGTAATTATCTCAATAAAAAAAGTAATTATAAATCATGAAATGCGTAGTAGTGATTGCCGAAAAACGATTGACGACGAAATCACATGAATTGGATTCCTCAAGTGCATGTTTTGTTTGAGATTAGACTAAATAATATTGTGTTTAAAATATCAGATTTAAAAACTATGGAGAAACCAATACCAATGACTGCCTGAAATTCGATAGAATTATTGCCTTAAAAAGTAAGTATTCAAATGCATGATTCGAATTTTTTATATTGTTTGAAACATCGTTTATCCACGTGAAAATCAATGACTGCCGAAAATACAATTGAAACATTACATTGATTTAGGATACTATCAGTGTAAAATGAGCGCATCAAAAAGTGATTATCTAAATGCATGACTCTATTAAAGTAAATTTCTACTTGTTAATTTCTGTTAAATAGAAAAGTATTATTTTTTTTTTTTGCTTTTCAAAAGAAAAATCTTTCTGCCAGAACTCTGCGGCAATGTCGCTGTGACTCAACTACGGGGATCATAGATATTTTCAGCTGCAAGCATTTTGTTTAGTAAAAGTTATCATGATATTTATGTATGTGAAATAGTTTCATTAGTGCCTAATTTAATCAATCTTAACATGCTTTATATTTAACTATGCTTATATTTAAGGCTATATCCCTCGCAATCGCATTAAATCTAAATGGTCAATTTATATTATCCCAGTTATAAATAAATCAAGTTATTAAACAGAAAATTTCTTGAAATAAATTTTAAATATAGTATAAACTTTATATAGCCTAAGTGATCATAATTTATGATCATTTGTAATCTATTTCTCTTTTAAAAGAATGCAATAAATTCATACTTTTCTCATTGATATCCATTCTCTTTCTTCAGCCCTTTTCTGCGGTTATTTTCAAGTTAAAACATGTAGTCTTTGCTTTTATATATATGTTATTTTTCCAAAATGTAAGCATCTTATTTTTAATGCATTTTTCATTTTAAAGTGTACTTTTTGTCTTTCTGTAATGTAGAAAATGTGTGTTTATAATAAAGTTGATATATTACTAATTTTTCGGTTAGTTACCTAGTTCTTAAAGCATTGCTTTATTAAAATGAACCCTGTGGTAGAAGCTTTTTGAGTCATCTGTCACAAAACTCTCCAGCACTTATATCTTTCTGTGAGACACTTTTAATAATAGCAAACATATATGTTACTAATGTCAAAAGCTCTGTGTTTACAAGAAAAAAAAATGTAATTTTTTTTTAATTGAACTTTTAATAATTTTTATTCTAATATTATGAGTGATATTCTCATATTTTGTTGGGGGGAGGAGGAGGGCACAAATTATTTCCTAAGTAATCATTACAATAAAAAATGATGAAATCCGTTGTAGTAATTGCTGAAAAAAGATAAACGATGAAATCGTCTTCTAAAATGCATGTTTTGTTTGGAGATTAAGTTGTAATAATAAATAATATTTTATGAAAAATGCTGCATTCTGAAACTATGGAGAAATCAATAGCAATAACTGCCCAAAATTCAATAGAATTATTGCCTTTAAAAGGAAATACTCAAATGCACAATTCAAAATTTCTATATTGTATGAAATATATCGGAATATTTAAAATCCGTGTGAAAATCAATCAATAACTTGCCAAAAATAGGATCGAATCATTACATTGATTTACGATACTATTTGTGTAAATTGAGCATGTCAAAAACTGATTATTTGAATCATGATTCAAGTATGTGTAAATTTCTCAAAAGAAAAATCGTTCTGCAAGAGCTCTATTGTGTTCTGCGACAATGTCGCCGTGTTGCTGCGATTCTGCCATGGGAAAAATGAATTGAATATCTGTTTTAAGTGTGAGTAAATTAAGTGAAGCGTCAACTGCATTATCATTCACTGTAGGCAGTAAGGTAAAAGAGACACTGTTTTATATATATTATTAAAATATTCTTTAGACATTGTGTGATTATGTTATATGAAAAAAATTGACAGATCACAGATGCCACTATCTATTAAAACCTTCACATTTATGTATCTCTTTCTCAGTATTTTCTAATTTTAACACTTTTAGTTCTTTTAACAGTGTTCTTTCTTGGGTTGCTTTCATACTGTATTCTAATTATATTTCTTTTTTAGAGTGAACCTATGAGGAAAATGAAATTGGCTAAAATGTCTGCTGCCCTAAAAGTCTGTCAAGCGCTTCATGATATTGGTTAGAAATTATACTTTCTTTCTACTAAATAATTAAGAATTTTGAGAGCTCTCTTTAAGTCATGTCATATATTTGTATCCCTTCCTGTTTATAATCTCCATGCAAAGTAACAGTTATAAACATTTGCTTATAAAATATTGAAATCTTCTGCAATTTTAAAGTAATTTTTTTTCGTATTTTGAAATAATAATTTTGTTATCAGTTTAAAATTACTCCAAATATTTTGTTTAATGTTGTTAAATTATTTTAAACTTATTTTTAAAAAAAGGTAAGACAAAAATTACCGTAATTTCACGGAGACAGACCCCGGTGTTATTGATTTAAAACTTGAAAATTTAATAAAAGGCGTATCTAACGGGGTGGCCTATATAGCATTACTTTTTTTTCTTCATAGCATTATTTTAGAAAATTTTGCCTTTTAAAAGCCCCACTGGAAATTTCATCATCATTTTTTCCACCTGTTACTTATGCTTTTTATTTATTTTTTCATCTTTAATTTTACTCCAAAAAATGGTCAATGCACCTGGAATTTCCTCCCATGTTTCTTAGAATCTCTTTCTGGAAACCGCTATCTGCAAGAGAACAAAAGTTTCTCTTTCCCTTCTGCCATAGGAACAGCAGTTGAGTGCAGGGGGCGGGCGTGGAGTGGAGAAGCATAAATCAGAAAGGAATGTATAAAGAAAATCAGAGTGGTGCCATTGATGACATTCACTGTGAAACAAACACTAACCCTCCCCGTTTTTTCCAGGAAATACGTCTCTTCCACATGTCATGGTTTCATCAGTAAGTATCCACTCCCCTTTTTTTTTGCACTGATGAAGGTTGCCCTTTGAGCATCCGAAACAGCTGTCTGCAATTTATATATTTTTTGTGCTCTTAAACGTTGTTTTACCTTACTTTGTATTTCAGCACAAAGGTCGCCCTTATGTGTATTTCAGCACAAAGGTCGCCCTTATGTGTATTTCAGTAAAACTTGTTTTTAAGTTATATATTTCGAATGCCTCCCATTAAGAGCAAAAGTTATACGACTGCATTTAAGCTTTCAGCAATTAAAAGAGCTGAAGAAATTAGAAATCGGACTGCTGCCCGAGAATTTGATGTAGATGAACGGTGCATCCGGAGGTGGAAGTCTGAAAAGGGTGTCTTGGCTACTCTACCCAAAACTAAGCGTGCTCGGTGCAATGGCACTGTTGGGTGGCCAGTGCTGGGGGATAACCTAGCGGCATGGGTAAAGGAGCAGAGGGCCGAAGGGTTGTCCCTCTCTACTGTTCGAATTCGCATGCAAGCGAAATTAATTGCTTCCCAGATGGGAATTCCAGATTTTAAAGGAGGCCCGAATTGGTGCTTCCGATTCATGAAGAGAAAGAACTTGTCAGTGAGGCAAAAAACCACTGTAGGTCAACGATTGCCTACTGATAAAATTGAAAAAAAAGGCTTCTTTTTTAACTTTTCTATCAAAAAAGATGGAGGAACGTGGACTTAATCACGGACAAATGGTAAATATGGATGAGGTTCCGCTTTCCTTTGACTGCCCTCCAAACAGGGCTGTGGAAGAAACAGGAAATAAATCCGTGGCCATAGTAACCACTGGCCATGAAAAAATGTCCTTCACCTGTGTGCTTGGGTGTTCCGCAACGGGGGAGAAGCTTCCCCCGTTGCTGATCTTCAAAAGGAAAACAATACCAAAAATCCATTCTTGTAGGATTGTTTTATTTTTTTTGTGTATTTAACATCCTTTTATTGGTTTCTTATTTAACTATTTAAGTTATATATATGTGAATATATAGAACATGTTTTAAGTCTGTAATAAATACCTGCTTTGGTATAGTATAATCCGGCACAGCGTGTTCGTCGATTTTTTTATTTGCATTTTTTGAGGGCGCGGCGTTTCTCCGCGAAATTACGGTAAGTTTTTTTTATAAAAATGTTTGTATCTCAATAAATAATTTAGCTAACAAAATTTCATGTAATTATTGCAAATAACAACCCAAGTAATGAATGCAAGTTACAAGCTTATGCATTTTGCCATATTACTATACACTGCCATGTTATAGCAATAGTTTCAAGTTTATAGTAATTTATTAATAAGTATGAGAAATCGTATGATTTTAACACCTCTAAAGTTATAAAAATAAACCAAGTATTTCTTGAGAAATTTTTTAAGTTGTCAAAAACTAAAAGTATCTTTACTGTTACTGTATAGTAAATCATGCGTAGAATAGTTATTTCAGCTTGATTATTAAAAAACTTATAGGATTTCCGACACTACGATTATTTTAATAACTAGTTCGAAGTTTACTATAAAGCTTAATTGGCATTGGCGAACATAAATAATTGTTGTTGTTCACAAAATTATATGCAGCAATTTGATTTAAAAAATTTTGCAGTTATAACTGCTAATTTTCACATGCTTTTTTTGAAATCTTGTAAAAAATTCAAATCCCATACCTGAGTATTGACGTTTTGATGCAATATTTCTATCTTTTTTTCACTCGTTCTGTATACTTTCGAATTCTTGATATTTTTAATATGATATAATGTATTACAATGGTTAAATATCAAAACATATTTTTAATTAGTCCCTTTTTAACGTGCCATATTAATTTAATTTCTTCATAGGTATACACATGGTTTTATTATCAATCTATTTTCAATAATTATTGCCATTAATTTCACAATTTTTAAAATCCTTTTTCAGTGTGATGACGACTTGCAAAGTGCAAAAAAGAAGAACATGTAATTTGTTTTCAATATATATATGTGTAACATAAAAAGCCTCAATTAATCTTTTTATGTTATTCCTTTTCTTAATTTAATATTCAAAACGAAACGCTTTCCCACAATTTTAATTTCACATCCTGTCCATTAATCTATTTTTCGTTCAAGTATGCATTCATTAAAAGTAGGACATTTTCCCTTTTGCTCTTTGTGGGAATTGCGTAACCTATTTAATAAACCAATTACTATTAAGATTTCCCTTATTCCCCAACTTTTATTAAGGAGCACAACGATTTTGTGTCACTCTCTCTCATTTCCATCATCACATGATGATTAAATAAAATTAATTTGCTCTTTTTAAAATCCTGTGTCTGTTTGTTCTGCTCACATGACGGCCACCATTTATATATGAAATTTTTCTTTCTTTCATTTTTATGAAATTGCGCAAAATGGAGTCACTGAAATGAAACATTTAATTTTATAGAGGAGTGATTAGTTTTATTGCATTTGTGCTAGTAGAAATACAATTCCAGATATAAATGTAAGAAAAAGAATAACATATTTATTTATTTTTTTGTCAAATTTGTAATGTTACTTTAATTGTTTACTTATGATTTTTTCTCATTCATTACTTATGATTTTTTCCATTTCATTTCAATGGTTAAAGGGTTCTTTGAATGTTTTTTTTTTTTTTACTTTGTTGCAGTAAAATTATGAGAAATCTTAACTAAAATATTTTATTTATTTAAAAAAATATTTAATTAGTTTTAAAAGAATTAGTTAAAGTTTTAAAAATGTTTTTTTTTTTTTTTTATTATTATTTTGCTAAGGCATTACATCAAATATTTAAGATTTTATGTATATTTAATTAGGAGAATTGAATGATCATTTAGTTCCCATCAGCTGCCTAGTTGAGAAAGCTTTAGATGAGGAGTTAGGAGATATTGAGAAGGAAGAAACTGAGGATGGAACCATACCAGGAACAAACAGACGGAGACAACTTTACGATAAACATGTAAACCAAATTATTCTAGTAAACTTCACATTATCTGGGTCATAACACTTTGCCAAACTAATAAGGGAGATTCCCCTGTTTTATATAACTATCAGTTATAGTAGGCAAATATTTATTCTGCAATAACAATGCACGTTAAATCTGTTGAGTCACAAACTCCTCCGTGTTCCCATAACAAATTCTACCTCTGGGGGTACTGATCCAGGAGTTTCTGGATTGGCTCAAAATTACAAGGTTACGGAGTTGAACATCAATAGTCGTAAACCCGAAAATTGGGTTGGCTGTTCAACGACGGTTATAAAATAAAATATAAAACAATCCTATAGGTGCCAGTATAGCCTGATTGGTAGGGCACTGGGCCCATGTCCAAAAGGTCATGGGTTCTGCAACATGCAGTATGTTGGTTGTTTATAGTTTAAGTCGAGCCGTGATGGTTCAGGGGATAGAGCTTTCAATGAGGTGAACCGAGTTCGAATCCCACCAATGACTGATCGATAAAAATTTCGCTTCCAGCTCGCGCCGACCACAGTGCTGACATGAAACATTCTCAATGGTCCCCTTGCTGTCAGGGTAACCGTGGGAGGTTTTAATGGTTTACCTCTCCATGTAACTCAAATGCGGGTTAGTTCCATCAAAATGTCCTCCATGAAAGCAAATTTCTCCCAATACTTGATTCATAAGTTCCCTTGATTTCTGGATTAGGTTTAAAATGACAAGGCTATGTAGTTGGAAATCAGTAGTTGTGAACCCTAAATTGGGTTGACTGTTCAACAACGGTTATAAAATAAAATAGTTTTAAGTAATTGTAAATAATGGTATAAAGAATTTTTCTTTAGATTAAGATTTGTATGCATTTTTTTTACTTCACAAAATATAAGTGCTTATATTATTTTGAATTTCTCTTTTCGACTTACGTGATTATGCAGGATGTATCAAAACTTTACTTGTAGCCTAAAAAATGTCGCTAGTAAAATCACCGTTATTTTATTTCTCCAATGTCACTTTGAATGATTATTAAAAGTTTGTTTTGGATATTCTTTTTCCTCATTTTTTTATTCATTTCAGTATACTTGCATTTTTTTTCCTTTTTTCGAAAAAAATAGGTACCTATTTTTCTGCAAAATGCAAGGCCCATTGCTGACATACCTTGCTATCTGCATGTGATCAACATGACTCTCATTAATCCCCTCCCGAATGTTTTGAATCCTCGTGGGAGACCTATCATAGACCCTCAGCAGACCTCTAGAAGCCTAGGATTGCTCTGCTCCTCAAAACTCCCTCCTGTAAGCTTAAATTATCTTTTGGCTATTAATAGTTAATACAAAAAACTGCATTCTAACTATAAATCATTTCAGGTGAATGAGTTTCCTGTTTTCACAAAATGTGGCAAAATCATGATTGGAGTGAGTCTCTTGAATCGTCCACTCTTTCTGTCTGCAGAAGAGATCCAAAGGATTGAGGAGTTTCATAGATTTTTATTCTCTGATGCCCTCCGCCTGGAAACAGGAGGGAAAACATTTGATCCTGGACAGCATTCCTACTACATCCTGCCCACCAATATTAACCAAAGTATTTACCCCCCTTTTTTTAGATGAATTTTATACGTAGCAAAGATATGGGGCGTGTAGCGTTTTTAAATAGTGCTTAAATGTGCTCTTTTTTTTTTCATTTTTTAAAAGCCCTTAAAGGTGTTTTTTCCATTTGGTGTTTTTAGAAAGTTCTTAATTTTCCCTTTTCGTAAATGAGATTTTTCTTCTTCACCATGTCCGTTTACGCCACGCATTATCATCGATGATTGTGCCCTGGACATTTCCGTAAATCCGAGGTCCGAAAGTTTCAAAAAATTCTTCGATCAAATTTATGTATAAAAAATTTTATTTAAAAATATTAGAACTAAAGTTTATACTTTGCATTTCTTTCATTTGTAAATATTTTTTCTGGTAGAGTAATAAATGTAATTAGAGATAAAAATAAACTTATACATAATTATTCATATAAATTATGTTGCATATAATTTATTTAGAATTTCTTGTTTTGAAAATATTAATGATTTAAATTTATAAAGACATAATTTTTTTTGAAATGTGTCATGAATGATTTTACTCGAGAAATTTTCAGGATTTTCTAATTGAGTTTAAAATGACCAGTTATGCAAAAGCGTGCTTTTCTCATTGTTCTGTTCAATGTTTTCCCCATTCATTCAACCACTATTTCAGCAAGCTTGCAAACATCGATGTACTATTGGGAACAATGCTCCACATTGCGCGTGTAGACAACGATGCATTGGGAAATATTGTGTACATCTCAGTAAATCGCAATTTCCGATTGACTGAAATGTTTCATTCTTAAAGCTATCTCTTCCTGCTTTTGCCTATTACAGTTGTAGTAATTTTCAGTACTAAAAACAACTATCATTTTGCTGTATTCTTTTTATAATGCAATGTGATTTCCAAGCCACTTAAAAATTTACCCTTCATTGACTTGGAAAAACTATAAAGAAATTAAACTTCTAATGAATGAGGATAAATGTAAGTGCAATTATCGGGAATGTATGAATTTCTCAGTTTTTTTGGATAGTTAAAGAATGATTCAATGCCGCTTAACTATATTTTAAATTTAATATTGAATAAGCCGCATTTTAGCAATTTTTGTATTCTAGTTATAGTTCATTCAGTTTTCAGTTCATTCTTTTTGTTAGAAAAAAACAGCAATTGTTTTTTCTACTAGGCAAATAACATTGTTTTTTTGTATTAAGTTATCAAACTCCCATTGAAATCTGTCAACTCGCAAAGTCCTCCGTGTTCCCGTAACAAGTCAAAACCTCTGGGGGTTCTGATCCAGGGGTTTCCTTGTCTTCTGGATTGGTATAAATCTACGGAGTTGAACATTATAAGTCGTAAACCCAAAATCTTGGTCGGCTGTTCTACGACTGATATAAAATAGAATAAAATAAATTTAAAGTTGATGGCTTTTTTGTGGATATACTGGGGGAGGGTGTAACCTACCCAAACTGTTATGTAAACAAGCTGTTAATTGCTGTACTAAAAATGTTTATTATTTTATTTTAAAAGTTGCATTTGTAATAAATGTTTCACTTTCTTTTCACCCTTGAATTAATTGATTTTCTAATCAAAGAAATTTTTAATCCTTTCTAGGAAATCGGAAGATGGAAGTTGATTGGGATTTTATCTACTCTGTCAAAGACAATATATATCACGAGCAGCTCAAAGGGTCTAAAAACTCTCACAATGTTTTCGATGAAAATTTATTTCGTGATGCCGTTTTGCTCCGTTCCTATAAATTGAAGACGGGAGAACGCCCTACGCTTCATTACGTGATGAGGATAATGAAAGAGCTGACACCAAACAGTATTTTTGATCCCAAAACAGGAGAAACCTTCAAATATTTCTATAAAACTGAGTACGACGTTGATATAGTGGATGAGAACCAGCCCTTAGTCGAGACGGTTCAATATGCATCCACGCATCTTTGGAAGCCTATTTATTTGTCACCCAAAGAGGTGTTTGAAGATTCGTCCGAGTTGAGCAAGTCGAAACAGAGAAGGAGAGACTATCACGAGTACTTAGTCCCTGAACTGTGTTTCCGTCACCCATTCCCTGCCTCTTTTCTGTTCCAAGTCCTGTGCTTGCCCACCGCCCTGTTTCGTCTGAATGGCCTCCTGTTGGCTGAAGAAATAAGGCAAGCTGTGTCCAATCAGATGAAAGTCGGTGGTTCGGCTGAACCGCAGTCATGGAGACCGTTCCATCTGGAAACGAGTGACAAAACACTCAGAGAGTATCTCTTTCGTAACAAACTTCTCGATAGAATAAATCCTGCGGACGTTATTGACCGTAGAGACGTCGTTAAAAAAGGGAATTATATTGTAAGTTTTGAAATAAAGGAGGATTTAAGTTTAAAATATTGCCCTAGCCCCAGCATGTTGCTCCAAGCGTTGACCACCAAGAGTGCCGGAGACGAATTCGATCTCGAACGCCTAGAAATGATAGGGGATTCGTTTTTGAAGTATGTCATGTCTATAAAAGCATACATGAAATATCAAAACTTTGACGAGGGGAAACTGACGTTATTCAGAAGCAGGTTGATACAGAATTTGAACTTGTATCAGAAAGCAAAAAAGAAGGGTCTGGGTGAATACATGACCACAACTACCTTTAGCTGTAGTAGTACCTGGCTACCCCCTTGCTACACCATAGAGGAGCAAATAGACAAGAAGTCTATCCTTGTAAAAAAGGAGAGGGAGAAAATTACAGATGAAGTTCTGAGTCCCGAAGTAAATCAGCATAAGTACTTCACAAAGCAGGTGGTTTCAGACAAATCTGTTGCGGACAGTGTGGAGGCCTTGATAGGTGCATATCTACTCACGAGTGGTCCGAAAGGAGCTCTTAAATTCATGTCGTGGCTAGGCTTGAAGCCACTCCTCAGCGAAACGGACGATTTCGATAATTGGCCGCCTACTCCGTCCAATCCCATTCTACCGGACGCCGTCCGACCGGAGCAACGCATCGCTGGTTTCACCAGTGGTTTTGACAGATTTGAGAAAAAAATCGGCTATACTTTCAAAAATAAGGCCTACCTTCTGCAAGCCTTCACGCATCAGTCGTATCATTACAACGACATAACGGATTGTTATCAGAGACTTGAGTTTTTGGGAGATGCTGTTCTGGATTATTTGATAACGCGCCAGTTGTATGAAGATCCCCATGATCACTCCCCTGGGAAATTGACTGACCTTCGCTCTGCGCTTGTGAATAATATATTTTTTGCCTCCTTAGCTGTTGCCTTCAGTTATCACGAGTTCTTGAAAATTGCCTCTCCCAACCTTTTCAAGCTTATGTCACACTATATTGAACTATTGGAAGATACACAGGAGTTTAAAGACTTTCAAGTGAGTATTTTGAATTTGTGACTCACTGTCAGGGGTGCAAGTCTTAAGTTTTAAGTGCCAACACTTTAGTTCTTTCGTTCCTAAAACCATCCAAAAGATTAGACCTTCACAAATACTTTGAACGAAATTTCTCAAATTCAAACTTAGTTAAAGGCTTTGTAAAAATGTCTGCTAAGTTAAAATTACCCCTAACATGTTTTTCTCTAAAAAAAATTATGATAAATAAAATTTTTTATGAAATGATATCGCATATCAATGTGTTTAGTTTGAATATTTTCAATAGGTGAATAAGAAAAATTAATAGCAGATTTGTCATAAATAAAACACAACCACTTAAATTTACATCTTTTAAATTTAATTCTCCACACTCATCTATTATACACTTAATCCACATTAACTCTTTAGCAACACCAGTTAAAATCTGCATAACTCAGATTCCACCATAGTTGACCTTGTACACTTTTGTTTGAAAGTTATCCAGAATATCAAAGTTATATCTAAAAGCAATATTATACTAACTACAGATATTCTGTCATCCATTTTAGCAGTAAAATCTTAGTCACAATAGCAATCAGTTTTTTAATTCTTCAATGTTTGACAATTTTAAAAAATAATCTTGAGTATTCTGAACATAACCTAGTAGTCCTAATAAAGTATTCCAGTGTTAAAAACCTAGGATTTCTTGAAATTGTAATAGTAATATATTTATCGCATAACTAATATCCGGTCTTATACGATTAGCTATATAAGACAACCTAAAATGTTCTGAAATGGTAATTTTGTCATTTTATCTACTTCACTTTTAGACGATGGGCATTCAGCTTTTGATAATAAGTTCCCCTAAGTAATCAGAAACATTTTACAAACCTTTTAGATATAACTTTAGTATAAACAACTCACCATCTTTTTGAACAAATTCTACACTTAACAGTTTACTAGTTTTACCCAAAATTATCACTTAAAAGTTTCATAAGACGATTAGTTAGAGGGATAATCGCCAGAAAGATAATTGATGCATACTTGAACTAAAAATAGATTTATGTACAGGATGTGAATTTAAAAGTGTGAGAAAGAGCGTTTCGATTTGAATAATAAATTAAGAAAAGGATTTGCAGAAAAGAATATAATAGAAAGATTAATTAAAGCTTTTTAGATTACATATATATTTTTTTTAATTGTTTTTTCTTATTATATAGTCAAGTTATATATTTCATTAATGCTATTAAAAACAACACAAATTTTAGCTCTCTAGGTCATAGAGTTGTCAAGTTTAAAAACTGCAATATATATATATACTATATATATATATATATACATACTACATACATGCATACATACGTAGATAAATAGATGAATTTACAAAACAGCTTCTCCCTGAAAGAAAAATAATCTGAAACTTGGTATTTTCATCAAAAAATAAACTCAATACAAAAATATGATATTGATTAGGGGGGAATTACTATATGGATGATAAAATCACTATTTTGTGTATATTTCAGAAAGATTTGTATTACTTAAAAGAAGTGGAATGTTTTGAACTGGAGGAGGTTGAAGTCCCTAAAGCTTTAGGAGATGTTTTTGAATCTGTTGCTGGTGCAATCTACCTTGACAGTGGGATGTCATTAGATGCCGTGTGGAATGTCTACTTCCCAATGATTAAGCCATCTCTGGGTAAGTCATGTCTAGTTGTCTGACTAAATTGGAAAATTAGTTTTCAGACCCTGAGAGAAGTCAGGGTGTTTTTTGAACATAAAATGTTTAATTTCACAGTTTTAAGAAATTTTTAAATGCTTTCAGAAAAAGATAAAAGAAAATTTCATAGCACAATTTTAAATATCAGTAGGGGGGATGTTATTTCACTCTACTGCAAAGCATCCATTTTTCTGTGAAATTTTCCCATTTTAGTTTGTTAAAACAAGAAATGTGTTAGTCAAAAAAAATTTCCTTTAATTCATATATGAAGAGCTTATTGGAACAACCAGCTAGTGACACTTTAATGAATTTGAGTAAATGAGGTCTAAAGTATCTGCATGTATTTCTCCTTTTTGTTTTTTTTTGTTTTTTTGCTCAATCTTTTTGTTTTTAGTTAGTTTGTAAAGACATAACTCACAAAATTTTTGGGGATCTATTTATTTGATTCTAACTCTTTAATAAAGGGAAAATTTGATGATTTTTGTGCTTAGAATTCGCTTGTTCTCACAGATGATTTTTATCGAATATAATTTAGTTTGAAACAACAAAATAAATCTGCATGTATTTAGGCATAAAATAAAATTTTATCTAGTCCTAAAACCAATTCAGAAGCAACGTGACTTTCACGGTGTAGATGTTTCACCGGTATGTATCGCTTTAAATGGAGAGAGAATTCGGTAATTTCTGATTATAAAAAAATATTCTTCTAGATTAAATACTATGAAAATGCTATATCATTTCGTTACATCTAAAGGTATTTCTGAAATTAAATGCAAGTATTTTTATACAAAAAATGATTAGGTATAGTTGTTGAAATACAAATTATTTAAAATTTTTCTGCAAAAATGACGCATAGTAATTTATAAAAAAATATTTATTAAACAGTTTTGGTTTTTTTTCTATCGTGCTAAACTAATGCGAGCCAGATGCATTAAAATTGTATGTTGAAGCTGCTAAAGGTTGTTTTTCTTTTGTCTTTTTTAATTCTTGATTCGTAAAAAAACCAACAAATTCCTCCTTAATGCCGCTGTTTCAAGTTTTTCATTTTCACCCATTTTTCTCCCCCTGCCTTAGTGCAGGGCTGATTATGCTCCAGAAAAAATCCTGATTTCCGGAATTTTTGCTCCGGATTTTGCTTGTGATCCGGAAGTTTCCGGAGATCGAAGGTCTAGACATTTCAAAAAATCATTGATCACAAAAGTTTCCGAAAATCCAAATTTCAAAGGTGGAACTTAAAAACACAGTTTATTTTATTTGATTGTAAGGGAGATCCAGAGAGATACTTTATAAGCTTATATTCATGATTACTATTCATTTTTTATCAGTAAATAGTTGTTATAATCTTTAACTCAAGAAAGAGAGACATATTTGTAAATTTTAATTACGTCTGCAGGTCATTATAGGTATGTGTAAATGGTATAGGTACAGGCCCGTAGCCAGGGGGGGACCGTCGGGACAAATCCCCCTGCCCCCGAAATTCTGGGATTCAAACTTTTTAGTCTTTCTTTGAACCTCTCAGTAAAAAGAAAAACAAAAACTGTCGAATCAAACCTTTTATTAACTAACTTTATTAAGCATATTTTGGAATATTCCGGTTTGTCCTAAAAAAGTAATCGAAAAATTTTCTTCAAATCCACGTCGCATGTCTTTGTAAACTTTGTTTACAAATTGATTATAATTATTATGTAATATTAATTGAAAAATAAGTATTATGTAATATTTTTTAATTACTAGTTTAAGTTTTGCAAACAACAAAATAAACAATATTTGTTACAACGTTTTTCCCCTACTTTGCATGTCTGAAACTGTCCTTGCTTCTTACCATATCCCCCCCCCCGAAAAAATATCCTGGCTACGGCCTTGTATAGGTATGTGTAAAATTTTAAATATATTTTAAGTAAACCAAGAAATATTGAGAAAAAGGGAAAAAAACCTCGTTTAAATGTTTTTCTAATTTTTCAATTTAAACTGTTTTTTTTTTTGTTTTTTTTAACTCAAGAAATTTTCCGGAATTTTGACTTGGGCTCACAATCACCCCTGCTTAGTGTTAGATGCCAAAGCAATAGGCTTTTCTAGGGTTGCTTACTGACTGTTTGACATCAAGTTACTTAGCCAGTTCTTCCATCCAATAAATACTGAAATAATGTCACTTAGTTGGTTCTTCCACTGAATTTCTTTGGAATGAATAAAATTAGCAGCATAAATTAATATTATATATTTAAATAAATCTAAAATAAGAACTTTCCCCCAGAAATTTTAATTTTTTTTAAAAATTTCATTTAACCGGTTCTTCTTCTAAGATCCTTATATATTGACCTCTTTACTACGAAAGTAAAAAGGAATAAAACAAAACAATATTTTACAGTTCCGAATTTCTATTTTACTGCCAAGGGGGCTAATGATTTTGGGTCCCTTGGATCGTCCCCTTTAGGACCTCAGGTCTTCACTAAGTAAAAAATATACATATAAATGTTTCAAATACAGTCAAACCCCGCTATAGTGAACACGGTTTATAATGAACTCCCGGATATAGTGAAAAAAATGTTCGGTCCCGTGCCTTGCTGTACACGTGTAATGTTATTCTTTGTGGATATAGTGAACCAAAGAAGTGAGGAAGTTGGATATAATGAACTTTTTGCTGCCTNAAAATTTGAAAAAAAAAGCACTTTTTAAAAACGACAGCTGAAAAAAGCACCTTTAAAAGCTTTTAAAAACAAAATGCCCAAAAAAGCACCTTTAAGTACTTTTTACAAACGCTACGCACCCTGTATACAGTTAAGCATTTTTTTTTTTTTGCTTCTTTTATCTCACTTTTTCATCCCTAAACAAACCAAGCAGGTCACCAACCCAGGCAGATGATGCACCTATAAGGTGTCAGTGGGATCAATATGCATTTTCTGTCAGAGGGAATTTTTCTGTCTCAAATTTAACTATGGCGATCAGTAAACATAAAACGTTCTCCATTAATGATAAAATGGGCATAATCAGAAAAATTGAAAATGGGTGCAATCAATCCGATATTTGCAGAGAATATAAACTATACAAATCTACAGTTTGTAACTTATGGAAAAATAGGCAATTAACAATTTCTGCTCATGAAAAAAATTTAGATGGTAGAAAAAAGTTAAGAAAAGCAGGTCACAAGGGTGTTGAAGAAGCATTACTGAAGTAGTTTAGCATTCGAAGAAGCCACAATCTTCCAGTATCTGGACAAATGTCGATGAATTTTCAAAGCGATTTTATGAGACTACTTTTATATGCTTGAATGGCACGTTAGACAGGTTTTAAAAGCGGAATATCAGAAATTCAGGAAAAATTATCTGAGAGTCGGGAAGTGTTTGCATATCTGATATAGAGGATTTCTCATCAGCTAAAGATTTCTTTGTATTTTTCTTTTGCAAATTTTTCTTTGTACGCAAGACGAAGAGTAATAAGAAATAGCACATTTTTTTCTACTTCATAATATTTTTCAGTCATTTATTTGAATAATGTGTAATAAAAGGGAGGAGTTTGGGAGCCATTAGTTAAATTGCTTGCGTAACGAATATAGTGAACTCCTGGTTATAGTGAACCAAATTTTCGTTCCCTTGAAGGTTCACTATAGCGAGGTTAGACTGTATTAGTAACTAAAGTAGTATGTAATCATGCATAATGTTACATTATGGTTTATTAAAATACAATGATAAATAGATTTAATAATTATTTCGAATTTTTTTTTTTAATATTATGAAGGTTTTTACAATGAGCAATGCTAAATGCATATTACTGCATAAAATTTCAGTTACAAAACTATTTTAATTACGCAAACCATGTAAAATAAATAATTATTGAAAAGAATCTAACATTAACTTTTAAAAAATATTTCATTCTTAAGGGTAAATTTTCAAAATTATGGAAAATGCACAAAATGTTAAAGATATTTAATGTATCAGGGTGAGTTTTTAAAAAGTGCTTTTTATTTTCATTTTTTAAAAACACTTAAGGTGCTTTTTTTATTGGGGGTTTGAAAAATGTGCTTAATTTTCTATCTTTTAAAAAGAGAGTTTTTTCTTTGCCGTGTCGATTGTCATTCTAAATTACGAAAAATTTATGATTTTGACAATATTTATCAGAAACTAGTTATTTTATCAGGATTGCCACAGGTGACTAAAATGCGACTATTTTCGACCTCAGGCTACTATGGCTACTTTTTTTTGCCTGCAAAGGCTATAAAAGCAACTATTTTCAGGAAAAGGAGACTATTGAGAGACTTTTCTGTGCTCCTAGCAATGTTTTTTTAGCATAAATTGGGTTGACAACCTGCGTCCCCTCAGTAACTTCTGAATGTAAGGAATTCTTTTTCTTCTAAAAAAATAAAGAAATGTTAAATTGCAAATTTGAGTCATCACTTTTTAATGCGTTCAATTTGCTCAGATTATATTGTGAATCTTTTTTGTTTCTCAATTGCCTTTTCAACAGTTATTGCTATGAAACTCTGTTTGATTTTAAAGAACCCAATTTTTAATACGATACTATGATGAATTTCGAGTTTTAGTAATCACTTTTTCAATATATATATATATATATTTGCTAAATCAATTATTGATTAAAGGAAAAATTATGTGGAAGGGAAAATTAATAGAAAAGGTATTTTTCTGCATTAATTCTAGCATTTAAAAGTATTTAATGTTCTGCAAGTATACTAATTTTTTTATAAAAAAAAATTTAGTGCTAGAACACTAACGTTTATTTATAAATTATCATATTGGCCGTCAACTTGACTAAATGGATCATGGTATATTACAATGAAGTCATTTAATAGAATTTTAGTCATATTATTGAAAAATTTTTGTTCTTATTTAGGCAACTATTTTCATAATTTTAGGCGACTATTTTCATGCTTTAGGCTACTAAAAGCAACTATTTTGTTCATTTTTTTCTGTGGCAACCCTGTGATTATGTAAAGTTTTTGAATTTTATTATGTTTAAAAATTAAAAACTTTAAACAGTAGAAAAAAAATATTTTTTGAGTGCTTAAAAAGTACTTAAAAGGTGCTTATTTTTTGTTGAAAAATCTGGCTACGCACCCTGTGTATGTGTACAGTGTGGAAAGAGAATGGATCACCCTTAATAACTTTTGGTCTAATGATCGGATTTTCAAGTTCTAACATTTATCCTTAATGGTTCGAGGGAGTGACCTCAAATATGCTAATTAATTAATGTGGATTATATTTTAAGTTATGAAATCAGACACAAAAGCATACTTTGTCTGAATAAACATACCTTTTTTCGGATTTCGGACCTCAATAATATTGGGGGTAACTACAATATGGAAAATATGGTCTTCATAATATTGTCAGAAAAGCGGTTCGGAGCTTGGACCCCTTAATGCAGGGCTGATTGTGCTCCGGAAAAAATCCGGAATTCCGGATTTTTCGCTAACAGTGATCCGGAAGTTTCCGGAGATCGAAAGTCCAGACGTTTTAAAAAATCATTGATCACAGAAGTTTCCGGAAATCAAATTTTCAAAGGTGGAACTTAAAAACACAGTTTATTTTGTTTGTTTGTCGGAGAGCCAGATACATTTTTTATCAGTAAATAGTTATAATCATAAACTTAAGAAAGAAGGACTTATTTGTAAATTTTAATTACTTCTCCTAGAAAAACCTAGTTTAATTTTTTTTCTAATTTGTCAATTTAAACTTCTTTTTTTTTGAACTCGGGAAATTTTCCGGAATTTTGACTTGGGCTCACAATCACCCCTGTTAATGTTAATTTTACTTTTTGCGTATTTCACCATATCTCAAGAACTTAATAAGTGATTTAAAAAAATTTTGCTCACACTTATAAAACTCATTTATCCAAAGTTGCTAAATATACAGAAAAAATAAATTTTAGTATGTATTTATTATATTGTTTAAGCAGAGCTCATTCAAGGCAGAAAAAAGGGCAGGGTGCAAAAGCTTAAAAAAAGGGCATTATTATTCTAAAAAGAATGAGCTAATTAGCTTAGTAATTTATTTAAAATACATGCATATATTAGTAAAATAATAAATGTAGGTTTTTAAGTGTCTGTAGTTATGTTATGATTTAATAATTGAAATGATTAATAATAATTATGGTTTAATGATAGTGGAAGTAACTGCAAACTTTCAAAGACAAGTGCAACAAGGGGGTGTGATGGTTATTGTTCCTTTCCCATATAAATCTATGTATTGACAGCAATGACAAACTAAATAAAAAAGAGTTGAAAATAACTAAAGTTTAAGAAATCCATTGTAGAGTTTGGGGGAAAAATAAAGAAGGGCTGAGGAAAGAAAGACCAAAAAGGGTATGGAGCCTATTACATTACGGCACTAATTTACTTCAGGGGCAACAGGTTGGATTCTTTTGACTAAAAGGGCAGCAGGGTGCTGCACCCTGTTTACCCTGCCTGGAATGAGCTCTGTGTTTAAGAATGGTTAAAAGAAATTTTTGAATTATATGTATTGTATAATTATATTGAATTGTACACAATATTTTGCATCCTTAGTATTATATTTAAGTACTCTCATCTACAGAAAAATACTGTAGTCAATTTAGTTAGTCTAATAAAGTTTTTGGGTTTTATTTCTTTACATTAATTGCAAATTATTAGTTACATATTGGAAATATTTTTTGCATTACCCAATAGTTTATTAGTTATTATGATATTTCTATTTTGTAAAATCTACTGATCTTTTTTTAACACCTATCTTTCATTTTTTATTTCTTAAAACAAAAATCAATCTGTTATACAGAGATGATTGTGCTTGGGGAAAAATTCGGAAATCCAAAGTCCAGAAGTTTCAAGAAATTATCAGTCACATTTATAAATAAAAATTCTTGTATATTTTATTTAAAAATATTAGAATACTAGAATTTATACTTGCTTTGCATCTCTTTCATTTGTAAATATTTTTTCTGATTGAATAATAAATGTGTAATAATAATAAAGATAAAAGTAAACTTATACATAATTATACATTCAGATTATGCTGTATATAATTTATTTAGAATTTCATGTTTTGAAAATATCATTGATTTAAATTTATAAAGACATTACTTTTTGAAATGCTTCATTAATGATTTTACTCGAAAAATTTTCAGGATTTTTGAGTTGGGCTCACAATCACCCCTGATAGTAATCTGTTCCTTTTTATAATCACGAGAAAAGTAATAATGTATTGTTTTACTTATATTGTTAATCTTAAAATATTTTTAAGATGTGCTATTTTAATTATTAAGAGCATTTAATTTTCAGCTTAAAAAAAAGTATATATTAACTAACTGTAAGTTTATTTTTACTTGAATAGATCATCTTACAGAATATGTTCCAAAGTCTCCCATCAGGGAATTATATGAAATGGAGCCCAAGTTGATGTTTGGGTAAGTGGGCAGTTTTCCCCTTTTTGATTTATAATCTCATGCTACAGAAACATGCAAATCTCTCTTACAGCTTTGATCATGTTCAACTGTATTATATAATTCTAGAAGTTGAAGGGTTATCCCTCAAACAACCTCATCCTTTTCAAGTGTGGTATATTATTTGAATTCAATGAAAAAAGGGCATTTTCGCCATAATGGTTTCTAAGAGAACTTTTAACTGTGTGACTTTATCTGCTCTTATCATAGATATTCATACCTACAATCATGTGAAATATTAATTAAAATATTTTATTTGCAGTTTTAGCTGAATTATTTTTAAATATAAGTGAATATTTTTTTTATATTGAATGGCTATGAGTTTTTATTTTTTAATCATTAATATTTCTTATATGAATAGTTTAAGATGCTGTAATTATATATTTAAAATTTTTATATTATGTTAAAAAGTATTAACATTCTTCTTACAAGAATAATATTAGCCTTTCTCAATCTTTTGGAAATTTCTAAATGTTATTCTTTCATCAAAAATAACACGTATCTAACCAAGTTCCAAGTTTAAATGAAGAGTTGGGCCTGTCCGAGGTGCAAGCCTTGTGAGAGGCTGCATAGAGCGCTGAGTAAACGTTTGGGTGTAGAAGTGTGGTAAGGCTTAAATCAGAGCTCGAAAAACCGCACATCCGCCTGTCCTCGGCGGTCAAAAATTCCCTGTGGACAACAAATTTCTCGAATCCAACGTCTGCCCGGATGGCCATTTTCCCACTAATGTTCGTAATACATTTTCAATTTTTGTTATCTTACAAGAGTTCAGCACCTCACTTCTAAAATGATCCTCAATTCTAGAAATCCTGTTGATTCCTTCGTCAGGCCAAATGCGCATGCTCACGAAATCGGTAAACAAAAGAAAAGTTGATCTGTGCATGTGCATTTGGACAGGTCTAACAAGAAGCGTTAAATGCAATTATGAACATCTACTTAAATGAAAAAACCCTTTCACATTTTTGTGCAGAAACCTCTGTAAATCATTGGCTTGATTGTGGAACTGGCTAACGTCATATTTGTTTCATTTAAGAAACGAAGTACCCTCAGATAAATTGACCTTTGTCGTTTTAATTATTTCATAAAAGAAATACTAGGTTACTATTAGTAACCTAGTATTTCTTTTATTACTGTATAATGTAATCCTAGTATTTGTAATCCTAGTAACTACTAATTCATTGTGCAATTTACATAAATATTTGTAATAAATAAGAGGAAATTACATTTTTATTTATTTAGAAGCTACGGGTTAGTTTCAAAGCAGGACGGGTACAATGTTGGACAAGCCGTCCTCGGGGACGGGTAAAATTTCTAAGTTTTTTCAAACCCTGGCTTAAATTAAAGAAAAAAGCTTTTCTATGATCCTATTTTTGCCTTTCTAAAAGCTTTTTTTTTTCTCCCTTGCTCATTGAAAATAACAATTGAGACATGCTTAATTTCCTAAAATAAATTAGATTTACGCATCAAAACTGTTTTTGAATTTCTGATGCTTTTGTAATGTAAATGTATGGTAATGTATTGTGTTTCTTACAGGAAACCTATCAATCTAAAGACTGGCAAAACAAAGATTGAAGTATTTTTACCAAATGGCAATAAATATGATGGAGTGGGTCCCAACAAGAAAGTCGCCAAAAGATCAGCAGCTAAAAGGGCGCTGGCAGATATGAAGAGGATGGATTTCTGTTAAATTTCTCTCGTGCACTCAACACAGTGATATTATTAAACATTGTTTAAGCTTTTGAATTATATTTTATGAAATATTTTTAAAGCTAAAAATATTTTTTGTACCTTTGTTACTGTATTTTTACTATTGTGAGTTATTATTTAAATAAATGTTTTGAAAGTGAGTCCTGTTAAAATTTATGACTCAGCAACAAATGCCTCTGATCATAATAAAATAAATTGAATTAATCTAATTTTTGTTTTGTTTTCATTCAGAAAAAATAAACAATTTTTAAGCATTTTTTACAATCACATTAGTATATTTTCAGTGGAAAAAAAGTTTTTTAAAGAAGCCATTTGATGCATAACCTGCTAAAAGTGTCAGCCATTCCTCTATTGACTCTTCTAGTACACCTTAAACTTGGGAAAGAAGCATATTCCTCTGCAAAATAAATCTTCTGAATTGTCCATTTTGTCTTGCAGGCAAAATTTAAATAAATTTTGTATGAATGAAAAATTCCTCATGTATTAATGGTAGAAAATTGCTATGTGCCATTCTGCATTGATCCAGGTTTAGCTCTTTTTTTTTTTTTTTTTTTTTTTTTTTTTTTTTTNTTTTTTTTTTTTTTTTTTTGTCAATGTTTTTCCTATATTATGATAATTTATTTTTTTTCACGTAAAATGTTCTTCTTTTTGATTTCTCAGACTATTTTTTTTTTTTTACTTGCAGAAAAATATTTTGCGACAAATTACTCAAAATTTCGTAGCTGTAAATATAAATTTTTAACAATTGTTTGTTCGTAAATGTTTTATGTGCAACGAATAAAATTTTCTATTTATTTCCAATCCCTGTGGCAGAATTTTTTTTGGACTTTCTGCGACAAACCTCTCTAGCACTATTATCTTTCTGCAAGATACTTTTAATAATAACTGATATACATGTTATTAATTACATTTAAAGTAACAGAAACATTGTATTTACAAAAAAAAAAGCCTATTTGGATGCAATAAAATTTTATGCATTTTTAAAAAAAATTAATATGGAGGATTTTTTTTTTATTCTAATATCGTGGGCGATATTCTCACATTTTGTAAAAGAAAAACACACTACTTTTTTTGCATTTTGTAAATATCATCACATGAAGAAAATATATATATAAATCGTAAAAACAGAAAACCAAATTTTTTTTATTTTTCCTAAATAAGAAAAAGAAAAATCTTGAGCATTTCTTCCCTGTCTGATACATGAAAAGGGCATCTTTTGAATATAATAGTGGATTAAAAACTTTTTTAAAACATTTCTGCAGAAAAGAAATCCTTAATTTTTGACTTTCTAAAGGAAAATTCTTTCTCCAAGAACTCTTGTAAAGTTCTGCGTCAAGGTTTTATATACACTTTCCAATTCATATTTAGAAAAATACCGATAAAATTTAAATAAGATGCAACTGTCTTAATTTTACAAAAAAACAATGCAGAATATTGACTTCAAATTTCTTCATTTTAACGCTATTATATCTATATATACTTACATGGTAACCTGTAGGGCCACATTGTGGGCCCCTTATTAAACCTATAATCGAAACTGTGGTAGGCTTCACGTATCACCATGGACTGGATGGTAGACCAGACAAGTATGTTCTCTGCTGGAGGGAGGGGTCCTGGGTTCTAATCCCAGGGACGGACAAATTTCCAAAAATTTTCTTTTTTTTTTGTTGTTTATTTTAAATTATATTATTTTTTTAATGTGTTTTTCGATATTCTGGAGGGTCTTGCATGTAGGAAAGTTGGAAAATCAGTTTATTTGCTCTTTTTCGACTTCTTTTGTAACATTTTGGATATTCTAGCATGCATGGGGTGTTTTCTGTGTTTGAAATCCAGCAAAGAAAGTGTAATGGAATAATAAAAAGAATGAATAAAAAAATTGAATGGCGCGAGTAAGGTTTAAATTTCGAGACCCCCTAGCTCCTTTTAATATCAAGGTATAAATTTCAAACTCGGACCCTAAGTAGGGGGCTATGGTTTAAACATGGCTGAAGAAGAAAAGTTTTATAGGCCAATTAGGGGGTCTCAGTGGGGCCCTAAAGGTATATTGCGAAGATGAGAGGAGAGAGCTTTTGAAGCGAAACTGTGGTAGGTTTCACGTATCACCGTGGACTGGATGGTAGGCCACCAGACAAGCAAGTTCGCTGCTGGAGGCAAGGCCGGATTTACGTATAAGCTGTAGCTTGGAGCCCCGAGGTGACAAGGGCCCCCAGATCCTACTTTCCCCCCTCTTTTTTTTAAGTTTTATTCGGAGCTGGGGCTCTCCGAACCCCAAATAAATATAATAAATATAAATAAATGACTGATAATGACATAATAAATGTAAATAAATAAATGACTGAACAAAACAAAAAACTTCGTTGTCATTAGTAGGGAACAACATATCATCTTTCAAGCAATTTGAATATTATTAATTTTTATAAATAAGGAATTTTTTAGTTTAAAACGTAAAAAAGTTTTTTTTTTGCCCCATCATTCTATCATCAGACTATTTAATATCTGTTTCTAAGGATCAGAATTCCCTTTTATTTTACTTTAAAATTGTACAAATGATATATTTAATGCTTTCGTGTGATATGCAGCAGTTTTAAATAGCACTTTAAAATATTTAAAAAAAGAAAAATTGTCAGATCAAAAAAAAAAAATAAATAACTATTACTTTTGAATTAGAATTTAAATAACTACACACGTTTGTTTTGCTATCTCATTCTATTTATATAGCATTATTTAGAGTAGACAGTTTCGTGTGGGTGTGATGATGACGTAATAAAAGAGGCATACAAAAAAAGCAAATTTCATTTCAGTTAAATACCTCAATATCATATTTTTAAACTTCTCGAAAATATAGTAAAAGAGGTATACAAATTAACTGTCGCAAACAAATTAATATTAAGTAAGAACGAAACAAAAATGATATCGAAGTATGCTGAATCACTAATGAGACCGGGATGAAAGACATCGAAACCTATTTGATTGAATTGTATAACTAGAAGGTGATTCTGAAATCTATCAGGCTTTAATTTCAAAAATTCTGAAATCTATCAGGCTTTAATTTTTTTTTCTGTCACAAAATTAATCAGTAATTAAAAATAATAAATTCATTAGATTTCAATATTGGTTCTGTTTTTTCGTTGATTAAATGTTAAACATTAACAGATATTTGTCTTTTAAAACATTTCATTCTGTAATAAGATAATTATTCTACAATTGTAATTATCTAAAACTAATTGCTAATTGATATGAAGCTTTAGTGTGTTCCATTGATATGTTAAATGCTCGTATTGGCTGGATGCCCGGGACAGTTGCTCTTTCACATCCTAGCCACTATAAACCATATAGAGCAGAGCTGATACTTTAAACCCGTAAGACATTTATTCTCTCTGATATTTAATAGACCCTTTAATGGATGGGTGATCGTGTAAAGCTAAGGGTGGTGGCGGTAGTAGTAAAATTGCTCTTTCAAGATTTCCGGGTTACTGCTTCTGATATATTTTTACGCCGCAGATTGAAAAAACGCGCCATCATATTATTGCATGATATCTTTTGCAGTATTTCACATGTACC